ATTTGTTATAAATGACAAATTTCTCCAGCTTTTGTCTGGTGGCCGCAACGCCCGTATCTCTCTCCCCCCCCCCACCTGCACAGAATGTGCAGGCAGTGTTAAATTAGACAGAATTTAGGTTGCGATCTAAAAATGGAAGCGCCCGGATTAATTGTTGGCTCTGGCCCTTCCTGAAAAAAAAACACCGTTTCTCTCTGGGGTGAAGCTGCTGCATCTTTCCCCCCCCCTGCCCCCCCCCCCAGGGCCTGAAGCCTTTTTTTGACTTACGCACAGAGGTTGTGCACGATATCGGGGTCTTTCTTGAATAGGGAGGCAAAAGGCTGCGTTGAAAACCGGCTAGCGGTTGGGAAAAAGATGGAAAGGAAAGGGGGAAAGGAATTTACGGAGCTGTTTTTCTAAGTTTGTCCCTCCTGTACGTGGGGATGAATACCCTTTGAGGGGTCCTTGGTGCTCTTGGAGCTTGGTGGTTTTCTTGCCGACATTTCATGACCTAACTAGGTAACATCATCAGTGGGGGAGGGAGGAAGGAGGAGGAGGAGGAGGAGAACTATGGGGTCCTTGGTAGTCCTGGAGCTTGGTGGTTTTCTTGCAGACCTTTTATTACCTAACCAGGTAACACCATCAGTGGGAGGAGAAGGACTGTGGGGTCCTTGGGGTTCTCTGAGCTTGGCGCTTTTCTTGCAGACGTTGCATTACCAAACTAGGTAACATCATCAGTGGGTAATGAAACGTCTGCAAAAAAACAACCAACCCACCAAGCTCAGAGAGCACCAAGGACTCCATAGTCCTCCTCCTCCTTCCACGGATGATGTTGCCTAGTTGGGTCATGAAATGTCTGCAAGAAAAACCACCAAGCTCAGAGAGCACCAAGGACCCCACAGTTGTCGCCGTCTTCCTCCTCCTCCTCCTCCTCCTCTCTGCAAACCTCACCCCCTTTTAGAACTGATGATGTTCCCTAGTTGGGTCATGAAATGTCTGCAAGAAAAACCACCAAGCTTAGAGAGCACCAAGGACCCCACAGTTGTCGTCTTCCTCCTCCTCCTCCTCTCTGCAAACCTCACCCCCTTCTAGAACTGATGATGTTACCTGGTTAGGTGATAAAAGATCTGCAAGAAAGCCACCAAGCTCAGAGAGCACCCAGGACCCCCTCATCTCACTCCCGAGCTTACAAATATTCTCCTTGATTGGCAAATACCCTTTTTTTGTCGTGGGACCCAAACCCAAAGCCGGAGACCCAGCGTGAAGCAAAGCGTCCTGGGGAGGCATCCCACAGGCTATCGGAGGAAGGACCGAGAGCCACGGAAGCATTTCGCGCGCCAGATGTCCCAGCCAAGCAAAACACACAACAACTTGTGGGGACAAAGCGCCAGATCTTTTCCTGCCAGTAAGAATGGGGTGGCATTTAAGAGAAGTCTCCAGGGAGCCAGGAACTGGGGTGGGAATAAAGCAAATACTTTTGTTTTTATGCTGAAAACCTCCCCGAGTCCAGCTAGCTGGACCTTGAAAGCCAGCAAAAATCAACGAGGCGCAGTGATGGTCCAAGAAATCTGTGGGTAAAAGTTCCCAGGGCTATAAAGACAGGGATTAGGGATTATTTTTACTGCTTTGGCCCTTTGGCTCGTTAGCTACGCAACCCGTAAAGAGATTTCTCTCCAGGAATAAAATAAATCACAGTGATGGATTGTTGGAATTGCTTCTCATCTTTCTACCTGTCCAGTAGAACAGCACTGCCTGTTTATTTTCCCTGCAATTAGATAAACTTAACAGATATATATATATATATATATATTAAAAAGGCTGGATACTCCAGCTGTCATGACAGGTATAAAACAGCGCATTCGGAACTGCCTTTGTTGCTCTTTTACACAACTAAATACTGCTGGCTTTAACTTACGCAGCAAGGCCCGTTAACCTCTCCCCACCACAAATGCACAAAGACACACACAGACATCTTCACAGTTTCTGAGGCTGTTCTTGATGGATCTAGCCGTTGGGTCTGAGTCTATTAAGCTCGGAGTCTCGGCTCTCCCAGTGCGAAGCACAACCAGCCCCCCCCCCCCCAATCCTGTATTTCCTCTGCTTTTGCTCTGCATTCAGTCAGAAGTTGCGGTGTGTATTTGGGGCTGTGCCCCCGTCACAACCTGTCAAGCTCTGAAGCATAGAAGGTCCGATTTCCCCTCTCCCTAAGGAAGACCACCGCATTATGAGACAGTCACCCCTTAAAGCAGCGGTTCTCAACCTGTGGGTCGGGACCCCATTTGGGGGTCGAACGACCATTTCACGGAGGTCGCCAAACAATGCAGTCCGCCATTTTTTCCCCCCTTTTCCTTAGCTGTGCTGCTCCCTTTTATTCTATTGGCTTTTGGAAGCCAATAGAATGGACTCTCTTGAATAGAGTCTAATTCTATTGGCTTTCAAAAGCCAATAGGATTTGTCCAGGCTGTCTCTGCCCTGCTGAGCCCACCAAAAGTCCCCTTCTGCAAACGGTGCTGCACCAGTTGAGTCGTCCTCGACTGACGACCGGTTGAGTAGTCCTCGACTTACGACCGGTTGGGGGTCGCGGCATTAAAAAGGTTGACACTGGGGTATCTTCCTGCCCCCCCCGTCCCAAAACTGGAGCATTGTTTTTTTTTTTAAATTTCTTGCAATCACTCCGTGAGCGAGACGATTGGCCTCTGAATTTGATAAGTAACAAATAAATGGCTCTCGGCTTATGACCGCAATTCAGCCCCCAACTTTCCGTGGTTGTGACACTCGGGGGTTAAGTGAAGTGTGCCCCATTTTTTACCACTTTTCTTGCCTCTCTGGTTAAGTCAGTCGCTCCAGTTGATAAGGTAGCCCCCTGGTCGTTAAACGAATCCTGCTTCGCCATTGATTTTTGCCTTTCACAGAGGACCACGTGATCTTGGGGGACACAGCAACGGTCATAAAAATACGAACCGGTTGCCCGGCAGCTGAATCCCTAGGGACGCTGCAAAGGTCGTAAAGTGGGAAAAACGCTCACAGGTCACATTTTTTGGCGCCGTTGTAAGTTTGAACAATCACTCAGTGAGCTGTCGTAAAGTCGGGAGTCCCTGTGCTAATGCAGGTCGCCAGCCCAAAACCATCAGCCTCTGCCAACATGTGCTGGGTCTAACCCTGCAGACGGGAGGGAGATTTTTGGACCCCCCCCCCCCCGTCTCTACTCCGCTATCCGGGACAGCCGGGAGAGTGAAGGGGATATTACGAAGCCTCCAGATCCAGGGAATGCCCTTCTCCTGGTGTTGGATCCAGCACAGCCCTGGATCGTGCGAAGTCCTAAAATCCAGGTTTTAAAAAACGACACTACGGAATGTCCCCGTAACAGGCAAGATCCAGACTAACAAGGTTAAAAATGCCCGATGCCAAGGCCGAAGCCGGTTCCTAACGGCAGGACAAAACCGTGCCTTTCACAGCGCCGTTTTTTAAGCTCCATCTACGTCAGGTGCACCTGGTCGTGAATGTAGTTTCGCCAGGTCTTCACCGCCGTGTAAAATGTCTTCTCCGTGCCCCACCGGAAAAAAAAAATCACCCCTTTTTTCCCTGGTGGGCAACTGCCCGTCTCGCACAAACGCTGTAAGCGCTCGTTCATCGAGCAACGACAAAATATGGGAACCGGCTTGTCCACCGCCTTGTGATTTTAAAGCTCAGGAAGCGAGGAATGAAAACATCCATCCTTTTTTGCACCCAGGATTGCGTTGCAAAAAAGATCTCGGTTGCTGGTCCACAGCTTTGGGGGGGACGGACGGAGAAAGAGGGGAGACTGCGAGCAAGCAGGGTTCTGAACTTCCAGGGTTTTCCTGCAAAATGGCAGGTTAAAAAAAAAGGGGTGGTGGTGGTGGAAGGAAGACTTGTTTTAAAGAGAAAGTCTTGCTTGCCACCGCATCCTGTTTCCAACAATGGGCAGGCAGAAAGCCACCGTCAGGGCGTGCGTGAGAACCGATTCCTCTGCAGCACTTGGCATGGGAAGGTAGACTGCCCCTACTCCGAGCAGTTCCCTCTAACCTTTTTCAGCCAGCTTCTCTCTAGATCCAAAGTGGATATTTTGCAGATAGGGCTCGGTTGATTAACCCCAGCAATGTGGTCTGAATACAAAAACATATTTTTTTTTTGCACCCCAATGCAGGCAGTGCCTGAGACGCATCCTAGTAGAATGTGAATCAGCTTGAACGCCTGGGCTGCTTTCTTAAAACGGATAGTTAAGTACACACCAATACACACACACAAAAACACACCACCACCCTTTGCATGTCACCGTTATCAAAATTCAGAGGCCTCAGAAGCACTTTCCGCTGATTTCAAACTTCCAATTGGGATCCCCACGGAAGCAATCTCCTTAACTCGGCTTTCCCAAAGTTCTTTCTTTTCCTATCGTATTACCATATTAGAAATATATATATATTGTGTGTGTGTGTGTGTGTGTATATATATATATATACACACACACACACACACACACACACACACACACACACACACACACACCGTATTTTCCGGCGTATAAGATGACTCGGCATATAAGACGACCCCCGACTTTTGAGAAGATTTTCATGATTTAGAACGCTGGTTCTCAACCTTTTTAATGCCGCAACCCCCAACTGGTCGTAAGTCGAGGACTTCTCAACCGGTCGTAAGTCGAGGACTACTCAACGGGTGCAGCACCGTTTGCAGAATGGGACTTTGGGCGGGCTCAGCAGGGCAGAGACAGCCTGGACAATTCCTATTGGCTTTTGAAAGCCAATAGAATTAGACTCTATTCACGAGAGTCTATTCTATTGGCTTTCAAAAGCCAATAGAATAAAAGGGAGTAGCACAGCTAAGGAAAAGGGGGGAAAAAATGGCGGACTGCGTTGTTTGGCCACCCCCGTGAAATGGTCGTTCGACCCCAAATGGGGTCCCGACCCACAGGTTCAGAACCACTGGTTTAGAAAGTCGTCATATACCGGAAAATACAGTGTGTGTGTGTGTGTGTGTGTGTATGTATACATATATATGTATATGTGTATATATATGTATATATACACACACACATACATACATATACACATATATACATACACACATACATATACATACATACATACATATATAAAAAGAGAAATTTGTTTTGACAAACTTCCTCAAAAACCCCAAACAATCCCGGAGCGGGTTGGCCTACCAAATCGAAAACAAACAACAACAAAAAAGGACAAAATAAATATTTTTCTTTCTCCGGCTGGACTTAAATAAATAAATAAATAAATCAGGGGGAGTTGGTGGGGGGAAAGGAAACACTTTTATTCATTTGCTAATTTGGTCTGTTCCAAAGTCATTCATTTTTTTTTTTACTACACAGACATTTCAGTTAAGTTTCTTTCTTTCTTTTTTTCTTTCTTTTCTTTTTTTTTTTTTTTAAGAAAAATGCAAATACGGTACTTTTAAATCACAAATGAACAACCTGGTGAGACGGAGGGGAGGAGGGAGGGAGGGAGGGGGGCAAAAGGGGATCGGGAGAGGAGGAATAACCACAGTTATAAAAAGCCTAGAGAGGAAAAAAAAGGGGGGGGACACCGCTGGCTCAGGCACACTGGAATCCAGGGGTTCAAGTGTTTACATTATTGGCTACAGGCGTGTTGGGAGGGGGGATAGGGACTGGAGAGGATGGAGAGGAACAATCATCATTTGGACCCATAAGATTTTCGAAACGTACTTTGGCATATGCACAAACAAATTGAAGAATACACTATTAAACCAGGTACACACTCCTGCACTGAGACAAAGAGCATAAATCTCCAAACATCAGGGCAAAGAGGCGAGGGAAGAATTGGAGCGTCTTTTTGCCGGTGCTGGAGAGCATCCATGAGTCACTCCAGAGAAGAAGCCCCACTCCCTTTTCCCTCCCCACCCTCCCCCCTGGTCAAAGTGGACGTTTCCTGCTTCCCACCAGGACCTTCCTGAAGAAGGCGGAACCCAGAAACCCGGCGGCAGCCCCCGTGCTGGTGGAAACCCGGGGGCAGCCCCCCCCCCCCGTGCTGGTGGAAATCCTCCCGAAATCCTTGGAAAACTGCAGCATTCCCAGGGAGAAGGACATGGGTCTCTCTCTCTCTCCCTCTTTCTCTTTTTGCACATCTGGATGTCTTGAGTTCAGGGCAGCCCCCCCCCCTGGTCAGACGTGACAGCCGTTGGAGGGTCTTTTGCTGCGAGAGGCAGCAGAAGAGTCCTTGGCCGACCGGTGCCGGCCGCAAGGGGTGCAAAGGGCACCCCAGAGGTGCTTCAACCCTTTCTGAAAGACACTGTTGGACAAGCTGTAGATGACACAGTTGCAGAAGCTATTGCTGATGGCCAGCCAGGTGGTCAGGAAGGCGGCCAGGCGGCTGTGGTAGATGGAGGAGCTCTCCAAGAGAAAGTAGATGATGTAAGGGAGCCAAAGGATGTAGAAGACGCTGGTGATGCGCAGGAGGACCATGGCGTAGTGCTTGTCCGGGCACGGCTGGCCCTCGGCCGCCTCCCCTTCCTGGGAGCTGAAGCGCACCCGCCGCTCGTTGATCTCCCGGGTGTGTTGCTGGCAGATCCGGAAGATGCTGAAGTAGGTGAAGCAGACCACCAAGGCGGCCGGCGCGTAGAGCAGGATCACGATGAAGAGGGTGAAGACGGCCCGGGTATCCCAAGAGTCGGCGCACCAGCGGAAGATGTCCCCGTGGTAGCCGGGCTTGCCCCACTCAAAGAAGGCGGGCAGGAAGACGGCGCCCGAGTAGAGCCAGAGCAGGAGGATGCAGGCCCGCAGGCGGCAGGGGGTGACCAGCGTGCTGTAGCTGAGGGGCTTGGTGATGGCGATGTAGCGGTCCAGGCTGATGCAGGCCAGCGAGGTCATGGAGACGCTCTTCAGCACCGAGACCACGTAGCCGAAGACCTTGCAGACCAGCGCCTCGGGCAGGAAGGCCAGCGGGTGGTGGAGCAGGGAGAGGGAGGGCACCAGGCAACTCACCCCCACCAGCAAGTCGGCGTAGGCCATGGTCTGGATGAAGTAGCTGGTGGTGTGGTGGTTCAGCAGCGGCGCGCAGTGGAAGACGAAGATGACCACCAGGTTGCCCGAGATGATGAGGACGGTCAGGAAGACGATGATGATGGCCTCCAGCAGGCAGACGTCCAGGCTGTCCGGGTAGCCGGCCGCCAGCAGGCAGAAGGGCCTCCCGCCACTTTCCCCACCGCCCCCGCCCCCGCCGCTCCCATTCCCGGGGCTGCCGCCATCCAGGGAGGCGTTCATCTTGCCGAGGCGCCCACCACGGTCCCTTCACGCCGGTGGCCGCTGCCCGGCTGCTGCACCGGCTGTCATTGCGGCAGCTCCTGCGTGGTGCACGGCTGCTGCTGCTGCTCCTCCTTCGGAGAAGGCGAGGAGAAGTGCGGAGACTGCCCAGGCATTGTCCGCAATGCTCCCTCTTGGCTTGCGACGGCAGCCACCGCCCCCGTCTCCAGCTGGGCTGGCTGGCAGCAGGCGGCTGGCTGCCGCTGGGGGGGAGCAGAGGTACGCTGCTGCTGGTGCTGCTGCTAATGTGCTGCTCTCTGGCTGGAAGGAGGAGGAGGCTGGCTGGAGGGTTGGGGGGAGGGAGGGGAGGAAGGCCAGTGCAGCCACGTGGGGGCGGTTCCTCCTGGAAGCCGAGGGAGGAAGAAAGAATCCCTCCCTTCCTCCCCGCTTGCGCCAGGCGGCCTCCCTGCCCCCAACACTGCAGGAGAGAGAGGGGGAGAGGGGGCCAGCTGCCCACCAGCTTCCCAGGATCTGGAGGAGGGATGCTTTGGAGACTGCCCCCCCTCCTCCTCCCCCTCCTCCGCCTACCTGCCGCTGCTGCTGTTCGGAGGAGGACAAAGGCGAGCTCTCGCAGCCAGCCGACGTGTGTGCCTGCCTGGCGTGCCCGCCCGGCAGAGGCAGGCGGCTGCCCGCTCTGGGTCCAGAAGGGAAGGCAGGCAGCAGCAGCAGCAGCAGCGCAGCCCTGGGCTGGTTCTCTCCGCCCAGCTGGCTCTGCAGATTTGGTGGGCGCGCGCGCCTGCGTGTGTGTGCCCTGCTCCGCCTGCGCGCTCGCTTGCTCTCCTCCGCACTGCCAAGCCCACCGCCCTGCAGAAAGTTTCTCTCGGCGTGGGGAGGGGGGGAGCACAGGCCAAACCCACCCCTGCCCCTCAGCTCTGTCCAGACCTGCCGGCCGGAGCTACAGATGCAGTTGGAGGCAGAAATCTCAAACAGCCTGCACGGTCCTCCAGGTGAAAACGGCCCAGAGGCAGGGGAGGGGAGGGGTGCCAAGCCCCCTAGGTGTCAGCCCCTTGGGAGGGCTGCTGGGAGGGGGGCCCCTCCCTCTCCCTGAGGCCTTGTAGCAGCCCTCTCAGCCAGAGAGGCACCCCATAGAGCTGATTCCCTCGACTGACCCTCGTTCCCCGACAACCTCAAAGACACCATCACCAGAACAGACGGCGGCGCTCCTCCTTGGGACCCAGATCCCCCCCCCAAATGACCCCTGTGGAGCGTGACAGACGGAAATCTGGAAGCAAAAGCAGAAGAGCCCTATCCTGCGCTCCCTCTGGATTAAAGCAGGATTCAGATCTTCAGCCACCTTTTCAAATTCCTTTGAAGGAACAGGCTGCTCACGGGGAAAGACGGTGCTTGGGAATGTCGGGTGACAATCTCAGCATCGGAGTGGGATCTCGGTTTAAGGGCAGCCGAGAAGGGAGCCAAGTGATTCCTTAGCCACTGAAGAGAGGGCTCCTTCTGGAGCATCTCCCCTCCATCGTGCTCCCTCGGTTACCATAGAAACTAGCTCTTTCTTCTCCCCATCTTGGGCCTTGCAAGCTCAAGATCCGAAGGATCGGGAAGGGAGCCCTCCTCTTCTGCGGCTTTTCCGCGCGTCGTCAAGAAATCCTCAAAGACCTTCTTCAAACCGGACGCCGGGGTTGGATTTTCCAAGCGGCCACCTCGAATCGAGGCAGTTTTGATTGCTCGAAAGCGTTATTGAACCTCAACGATTCAAGGAGGTTCTCCTACAAACTGCAGAGGACACATCTCCTCCAAAAACTGTCCCCTGTTCTCCTGCGTAGTCCGGCGTGAAGGAGACCCCCGTCTAGCTAATGGGACCTATTTCTGGTGCCACTGAGAGCCGCGCGCCTGAGCCAGGTGCTAATAAATGTCCGTGCGTTTAAGGAAGGAACGAGGATGCTTCGCGGAGTTGATCAGACTAGGCTTAATGTCTTTTTCAAACCGGACTAAGTTGTATCTCTGGTTTGGCATCCTAGGTGCACGCTTTTCGTTCAGGTCAGGAAAAGACGGATGATTTAGGAAAGAGGGGTGGGGGGGCTTCAGTCATTGGAGCTGTACACACGGCAGAGCCCCCAATTTTTATGGGAAGACCCTGCAGATCTGTCTCCTGCCTCTCCTACAACAGGTGAGTCCGTCCTTCGGAAGCCAAAGAAGCAAGCCCGCCCAATTGTTTTTACAGATATCTGAATCACAGATAGACCGGCATCCTATGTCCACAATGGACGTCAGAAGACACCTTTTGGGAAGTCTGCAATCAGGGTTCTTTTTCAAACGTTGCGCTCTCATTGCCTCTTAGAATAGAATAGAGCTGGAAAGGACCTTGGAGGTCTTCTAGTCCAGCCCCCAGCTCAAGCAGGAGACCCTATGCCATTTCAGACAAGTGACTGTCCAGTCTCTTCTTAAAAACCTCCAGTGATGGAATGCCCATGATTTCTGGTGGCCAGCTGTTCCACTGGTTAATTGTCCTCATTGTCAGGAAGTTTCTCCTTAGTTCCAGGTTGCTTCTCGATTAATTTCCATCTATTGCTTCTTATCCAGCCTTCAGGTGCTTTGGAGAACAGGTTGATCCCCTCTTCTTTGTGGCGGCCCCTCAAATACTGGAATACTCCACAACTGATCAACAAAGACTTTTTTTTGAGCTGGATGGAAGCCTAGCAGCCTCCCTCTGGGGGAGAATCCAGGATAGTAGTAGTAGTAGTAATGAGGAGGAGGAGGAGGAGGAGGAGGAGGAGGAGGAGGAGGAGGAGGAGGAGGAGGAGGAGGAGGAGGAGAAGTTGGAAGGGATCTTGAAGGTCATCTAGTCCAACCGCCTGCTCAGGCAGGAAACCCTATACCATTTCGGACAAATGGCTGTCCAGTTTCTTCTTAAAAACTTCCAGTATTAGAGCATTCACCGCTTCTAGAGGCAGGTTGTTCCACTGGTTAATTTTTATCACTGTCAGGAAGTTTCTCCTTAGTTCTAGGTTGCTTCTCTCCTTGATGAGTTTCCATCCGTTGCTTCTTGTCCTGCCTTCAGGTGCTTCGGAGAATAGCTTGACCCCCTCTTCTTTGGGGCAGCCCCTGAGATACTGGAACATTGTTATCCTGTCCCCCCTGGTCCTTCTCTTCATTAAACTAGACATACCCAATTCCAGCAACTGTTCCTTATGTGTTTTAGTCTCCAGTCCTCTGATCATCTTTGTTGCTCTTCTCTGTCCTCTTTCTAGAGTCTCAACATTTTTTTTACATCGTGGTGACCAGAATTGGACGCCGTATTCCAAGTGTGGCCTTACCAAGGCCTTGTAAAGCAGTATTAACCCTTCGCCTAATCTTGATTCTATCCCTCTGTTGATGCAGCCTAGTGTGAAGGGCGTCCCGGGTGTGGGTTTTCTTATTGGACTTGTGAACTGGTTAGATGAAAAATCAAGGAGTCAGGAGGCAAAGCCAACGCCAGCTTGAGAACGGTTTCAGAGCTGGTGCAAAGCCGCTTTCAGGATTCCTGCGAGGCGCACCATGTCGTTTGTCCAGGGAGCAACTGCTGAGAAAAGGCTGGATGAGGCTTGGAGCCAAGGACAGCTGTTAGCACAAAGGCTCCTCTGTCGAGGGGGAAATGGGGAAGGGCAGCTTTCCATAACAAGAAGTACCCTCCCCGTGGAAGTTACAAGAGGCCTCGACTTACAACGGGTTCACTTAGTAACTGTTGTACAGGTATGGTATAGGGGGTACCTTGCTCAATACTAATAACTGTGAGAGGGATCTCAGAGTCCTAATGGACAAACCCTTAAATAGGAGCCAGCCATGTGCTGCAGCTGCCAAAAAGGCCAACACAGTGCTAGGCTGCATTAACAGAGGGATGGAATCAAGATCACATGAAGTGTTAATACCACTTTACAAGGCTTTGGTAAGGCCACACTTGGAATCCTGCATCCAGTTTTGGTCACCACGATGTAACAAAGATGTTGAGATCCTAGAAAGAGTTCAGAGAAGAGCAACAAAGATGATCAGGGGACTGGAGGCTAAAACATATAAGGAACGGTTGCTGGAATTGGGTATGTCTAGTTTAACGAAGAGAAGGACGAGGGGGGACATGATAGCAGCCTTCCAGTATCTCAGGGGCTGCCCCAAAGAAGAGGGAGTCAAGCTATTCTCCAAAGCACCTGAAGGCAGGACAAGAAGCAATGGATGGAAACTAATCAAGGAGAGAAGCAACCTGAACTAAGGAGAAAACTTCCTGACAGTTAGAACAATTAACCAGTGGAACAACCTGCCCCAGAAGCGGTGAAGCTCCAACACTGGAAGTTTTTAAGAAGAGACTGGACAGCCATTGTCTGAAATGGTATAGGGTTTCCTGCCTGAGCAGGGGGTTGGACTAGATGACCCCAAGGTCCCTTCCAACTTTATTATTATTATTATTATATTGTTGTTGTTGTTGTTGTTGTTCAAAAGTGACAACAGCACTGAAAAAAGTGACACTTCGGACCGTTTTTCGCCCTTACGACCGTTCGAACGACCATTTCACGGGGGTCGCCAAACAATGCAGTCCGCCATTTTTCCCCCCCTTTTCCTTAGCTGTGCTCCTCCCTTTTATTCTATTGGCTTTTGAAAGCCAATAGAATAGACTCTCTTGAATAGAGTCTAATTCTATTGGCTTTCCAAAGCCAATAGGAATGGTCCAGGCTGTCTCTGCCCTGCTGAGCCTGCCAAAAGTCCCATTTTGTAAACGGTGCTGCACCGGTTGAGTAGTCCTCAACTTACGACCGGTTGAGTAGTCCTCGACTTACGACCGGTTGGGGCTCGCGGCATTAAAAAGGTTGAGAACCACTGGTTTAGAGTCTCCTGCTTGAGCACGGGGTTTGGACTAGAATAAGGGTCCCCAACCCCCGGTCTCTGGACCGGTACCGGGCTGCGCCATGCCAGCAACCGGTCCGCACAAACAAGCAAAGCCCCGTCTGTGGGATGCAGGCAGCACACGAAACCATGCACACTCCGGTCCGCGGGAAAACCTCTCCACAGATCTGGTCCCTGGTGCCCCAAAAGTTGGGGCCCTCTGCTCTAGGTATCCAGGAAGGGGCTTCTCAAAGGGGGCTATGAGGAAACGCATCAGGAACACAACTGGGGCGCTTGGAAGACCCAATTTCTGGCTCTTTAGAAGAGGGGTCCCCAACCTCCTTTCCGTCAACCGGCACCGGTCTGCAGCATATCAGAAACCGGGCCGCACAAAGAAGCGAAAGACCCATCTGTGGGAGGCAGGCAGCGCACAAAACCAGGTTCCCCCCCCCCTCCCCAGTCTGTGACAAAAACCTCTCCCCATGGAACCAGACCCCCCCGGTGCCCAAAAGGTGGGGGGCGCTGCTTTAGAAGACCCCAGACCTCACTGTTCGAGGTTATCCCCAGCTCTCTTTTTTTTTCTCAACCTTGCATTCCCCCCCTCCCAACCATCCACGTTTTTTGTTGTTTAAAACTACATCCGTTCCTCTCAATCGGCACATCTCTGTTGAGCTTTAGCTGATGGGAATTTGGAAGCAGTGGGGGGGAGGGAGGGGGAGAGGGAGGGAGAAGGAGAGAAAGAGAGAGAGAGAGAGAGAGGAGAAAAAGAGAGAAAGAGAGAAAGGAGGCAGAGGCAGAGAGAGAGACAGAGAGGAGAAAGAAAGAGAAAGAAAGAAAGAGAAAGAAAGAAAAAGTGAGAGAAAGAGAAAGGAGAGAGAAAGAGAGGAGAAAAAGTGAGAGAAAGAGAAAGGAGATAGAGAGAGAGAGAGAGACAGAAGCAGAGACAGAGAGAAAGAGAGACAGAAAGAGAAATAAAAAGAAAGAAAAAGTTAGAGAAAGAGAAAGGAGAGAGAGAGAGAGAGAGAGAAAGAGAGAAAGAGAAAGGAAGGAGAAACAGAGAGAAAGAGAGAAAGGAGACAGAGAGAGAGAGAGCCAGAGAGAGGAGAAAGAGAGACAGAAAAAGAAAGAAAGAAAAAGTGAGAGAAAGAGAAAGGAGATAGAGAGAGAGAGAGGCAGAGAGAGAGACAGAAGCAGAGACAGAGAGAGAGACAGAAAGAGAAAGAAAAAGAAAGAAAAAGTTAGAGAAAGAGAAAGGAGAGAGAGAGAGAGAGAGAGAAAGAGAGAGAGAGGAAGGAGAAAAAGAGAGAAAGAGAGACAGAAAGAGAAAGAAAAAGAAAGAAAAAGTTAGAGAAAGAGAAAGGAGAGAGAGAGAGAGAGAGAGAGAAAGAGAGAGAGAGGAAGGAGAAAAAGAGAGAAAGAGAGACAGAAAGAGAAAGAAAAAGAAAGAAAAAGTTAGAGAAAGAGAAAGGAGAGAGAGAGAGAGAGAGAAAGAGAAAGGAAGGAGAAAAAGAGAGAAAGAGAGAAAGGAGACAGAGAGAGGCAGAGAGAGAGACAGACAGAGAGAGGAGAAAGAGAGACAGAAAAAGAAAGAGAAAGAAAAAGTGAGAGAAAGAGAAAGGAGAGAGAAAGAGAGAAAGAGAGAAAGAGAAAGGAGAAAAAGTGAGAGAAAGAGAAAGGAGAGAGGGGGGGAGGGAGGGGGAGAAGAAGAGAGACAGACAGAGAAAGAGAAAGAAAGAGAAAGAGAAAAAGTGAGAGAAAGAGAAAGGAGAGAGAGAGAAGGCGAGAAAGAGAGAAAGAGAAAAAGCAAAAGAGAAAGGAGAGAGGGAGGGAGGGGGAGAAGGAGAGAGACAGAGAGAGAAAGAAAGAGAAAGAGAAAAAGTGAGAGAAAGAGAGACACAGGAATTGCCAGGCAGCCTAGCAACACAACCACACTGCTAAAAAGCCAGAACGGAAAGCGGCTGGCAACTGGACCAATATGGCAAACTGAGCCCCTACCCAGAGCTGCTGGGCCCAAGACGGCGAGCCAAGGTGACAAGAACGGGACCTGGGGTGGGAAGCAGGTTGGCCGGCCGGCCAGCTCAGAACGCTGCGCTCCAGAACTGAGGACGGGAACGCTTGTTGCGGCATTCAACCTCACGGGGTTTGTGTGCGCGTGCCTCAACCCGTGGACCGCGCAAGCCGCGCGAGGACCCGGAGCAGATTCTTCCTTGCAAGTTACACACCCAGCCTAGCTGGGGAACCCCCTGCGGCTCAAGCCTTAGCGAAGTCAAGCCGTTTCATCCTCTCCCCACCGGAAAGCACCAAAGCTGCCGACTGCACCCAAGATGGAAGCCCTCCCCATGGCAAATCACAAAGGCCTTCTCCAGGGATCCTTGGAAAAAACCTCTGGGGTGGGTCAAAGGCCCCGTGTGGGCCACCCCCCTCCTGCATCTGAGACCCCACCTCAGCAATGCTTCTGGACTGTGGACCTGGGATAGGAACCGAGTCCCGTTTTTGCGCTCTCCCACCGGCTGCGGCTCTTAAAGCCACGCATTTGACGTAGAGTGGCCTCGACACCATCTTTTTAAACATGGGGTTTTTTTTAAAATACACGCGCAGCTGAATAAACGTAGGCAAGGAAAATGGAACGGCAAAGACAAGACGAAAGAGTGGCTCTAAACACAACCCAGAAGCTGGTGCTGTCTCCCCAAAATTGAACCAGATTCCTGCTGAGCAACTAGGAAACAAAAGCTGCTTATAGGCGCGGCTGTGTCTCCCCTGACCTTGCTACGTGCCCTAAATTTGAAACGTCGGACGGTGAAAGAAAAAGCAGGCATGCAATTGTTCAACACACACACAGACACAGACCTAAGACATGTGCTTCTTCCAAAGGTCACACACTCAAGACCGATTTGACCCCCTTCACTTTTCCGTCCCCATTGTTTGGGCTACCTTTGACGCAGGCTCCGTCGTCTCCTCTAAAAATTCAACGTGCGTGCCTCGCAAAACCTCAGATGCAGCGGCATGTTCCAAGAATGGGAATGGGATTTTATCACCCTCCCACCCCCGGGAAACTGAGACAGTTGAGCAGCTTTCCGAGCCGGAGACCGGAAAGAGAGGGGCGGGAAGCGCAACGTCCTCGCTAAGGGGAGAGGCGACACTGTGGTCACTTCAACCCGAAGACGGCTGTGCGGGCGCTGAGCAGATTCACTGAAACTCTGCCTTAAAAATGCCTCCAAAATGGTATTCCACGTGCTCGTCGGTCGGTCCCAGGACCAGCCTCCTTGCTTTGCCAAGGGGTTCCAGAGGCCCCCCGACCCAGGGCCACTGGGAAAAGATCTCCTGCCCCAGCCCGTGTTCGCAGACACACCCACCTTTGTGATGAGAATCCGGTACTTCTCCACCAGAAAGTCGTTGTTGTGACAACCTGCCAAAAGCTGCCACACTTCTCCACGGAGAGCTTCGGGGACGCCGCTCCTCACCAAGGCAGACAAGGCTTTGGGTCGCACGCTCAGGTTCAAGTGCCTGGGAAAAGAGGGCCCTTAATAATAATAATAATAATAATAATAATAATAATAATAATAATAGCCTATTACTATTGGTAGAGCCTATTACTACCAATAGTAATAGGCTCTTTAGGTGCAATCCCAAAACAACTGTAGCACCACTTGAACACCATTGGCATTGACAAATTCGCTATTAGTCAATTGCAAAAGGCGGCCTTACTAGGAACTGCTTCCATCCTGCGACGATATCTGTAATACCATCAAACATCCACATCTGCCTATCCCAGGTCCTGGGTAAGGACTCGATAGGTAGACAAAATGCCAAATCCAGTCTGAACATCTGGCTGACTATGCGATAATCAATAATAATAATAATAGTAAAGTTGGAAGGGACCTTGGAGGTCATCTAGTCCAACCCCCTGCTCGGGCAGGAAACCCTATACCATTTCAGACAAATGGCTGTCCAGTCTCTTCTTGAAAACTTCCAGTGTTGGAGCATTCACTGCTTCTGGAGGCAGGTTGTTCCACTGGTTAATTGTCCTCCCTGTTAGGAAGTGTATCCTTAGTTCTAGGTTGCTTCTCTCCTTGATTAGTTTCCACCCGTTGCTTCTTGTCCTGCCTTCGGGTGCTTTGGAGAATAGCTTGACTCCCTCTTCTTTATGGCAGCTCAGCCGGGACCTGAATAGAATACAGCTGGAAGGGACCTTGGAGGTCTTCTAGTCCAGCCCCGCTGCTCGAGCAGGAGACCCTATGTCGTTTCAGACGGGTGGCTGCCCAGTCTCTTCTTAAAAAATCTGCAGGGATGAAGCGCCCACAATTTCTGGTGGCAAGCTGTTCCACTGGTTAATTATTCTCCCTGTTGGGAAGTTTCTCCTTAATTCCAGGCTGCTTCTCTCTCTGATCAGTTTCCAACCACTGTTTCTTGTCCTGCCCTCTGGGGCTTTGGAGAATAATGTGACCCCACCCCCTCTTCTTTGTGGCAGCCCCTCAAATACTGGAATAACTGCACTCATGTCACCCCTGCTTCTTCTTTTCTTTAGACTAATCCAGTGGTGGCGAACCTATGGCACTGGTGCCAGAGGCGGCACTCGGAGCCCTCTCTATGGGCACGCGTGCTGTTGCCCCAGCCTTGCCTCCCTCCTCTTTGTTCCCTATGCCACCCGTCTGGTGAACTGGCAAGATTTGTTTTTCTCGCCATATATATGCATGCATCCGAACTAGACTGTATGTATGTGTGTATGTAGGATTATTATTATTGTTGTTGTTGTTGTCATATTTATGCAGTGTATATTGGAGGTAGTTACCTATGAGAGCTGTATACAACGAAATCTCATTTTAATGTATTAATGTACATTAAAAGTGACAATAAAGTTATTCTATTCTATTCTATTCCTCTCATGCATTCCATTCCACTCCTCTCCTCTCCACTCCATTCCATATTCTATTCTATTCTATTCATTATTCTATTCATTCTCTATTCTATTCTATTCTATTCATTCTCTATTCTATTCTATTCATTTTCTATTCATTCTTTATTCTATTCTATTCATTCTCTATTCTATTCTATTCATTCTCTATTCTATTCTATTCATTCTCTATTCTATTCTATTCATTCTCTATTCTATTTTATTCTATTCATTCTCTATTCTATTTTATTCTATTCATTCTTTATTCTATTCTATTCATTCTGTTCTATTCTATTCATTCTCTATTCTATTCATTCTGTTCTATTCTATTCATTCTCTATTTTATTCATTCTCTATTCTATTCATTCTCTATTTTATTCATTCTCTATTCTATTCATTCTCTATTCTATTCTATTCATTCTCTATTCTATTCTATTCATTCTCTATTCTATTTTATTCTATTCATTCTTTATTCTATTCTATTCATTCTGTTCTATTCTATTCATTCTCTATTTTATTCATTCTCTATTCTATTCTATTCATTCTCTATTCTATTCTATTCATTCTCTATTCTATTCTATTCTATTCATTCTTTATTCTATTCTATTCATTCTCTATTCTATTCATTCTCTATTCTATTCTATTCATTCGTATTCTATTCATTCTCTATTCTATTCTATTCATTCTCTATTCTATTTTATTCTATTCATTCTTTATTCTATTCATTCTCTATTCTATTCATTCTCTATTCTATTCTACTCATGTAAGAAAGTGCTGAACAGAAGGAGGGTTGCGATGGCCCCTCTTTGCTCACAAGTAATTACTCTCAGCCCTCAAGGCTTGTGGGGAATGGCTGCACTGGGACTTTGCCTACATGCCTCCCTTCTCCTGACTGGATTCTCCAACCAGGACGATTTCTGGAACGTGGATGCAGGAAGCAGAGCGCTTACCACTTGGAAAGTAGGTCTCCCCACGTCTCCAGGATCTTCTCCGCACACTCTTTGGAGACGTCCCCTGAGCCACTGAGCAGAGGCTCGTCATTATCTGCAAAATAGGAGGCGGCGTCTCAGGGAGGGGGGAAAGGAAAGCCAACAAAGTAACCCCACCCCCAGTTGGGAGCCACTCATCCACGGGTGCCTGCCCGAAGCCCGCTTTCCTGCCCCAATCCAAAGCAGGTGTCCCTTTCAGAAACAAGGAGCGGCCTCTGCTGCAGCTGGGCGGCTTTCGTGGAGACCAAACTGGGTGATTTACAATAGAATAACAGAGTTGGAAGGGACCTTGTAGGTCATCTAGTCCAACCCCTCCCCCCCTGCCCAAGCAGGAGACCCTGAACCATTTCTGACCGATGGCGGTCCGGTCTTTTCTTGAAAACTTCCCGGGATGAATCTCCCACATGTTCTGAAGGCAAGCTGCTGTTCCAGCATTAACAGAGGGGAATATTTGTAACTCGGAGTTGAAATGAGGGGCCCTTGGTGCTCTCTGAGGTTGGTGGTTTCCTTGCAGATGTTTCATTAGCCCAGCTAGGTAACATCATCAGTGCTAGTGTTGTAGCTTATATGTAAGCTGCCCAGAGTTACCCTAAATTTTATAAAGAATAGAACAGAATAGAATAGAATAGAATAGAATAGAATGGAATGGAATATAAAATAGAATAGAATAGAATAGAATAGAATAGAATAGAATAGAATAGAATAGAATAGAATAGAATAGAATGGAATGGAATGGAGTGGAGTGGAGTGGAGTGGAGTGGAGTGGAATGGAATGGAATAGAAATAAAATACAGAATAGAATAGAATAGAATAGAATAGAATAGAATAGAATAGAATAGAATAGAATAGAACAGAATAGAATAAGAAAGAATAGAATAGAATAGAATGGAATGGAATATAAAATAGAATAGAATAGAATAGAATAGAATAGAATAGAATAGAATAGAATAGAATAGAATAGAATAGAGTGGAGTGGAGTGGAGTGGAGTGGAGTGGAGTGGAGTGGAATGGAATAGAATAGAATAGAATAGAATAGAATAGAATAGAATAGAATAGAATAGAATAGAATAGAATAGAATAGAATAGAATAGAATAGAATAGAATATGGAACGGAGTGGGGAGGAGAGGAGTGGAATGGAATAGAATGCAGGAGAGAAATAGAATAGAACAGAATAGAATATGGAATGGAATAAGAATAGAATAGAATAGAATGGAATGGAACGGAACAGAGCAGAGTAGAGTAGAATATGGAATGGAGTGGAGTGGAGTAGAGTAGAATAGAATATAGAGGAATGGAATGGAATGGAGTGGAGTGGAATAGACTAGACTAGAATAGAATTAGAAAGTAGCAGAGTTGGAAGGGACCTTGTAGGTCATCTAGTCTAACCCCGCAAGTAGGAGACCCTACGCCATTTCTGAACAGATGGCAGTCCAGTCCTTTCTTGAAAGCTTCCAGCGATGAAACTTCTAAAGGCAAACTCTTCCCCTGGTTCATTGTTCCAACTGTCAGAAAATTCCTCCGTATTGCCAGGTTGAATCTCTCCTCGATCCGTTTCCATCCGTTAGTCCTTGTCCGACCTTCAGGTGCTTTGGAAAACAGGTTGTCCCACTCCTCTCTGTGACAGCCCCTCAGACATGGGAAGACTGCTACCGAAACCCGGCCTCTCGTGGGGCAGAGCGTTTTAGGACCGATCCATCTTATAGAGGGAGGGAGGGACACGGACACGCCCCAAACCTCTTGCCGAAGCTGCAGCTAGCCCACCGCCCACCCACCCCCCTGCCCCCTCGCAAGGGACCACCCTGGAAAAGCCAGCCTTCCTCACCTTCCTCCTCGTCATCCTCGGGCGGGGAGGGGATGATGGAGCCTTGGGAGCCGGACTGGGGGAGCCGGAGGGCGGGACTGGCTGTGGTTTTCCTCCTTTCCTTCTGCGACTCGCTCTCCAGGCAGACCACTTCGTAGAGGGTGTCGGTGCTGGCCTTGCGGTCCTTTTGCTTGATCTGAGCAACACAACAGCCGTCGGGGGGGGGGGGGATTGGGTCCCAAGCGGAACACAAACGCCCCGGGAACCCAAAGCCTATACATTCCCTTTGGGACAGGAGCCATCCGCTTTCATTTCTTTGAATTCTTTTTTTAATCAGAGTGGAATAGACCCCACCCCCTCCCTTCCCAACAGGGGGGGGGAGCTCAGAGGTCTCACCTGCTTCAGTTTGAGGAAGAAGTTTTCCGTGGAGCTTCTCTTGCTGAAAGGCCAGTAGAGCCGCTCGTTCGGGGGACAGACGCGGATTTTGGACTCCAGGAGGAAGCGGACGGGCTCCTGCACTTCCGTAATCACCAGGTCCACCGCTGTGGTCAGGAAGAGCACCTGGTCTGCAGAGGAGGCGGGGGGAGGTGGAGGAGAGGTGGGGGAGGTGGAGCAGGAGGAGGTGGAGGAGTAGAAGGGAGGAGGAGGAGGAGGAGTAGAAGGAAGTGGAGGAGTAGAAGGAAGTGGAGGAGGAGGAGGAGGTGAAGGAGGAGGTGGGGGAGGTAGAGCAGGAGGAGGTGGAGGAGTAGAAGGAAATGGAGGAGGAGGTGGGGGAAGGAGGAGGTGGAGGAGGAAGTGGAGGAGGTGGGGGAGAGGAGGAGGAAGTGGAGGAGAGGAGGAAGTGGAGGAGGTGGAGGGAGGAGGAGGTGGGGGAAGGAGGAGGTGGAGGAAGTGGAGGAGGAGGAGGAGAGGAGGAAGTGAAGGAGGAGGTGGAGGAGGAAGTGGAGGAGAAATGGAGAAGGAAGTGGAGGAGAAAGAGGAGGAAGTGGAGGAGGAGAAATGGAGAAGGAAGAGGAGGAAGTGGAGGAGAAAGAGGAGGAAGTGGAGGAGGAGAAATGGAGAAGGAAGAGGAGGAAGTGGAGGAGGAAGAGGAGGAAGTGGAGGAGGGAGGCAAAACCTAATGGTTAGAGAATGAGCTGCGGCTGGACAGTGAAGAGCAGGGCAGATTCTGTCCACAGCAGCATCTTCAAGCTGGCCAAAAAAACTCCTGATGTCAAGGTTGAATTGCTAAGAGGCTCGCTAGCTTCTGTCACTACTCAACTTGCCATAAAAACGGGGAGGGAAACCCTGGGAAAGAAACTGGGAGTTTCAAGAAGCTGTCCATGGACTCCGAGACCCAACTCGCCATGGCCAACTCAACATAGCCAATACTCCATGGCCAACTCTCCATGGCCCACTCTTCATAGCCAACTCTCCATGGCCAACTCGCCATAGCCAACTCTCCATGGCCAACTCAACATAGCCAACACGCCATGGCCAACTCAACATAGCCAACTCGCCATGGCCAACTCTCCATAGCCAACTCGCCATGGGCAACTCAACTTATCCAACACGCCATGGGCAACTCAACATAGCCAACTTGCCATGGCCAACTTGCATAGCCAACTCTCCATGGCCAACTCAACATAGCAAACACACCATGGCCAACTCAACATAGCCAACTCTCCATGGCCAACTCAACACAGCCAACACGCCACGGCCAACTCAACATAGCCAACTTGCCATGGCCAACTCTCCATAGCCAACTCTCCATGGGCAATTCAACTTATCCAACACGCCATGGCCAACTCAACATAGCCAACTCTCCATGGCTAACTCTCCATGGCCAACTCAACACAGCCAACACGCCATGGCCTACTCAACATAGCAAACACACCATGGCCAACTCAACATAGCCAACTCGCCATGGCCAACTCGCCATGGCCAACTCAACATAGCCAACTCGCCATGGCCAACTCAACATAGCCAACTCACCACGGGACAAGAGTTACACTAATATCAAACAAACGGTGGCACAGAATCATCAAAGAAAGGATGCCAAAAAAGGGAGAAAATGAAATGTGAATGACAAAAATTAAAATAATATTTTAATTATCTTAGATAATGAAATTGAATTGCTGAACTGTCCCAGAGCGAGTTGTCCCATGACAAGTTAGCCCCTGGCCAGTTGGCTGTGGCGAGTTGTCCCACTCCGTGTGTGGATCCCCTGGCCTGCATCTTCCACGAAGGTGACCTGCAGGGTCCAGCCTCTATTCTGGGGTTCTCTGGGGGTGGGGGGGTGGGGGGACCATATTTCATCACTGCCCTACGGACTGGGGTGGCCCTGCCGCCCAGACTCTGACGAACCTTTGGGCGTCTCCTCGTTCACAATTTGGAAGTGCGGAGACTTGGTGTTCCAACTCCCGGTGATGATGTACGATTTCCCATCCGAGCTTTTCCCCATGGACTCCTAGAAGCACAGAGAGAGGCCGGGATGGACCACAGCACGCCCCGTAGCAGGTGGCGGGGAGGGAGGGGGCATGTTCAGATGAGGTGGGGGAAAGGAGGGTGACTTACCAAATCCAGCAAATGCATGTCTCCGCTCTGCACGTCTTTGCCGGGACTGAGGAGGAGGCCGAAACATCTGCAAACATGAAAGAGAAGGAGGTTGGCAAGACGGACCGACCCCCCGGTAGAGTCCTCCCAACACAAATCCTTTCAGCCCTTCCAAGAAGGCTCCACTTCCATTTGCACCCCTCAGGTGACCCTGAGGACACAGGTAAACCTCCAAGCGGCCTCAAGGACTCTCTAGACCAGTGGTTCTCAACCTGTGGGTCGGGACCCCATTTGGGGTCGAACGACCATTTCACGGGGGTCGCCAAACAAGGCTGTCCGCCATTTTTTCCCCCTTTTCTTTGGCCACGGCCCTGGCACCCGGTGATGTATAAGTGGTTGGGGGTCACCACAACATGGGGAACTGTATTATGGGGTCGCGGCATTAGAAAGGTTGAAAACCACTGCTCTAAAGGAAGGTAAATGACCAGCTGTCTGCAAGGAGTATCCATCCTTCCATTTCCCCACCATCCAGTCAGAGCTGAAGAAGCTTCTGGGATGAGAAGCGAAAGGTCTTCAAAGAAACACAAGAAAGAGTCCAGATGCCGCGTGAAAAAGCAACCTTGGGGATAGCAGATAATGAAATATTTCGAGGAGGGGTTATCAAACCGTGGCAATTTTAAGACTTGGGGGCGTCAACTCCCAAAATGCGCCAGCCAGCGTGGGAGTTGAAGTCCCCCAGTCTTAAAAGTCGCCAAGGTTGGACACCCCTGATCGTTCTCTCACCTGCCTCGGCCTTAAGCGCCAGGGCCGAGGCCCGACAGGTGCTGCCTTACCTCTCAATGGCCAGCTCTTTGTTCGTGGTCTGTTGCACGTAGAGGACAATCTTCTTGTCGATTCCTTGCCGTAACTTGAAGCACTGCCTGTCTTTGTCCTTCGGAACGGCACTGGGGAGGGAAGGGAAACCAAAAAAGGCGAAGTTCAAAGTCTCCCAATGTCGAGGCACCCCAGGGGACTTCCAGATGGGTCTCCCCCTTGTCATCCAACTGACTTTGTAAACAGGGAGACACATTTCATTCAAGGAGCTATTAAATCATCATCTGTTTAGCTTCCACCGGGCTGTCAGGATGAGGTCAGAGAAAAGGAAACCTGAGGCAGGCTAATTGATCAAGCCACCTTCCCCACAACCCAGCGCCTCTGGACTGCAATCCTGGCTTCCTGGATTAGGGAAAGGTGAGAGAAAACAAGCCAAGATTTCCCCACCCCGTGTGAAGACCTAAGACAGGGCTAGGCAACCTTAGGTCTTTTATGACTAGTGGACTTCAACTCCCAGAATTCCTGAGCCAGCCAGGCTGAGGGGAAAGGGAGAGGTTTCCAAGCTGAGCCTTGCTGGCTCAGGAATTCTGGGAGTTGAAGTCCACTAGTCATAAAGCGGCCTAGGCCTAGGCCAGAGATAGGCAACCTTGGCTCTTTTATGACTGGTGGACTTCAACCCCCAGAATTCCTGAGCCAGCCAGGCTGAGGGGAAAGGGAGAGGTTTCCAAGCTGAGCCAGGCTGGCTCAGGAATTCTGGGAGTTGAAGTCCACCAGTCATAAAAGAGCCAAGGTTGCCTACCCCTGGCCTAGGATAATTAATTGAAGAATCTGTTCACATTTCTTTGGCTCAGTCAGGCAGTATAAACTGGCCAGACTTGTGAGAGTTAGAAAACTAAAAACAGCTTTAGTGTTACAAAAATGTAGTTCTAAATAATGGCCAGTAGCAATGAGAATTTAATCACTTTCTACCAAGACTGATTTTTTTTTTGCAAGAATAATGCAAAATGTACACCCCGAAACAGCTGCACGTTAAAATCCTTGAATCTGATTCTGGAGGGGAAGGTTGCCCAGGGCCCGTCAAATCAGAAGCCTCGCCAAATGCTCAACGGGAAGCTGATACCTGAAGCAGCCTTTCCCATCGTCCTCCTTGATTTCCAGCGAGACCGAAAAGGTGAAAATGTCGCTGTCCGGCATCTCGGGAGTAACCGGGGCTGCAAGAGGGACTTGCTTGGCAGAACGGCGGAAAGCGGTTGCAAAACTGTACAGGATCCGGCTCACCTGGAGATGAAGAGGAAGAAGAGGAGGAGGAGGAGGGGGCAGAAGGGAGGGAGGGAGGGAGGGGGAGAGGAGGAGAAGAAGTAGAGGAAGAGAGAAAAGGATAGGTGGAAGAAAGGAAGGAAGAAGACAGAGAGAAAAAAGATAAAGGAGAGGGGAGGGGAGGAGGAGAGGAAAGGATGGAAGAAAGGAAGGAAGAAAACAGAGAGAAAGGAGAGGAGAGGGAGGGAGGAAAGGATGGAAGAGAGGAAGGAGGAAGGAAGGTAGAAGATAAAGAGAGGAGAGGAGAGGAGGGGAGAGGAGGATGAGAAGTAGAGGAAGAGAGAAAAGGATAGGTGGAAGAAAGGAAGGAAGGAGAGAGAAAAAAGATAAAGGAGAGGGGAGGGGAGGAGGAGAGGAGAGGAAGGAAGGATGGAAGAAAGGAAGGAAGAAAACAGAGAGAAAGGAGAAGAGAGGGAGGAAAGGATGGAAGAGAGGAAGGAAGAAAACAGAGAGAAAGGAGAAGAGAGGGAGGGAGGAAAGGATGGAAGAGAGGAAGGAGGGAAGGAAGGTAGAAAACAGAGAGAGAGGAGAGAAGGGGAGAGAAAGAGGAGAAGTAGAGGAAGAGAGAAAAGGATAGGTGGAAGAAAGGAAGGAAGGAAGGAAGGAAGGAAGGAAGGAAGGAAGGAAGGAAGGAAGGAGAGAGAGAAAAAGATAAAGGAGAGGGGAGGGGAGGAGGAGAGGCAGGGAGGAAAGGATGGAAGAAAGGAAGAAAACAGAGAAGAGAGGGAGGGAGGAAAGGATGGAAGAAAGGAAGGAGGGAAGGAAGGTAGAGAGAGGAGAGAAGGGGAGAGAAGGGGAGAGGAGAGGAAGGAAGGATGGAAGAAAGGAAGGAAGAAAACAGAGAGAAAGGAGAGGAGAGGGAGGGAGGAAAGGATGGAAGAGAGGAAGGAGGAAGGAAGGTAGAAGATAAAGAGAGGAGAGGAGAGGAGGGGAGAGGAGGATGAGAAGTAGAGGAAAAGAGAAAAGGATAGGTGGAAGAAAGAAAGGAAGGAGAGAGAAAAAAGATAAAGGAGAGGGGAGGGGAGGAGGAGAGGCAGGGAGGAAAGGATGGAAGAAAGGAAGGAAGAAAACAGAGAAGAGAGGGAGGGAGGAAAGGATGGAAGAGAGGAAGGAGGGAAGGAAGGTAGAAAACAGAGAGAGAGGAGAGAAGGGGAGAGAAAGAGGAGAAGTAGAGGAAGAGAGAAAAGGATAGGTGGAAGAAAGGAAGGAAGGAAGGAAGGAAGGAAGGAAGGAAGGAAGGAGAGAGAGAAAAAAGATAAAGGAGAGGGGAGGGGAGGAGGAGAGGAAGGGAGGAAAGGATGGAAGAAAGGAAGAAAACAGAGAAGAGAGGGAGGGAGGAAAGGATGGAAGAAAGGAAGGAGGGAAGGAAGGAAGGTAGAGAGAGGAGAGAAGGGGAGAGAGGAGGAGAGGAAGGAAGGATGGAAGAAAGGAAGAAAACAGAGAGAAAGGAGAGGAGAGGAAGGGAGGAAAGGATGGAAGAAAGGAAGAAAACAGAGAAGAGAGGGAGGGAGGAAAGGATGGAAGAAAGGAAGGAGGGAAGGAAGGAAGGTAGAGAGAGGAGAGAAGGGGAGAGAGGAGGAGAGGAAGGAAGGATGGAAGAAAGGAAGAAAACAGAGAGAAAGGAGAGGAGAGGAAGGGAGGAAAGGATGGAAGAGAGGAAGGAGGGAAGGAAAGAAGAAAACAGAGAGAAGAGAGGAGAGAAGGGGAGGCAGGAGTAGAGGAAGGAGAATAAAGGATGGAGAAGGGAGAAGTCCAACCTCACATTCCAACTAAAGGAAGGCAGATCTCCTCACCTGCTTCCTGCCGAGGGACCCCAGCCCCCCCCCCACACACACGCAGCTCCACCCGTTGGACTTACCGCTTCCTGGATCTCGCATCGGAAGACGTGAATTCTGAAGAGCTCAGAGTTGTAATGGCTTTCTGTGAAAGCGAAGCAGTCGCTCTCGGGAGTCCCGTCGTGACCTCGCACGCAGAACAGGATCTTGTAAATGGGGTAGTTGGCTATTTCGGTGTTGGTTGGAGGCTCCAGCAACCTGGGGGGGGGGGCAGGGGAGGAAAACCCACGCGAGGGGGGTAAAGAGCGAGCCGACGGGCCGCTTTGCGAATCCTTCCTCCTTCCCCCGGAACCTCCGGCTTCGTAATTATACTCGTTCATTTCCCCCAACAGATGTTTTAAAGCACAGAGGCAGCTCCCCACTGGCCTAGGGCAGGGGTCTCCACACCTGGCAATCTTTAAGGCTTGTGAACCAACTCCCAGGGAGGGAGGAAGGGGGAAAGAAAAGAAAGGAAGAGGAAGGGAAGGGAAAGGAAGGAAAAGGAAAATATCCTGGGTATGAACTAGGGAGGGAAGGAAGAAAAGAAAAGAAAAGAAGGAAGAGGGAAAGGAAAATATCCTGGATATGAACTAGGGAAGGAAGGAAGGAAGGAAAGAAGGGAAGGAGGGAGGGAGGGAGGAACGAAGGAAGGCAAGGGAAGAAAAGGGAAGGGAAAGAAAGGAAGGAAGGAAAGAAGGAAGGGAGGGAGGAACAAAGGAAGGCAAGGCAAGGCAAGGCAAGGCAAGGGAAGGGGAAGGAAGGAAGGAAGGAAGGAAGGAAGGAAGGAAGGAAGGAAGGGAGGGAGGGAGGGAGGGAGGAACGAAGGAAGGCAAGGGAAGGGAAGGGAAAGAAAGGAAGGAAGGAAAGAAGGGAGGGAGGAATGAAGGAAGGCAAGGCAAGGCAAGCTAAGGCAAGCCAAGGGAAGGAAAGAAGGAAGGAAGGAAGGAAGGAAGGAAGGAAGGAAGGAAGGAAGGAAGGAAGGAAGGAAGGAAGGAAGGAAGGAAGGAAGGAAGGGGAAGACAAGGGAAAGAAAAGGAAAATATCCTGGGTATGAACTAGGGAAGGAAGAAAGGAACAGGAGAGGAGAGGAGAGATGGAGGAGAGGAGGGGAGGACACGAGACGAGATGAGAGAATTCTGGGAGTTGAAGTCCACAACTCTTAAAGCTGCCAAGTCTGCAGATCCCTCATCCAGGGTTATGCTAAAACAAGCGACTGGCTGTGGGTAGCCCCAAGTATTTGGACCCTCCCAACAGGGAAAGCCTCCCTAAAACCGCGACAGGCAGCCCCTGCTTAAGTAGTCAGGACTGGCTGCCATCCTGGTCCTTTCTTCTTAAAGAAAGAGAGAGAGAGAGCAACTTTACAAGTGCCATCCCAGAGCAGGAAAGCCCCCGGCGCAAAGACGGCCAGGCGAGGGCCCGACAGAGGCGGTAGAGCCACGTCCTGGAGAAGGCAGGTGCCTACCTCACAGTACCCTCGGACACGTTTGGCACGGAGAGCGTCACGTCCACCGAGGTCTGGCCCTGGCTGCGCAGGATGGCCATCATCCGCAGGGCCTCCACCTCGCTCCGGGGGGCGTTGACGGAGGCGCAGCCCAAGTAGGTCAGCTTGCTGAAGACCACGCTGTCCTCATCGGCCACCGGGGTGAAGGGGCTGGACTCCTCCGAATCTGCCAGGCCGGGGGGGAAAAAAAGGAAGGAAGGAGTCAGCAGAGGAAGGGAGAGCAAGAAACGCCTTTTATGAACCGTCAAAAATCCAGCGGGACTGTTTCGATCGAAGAAAAGGATATAAGTACGTCTGTTTCTACTTGGAAACCACTTCTGGACTTTGTGCTTGAGGTGGGAGGCAAAAAAAATGATCCTTTGATTTTGGGCATTACTGAGTAGATCGATTTGTTCATATACAAATGGCTAGTTCAGGGGTAGGCCACCTTGGCTCTTTTATGACGCGTGGACTTCAACTCCCAGAATTCCTGAGCCAGCATGGCTCAATTTGGAAACCTCTCACTTTCAGCATGTCTGGCTCAGGAATTCTGGGAGTTGAAGTCCACGCGTCATGAAGGGACCATAGTTCCCCCATGCTGGCTGAGGAATTGAAGTCCACAAGTCATGAGGCGGCCATAGTTCCCCCATGCTGGCTAAGGAATTCTGGGAGTTGAAGTCCACCAGTCATGAAAGGGCCACAGTTCCCCCATGCTGGCTCAGGAATTCTGGGAGTTGAAGTCCGCAAGTCACGAAGGGGCCACAGTTCCCCCACGCTGGCTCAGGAATTCTGGGCGTTGAAGTCCACAAGTCATGAGGGGGCCATAGTTCCCCCATGCTGGTTCAGGAATTCTGGGAGTTGAAGTCCACCAGTCATAAAAGAGCCAAGGTTGCCTACCCCTGGCCTAGTTCATACTACTAGGGCAGGGGTAGGCAATCTTGGCCCCTTCATGACCTCGTGGACTTCAACTCCCAGAATCCCTGAGCCAGCATGGCTCAGCTTGGAAACCTCTCCCTTTCCCCTCAGCGTGGCTGGCTCAGGAATTCTGGGAGTTGAAGTCCACCAGTCACGAAGGGGCCATAGTTCCCCCATGCTGGCTGAGGAATTCTGGGAGTTGAAGTCCACCAGTCACGAAGGGGCCATAGTTCCCCCATGCTGGCTCAGGAATTCTGGGAGTTGAAGTCCACCAGTCATAAAAGAGCCGAGGTTGCCTACCCCTGGCCTAGGGAAATGTAAAAAAGTTGAGATTTGATATCCATGCCTTTTTTTTTTTTTTGCTCCCCCCTCCTCTCCACACTGCTCTTTTCTCCTTTCCCCTCCCTCTGTCCCCTACAGTTTGCTTTTCTGTCTTCGCGTTTTATGTTCCGAGGGAATAAAAAATGAGAATGGAAGCCAGCTCTCCATCCCTGGGGTCTCCTCCGGCATTGCCCAGCTCACCTCCCTGGGCTGCCTTCACGGGGAGCCTCATCTCCGGCTTGGCGGGTCCCGTCACGGACACGGGGTTGATGGTGGAGGAGGCGGAGGCCTCGAGCAGAACCGGCTCCTCCCCCTCTCCGTCCTGGGTGGGGCTCTCTTCCCCCCCCTCCCGGTCGTCGGAGGGCTCCTCCATGGGGGGGTCCATTAGGATGTCCTCCAGCTCCTTCTGCAGCTGCTGCTCGCTCCCATTGCCTATGATCTGGGGGGAAGAGAAAGCACCGGTGGAGGATCTCAGCCAGGCACCCCAAGAGAACCAGTGTGTGTGTGTATGTGAATGTGTGTGTGTGAGAGAGAGAGAGAGAGAGAAAAAAGAAGAAGAAGAAGAAGAAGAAGAAGAAGAAGAAGAAGAAGAAGAAGAAGAAGAAGAAGAAGAAGAAGAAGAAGAAGAAGAAGAAGAAGAAGAAGAAGAAGAAGAAGAAGAAGAAGAAGAAGAAGAAGAAGAAGAAGAAGAAGAAGAAGAAGAAGAAGAAGAAGAAGAAGAAGAAGAAGAAGAAGAAGAAGAAGAAGAAGAAGAAGAAGAAGAAGAAGAAGAAGAAGAAGAAGAAGGGAAGGGGGAGGAGGAGGAGGAGAAGGGGAAGGAGGAGAAGGAGAAGAAGGAGAAGGAGAAGAAACCTTGCACGTGCAGTCGTAAAAGAATACAAGCGGTCCTTGGCTTACAACACTTCATTTAGTGACCGTTCCAAGTTACAGCAGCACTGGAAACAGGGACTTAGGACCACTTTTCACACTTACGACCCTGGTGGTCACGGGATCACAATTGGGACGCTTGGCAACTGGCTCGTATTTAGGACAGTCGCAGTGTCCCGAGGATGGTCACCATGATGTAAAAAAAGAGGTTGAGACTCTAGAAAGAGTGCAGAGAAGAGCAACAAAGACGATCAGGGGACTGGAGGCTAAAATATATAAGGAACGGTTGCTGGAATTGAAAAGGACAAGGGGGGACAGGATAGCAGTGTTCCAATATCTCAGGGCTGCCCCAAAGAAGAGGGAGTCAAGCTATTCTCCAAAGCGCCTGAAGGCAGGACAAGAAGCAACGGAAGGAAACTCATCAAGGAGAGAAGCAACCTGGAACTAAGGAGAAACTTCCTGACAGTGAGAACAATTAACCAGTGGAACAACCTGCCTCCAGAAGCGGTGAAGGCTCCAACACTGGAAGTTTTTAAGAAGAGACTGGACAGCCAAACTTTGTATGCATATTTCCTCGTATGTTTTAGCCTCCAGTCCCCTGATCCTCTTTGCTGCTCTTCTCTGTACTCTTTCCAGAGTCTCAACATCTTCTTTCATATCGTGCTTAGATTTATGAGAAATATGAATACAAAGTCTGGCTTCCACGTGTTGTCCTCAGCTTACAACCATTTCTTTAGCGACCGTTCAAAGCCCTGAAAAAAAGTGACTTCATGATTGGCCCTCCCAGAATTGCACAATCGACTGGAAAAACAACCTTTGCATCCCCACACACACACCCCCATAGACTAATCTCAACGGTCGGTAACTGTCCTTCCACCTCCCACCAGCATCCCACCGAACTGGTGAAGCTTCCAGGGGAGGAAGCGAAACGTCTTTCTTTTTCCTCCAAAAAAATAAAATAAAAATAAAAATCATTCCAGTTGCCTTTGCAAAATATATAAAAAAAACCCCACTTTTGACAGGGCGAGCAGGACATTCCATGCGAGAAGGAGTCACCCCACTGGGAGAGGGATGGGCAAAGGCCTCTCCCAGTGGGCCTGTCGAGTTAAAATTCCTCCCTGCCAGCCACCCACAGCAGCAGAAATGCAGTCAGAAGGGAGGGAAGGGCTTTGGGGGGGAAGCAGGCGGGGTTCCTGCCTTTGGGGCTGGGCTGGAAGCGGCTGGGAGTGGGTCTGCAGCAAGGGAGAGGCCAGGGACCTCCATGCCAAGTTTCATGGGGCGGTGGCAACGGGCAGCTGGCAGCCCTCCAATTTCCAGGGGGGGGGTCAAGGAAGGCACGAGGAGGCCGGGCGGCGGGGAGAAGCACTTGGGGAGCTGGCTGGAGGGGCTGGGCGTGATTGCCTGCTCCCTGCCAAGAGGAGCCCCACCCAGCTGCCTCACAAGAGGCAACCGCCATTAAGCTGGTCTTTCCCTCCCTTAGGCTGGCCGAGAGGGAGAAGGGCATCGCCTGAGCATCCAATGCCTTGCTCTGTCTGTCTGTCTGTCTGTCTGTCTGTCTGTCTGTCTATCTATCTACCTATCTACCTACCTACCTATCCATCCATCTCTCTATATCAGGCATGACAAACTTGTGACGTCACGCAATGTATCGCGACTTTTTCCCCATTGCCGGCAATGTGATGGGCTGATAGTTTGACATGCCTGCTCTATATCTATCATCTATCTCTCTATCATCCCTATCTCTCTATCTCTCTATAATCCATCTGTCATCTATCTATCTATCTATCTATCTATCTATCTATCTATCTATCTATCTATCCATCCATCCATCCATCCATCTATCTATAATCCATCTGTCATCTATCTATCTATCTATCTATCTATCTCTATCTCATCTATCTATCTATAATCCATCTGTCATCTATCTAATCTATCTCTATCTCTCTACCTCTATCTATCATCCATCTGTCATCTATCATCTATCTATCTATCTATCTATCTATCACATCTATCTATCTATAATCCATCTGTCATCTATCTATCTATCGCATTTATCTATCTCATCTATCTCTATCTATAATCCATCTGTCATCTATCTATATCTGTCTGTCTGCCTGTCTAAAATCCATCTGTCATCTATCTCATCTATATCTATCTATATCTATCTATCTATCTATAATCCATCTATCTATCTATTTATCGCATCTATCTATCTCTATCCATTTATAATCCATCTGTCATCTATCTATCTATCTATCTATCTATCTATCTATCTATCTATCTATCTATCTATCTATCTATCTATCAACCTTCTTTGTCTATTTACCTTTATCTCTTTGTGAGTGTCTGCCTGCCTACCTACCTCTCCATCAAATCTATCTACCTATCTCTATCTACCTATCTACTTACCTACCCCTCTGTCTCTCTCTCTCTCTGTCTCTCTCTGTCTCTCTCTCTTTCTACCTGCCTGCCTGCCTGCCTACCTGCCCATCTCTCTTGCTCTCTCGACTGAGGCCTGTGACTAACTTCCAGTCTTCCCTGAAGTGAACCAGGCAGGGCTGCCGTGACTTGCAGGCTCAAATTCCAGCAGTTCCTCTCCGGCTGCGGTTGGCCCAGATAAGCAGCGACAATCGCTGGGGGGCATGCATGCTTTCCAAAGATTGCATCCAGCCCTGACCCTCCCTGCCAGCTGAGGCTCCCTACTGCAAGCAGAGCAGAGACAGCCACTCCTTTTGGGGTGTACCAGAAGAGAAGCAGAGAGCTGGGCCTTAGTTGCTTTTCAGAAAGGGCCCCCAGGCCAAGCCCTTCTTCAAACACAATTCCTTTGGAGACGGGGAGGAAACTGGGAAACAGGAAACATCTGGGCATCATCGCCATGATTCCTTCAAGGTCAGAGGCAGGAGAGAAGCCAGAAACTCTGGCTGCAAACGAGGAGGGTGGCAAGCGTATCTCAACTAAGCAAATAACAACCAAATGTTTATTGGCGGTTCTAAAACCGGTCTTTCAACAAACAAGGTTTTCTGACACTTCTGCCACTGTGATAACACGCCCCAGCCATATCCGGTCCCTGGTGTGGTTTAGTGTTGTCCAAAGCTGAACGTGTGGCTGAAGGGGAGGCCATGTGACTTAAATGGAGATGGATGGCAAGAGGCCTTGGAGAATGGCGGGGGTGTCTCTGTGTGTGTGTGTGTGTAAATTGCAAGAGTCTAAGCCGTGGTTTACTCATCGGGGTTATTACGTAAGCAATCACTTGGCTAGGTTGCTGCAATTTCACAAGCCCAAATCAAACAGAGCAAAGGCTTAGCGCGAACTGGAAACACAACCTGTAGATTTAAATCACGCCGAAAAGTGACAAGGGCTTCGCTCACAGGCTAGGATATGCCAGGGATTCTCACACTCCTGGCTTACTGTGACATGTAAGCCCAGCCAGAGAGTGGCCAACAACGCAACGGGTTTCTGATCATCCTGAGCTCTTGTAGTTACAGGAGCCGCTAACTGTTTTGGAGTCATCAAGGGTTTGATTACACTGTTTTATTGCGGCATTCTAGACCAGTGGTTCTCAACCTGTGGGTCGGGACCCCATTTGTGGTCAAATGACCATTTCACGGGGGTCGCCAAACAATGCAGTCCGCCATTTTTTCCCCCCTTTTCTTTAGCTGAGCTACTCCCTTTTATTCTATTGGCTTTTGAAAGCCAATAGAAGAGACTCTCTTGAATAGAGTCTAATTCGATTGGCTTTCAAAAGCCAATAGGAATTGTCCAGGCTGTCTTTGCCCGGCTGAGCCCGCCAAAAGTCCCATTCTGCAAACGGTGCTGCACCGGTTGAGTAGTCCTCGACTTACGACCGGTTGTGTAGTCCTCGACTTACGACCGGTTGGGGGGTTGCGGCATTAAAAAGGTTGAGAACCACTGTTCTAGTTTAATGAAGAGAAGGATGAGGGGGGACATGATAGCAGTGTTCCAGTATCTCAGGGGCTGCCTCAAAGAAGAGGGAGTCAAGCTATTCTCCAAAGCGCCTGAAGGCAGGATAAGAAGCAACAGATGGAAACTAATCAAGGAGAGAAGCAATCTGGAACTAAGGAGAAACTTCCTGACAGTGAGAACAATTCACCAGTGGAACAACCTGCCTCCAGAAGCGGTGAATGCTCCAACACTGGAAGTTTTTAAGAAGAGACTGGACAGCCATTTGTCCGAAATGGTGTAGGGTTTCCTGCCTGAGCAGGGGGTTGGACTAGATGACCTCCAAGGTCCCTTCCAACTTTATCATCATCATCAAGTTAAGTGAATCCGGTTAACCCATAGTCAGAAGGTCGCTAAAAGGGGAACTGCGTGACTCCCCCCCGGGACGCTGCGACGGTCATAAGCACGAGTCAGTTTCCAAGCGTCTGAATTTTGATCACGTGATGGGGGGGGGAGACGCTGCAACGGTCGTGAAGTCTGAAAAACGTTCCCGAGTCCCCTTTTTCTCAGTGCCGTTGTAACTTGGAACGGTCCCTAAATGAACCGCTGTTAAGTCCGGGGCCGCTTGCGTCCATGGGAATATTCTCCAGCCTGGAATCGGGGGGGTGGCGACCAGGAGCGTTTGCAAAAGCAAATGGGGCAGCCGGGCCGTCGCGCGCCCGTTGCAGAAAAGCTACAGTCCCGACCCCTCTCAAAGCCCCCCCCCAAACCCCCGCCCCCTTACCTTCAACCCCGTCTTTTCGTCATCGCTACCGTTATTGGCGGAGGGCGTTTCATCTTCCTGTCGGGAAATCAAGACAAAATCTTCACTGTTGAGAGTGGACACGGAATCGGACGAGACGCTGATCTTGCCCACCGAGGCCTTGTCATCCATTTCTTTCAAAAGGAAAGCGTGGAGCAGAGGTGGGCTGGAAGAGGAGGACGACGCACCTGGAAAAGACGAACGGCACCATCATTGTCGTCCCTTGCTGGAGGGCTTTGAGAAAGAGGGAGGGGGGGGGATCCCCAGCGCAGGCCAGCCAAGAAGTTCAATTTTAGACTTTTGCGGGGCTTTTGAAGATTCTCGGTGCTCTCTGAGTTTGCTTTCTTCCTTCCGGACGTTTCCCTACCATACTAGGTAACGTCATCAGTGCTAGAAGGCAATGGGGTTTAGAGAGAAGAGGAGAAGGGGAAGCTGAAGGGAGGGAGGAGGAGCAGGAGGAGGAGGAAGAGGAGGAGGAGAACTATGGAGTCCTCAGTGCTCTCTGAACTTGCTTGTCAAGGACTACTGTACTGGCATAGCCTTAAACCTGGCCACCAAATTCAATACCCCAAGAACCTTCGCAACTCGGGAAACCCCCGGCTGAGCAGGAGAGAAAAAACTCTCTCAATCCAAGGTGGGAAGGAAGCACAGATTTTACTAGCTTCCCCAAAGGCAAGTGGACTTTCCTATTTTTCTTCGAAGATGTTTCCCTTCTCACGCCAGAAGCTTCTTCAGCTCTGACTGGATGGCGGGGACTGGAAAGATTTATACTCCTTGCAGACCGCTGGTCGTTTGCGCTCTTTTCTGAGAGTCGTTGAGGCCACTTGGAGGTTGGTCTGTGTCCTCAGTCACCTGAACGGTGCAAATGGGTGTGGAGCCTTCTTGGAACTGTGGAAAGGATTTGTGTTGTAGAGTGGAGAGAGATGACGCCGTACGCCTCCCCCTCTACAACACAAATCCTTTCGGCAGCTCCAAGAAGGCTCCACACCCATTTGCACTGCTCAGGTGACCCAGAAGGCACGGACAAGCCTCCAGGTGGCATCAACGACCCTCTAAAACAGACACGTCAAACACAAGGCCTGGGGGCCGGATGCGGCCCGCAACGTGGTTTCCTGCCCAGGCCCCCACAGGCACCCTTGATGCAAACGATGTAGAGCTGGCCACGCCCATCCAGTAGGCCACACTCCACCCATGCCCACCCAGTAGGCCGCGCCCACCCTGGTGACACCTACCCACCCACCCCCCAGGATAACCGCAATGCTGATGCAGGCGTCAATGAAATTGAGTTTGTACACCCCCGCTCTAAAACAGTGGTTCTCAACCTGTGGGTCGGGACCCCATTTGGGGTCGAACAACCATTTCACGGGGGTCGCCAAACAACGCAGTCCGCCATTTTTTCCCCAGCTGTGCTACTCCCTTTTATTCTATTGGCTTTTGAAAGCCAATAGAATAGACTCTCTTGAGTAGAGTCTAATTCTATTGGCTTTCCAAAGCCAATAGGAATGGTCCAGGCTGTCTCTGCCCTGCTGAGCCCGCCCAAAGTCCCATTCTGCAAACGGTGCTGCACCAGTGGAGTAGTCCTCGACTTACGACCGGTTGAGTAGTCCTCGACTTACGACCGGTTAGGGGGTCGCGGCATTAAAAAGGTTGAGAACCACTGCTCTAAAAGGAGGCAAAGGACCAGCGGTCTGCAAGGAGTATAAATCCTTCCCTTCCCCACCATCCAGTCAGAACCCAAAGAAGCTTCTTGGATGGGGAGCGAAACGTCTTCGAAGAAAAATAAGAAAGTCCAGTGGCCTCAAGAAAAAGCATACTTGGGACAACCGGGTCCTAGATGATGGAGAATCTCCATAGACATTTAGCTTCTTCTCCAAAATTCTACTCGTCTCAATCCCTGGCGCCTGCTGAACTGCAAGTCTGACTCAGTCCATCCACGGGAGGAAACCGAAGGCCAAATGACTGGCGCACGGCTTCAAATTTCATTGTCGTATTTTGAGGCTAGTAAATCCTGTTGCTCCCGTTCGGACGCGTTTCCATTTAAACAGCGCCAAAAGAAGCACAGGCAGTCCTCCTCGCCCGACGGCCACAACTCAGGGCAAAATTCAGGCTGCCGAGTGAACAATGTGCCCAACTGAGTTTTTGCCCCACTTTGTGACTTTTCTTGCCACCTGCGCCGAGCGAATCGCTGCGGCGGTTCAATTAGGATTGAAATTTAAAGGAGCTGAACGGTTAAAGCGGCTTCCCTATTGCCTTTGCTTGCCAGGAGGTCACAAAAAGGGGATCACGTGATCCCTGCCCCCCCCCAAGACATCACAACCGTCATAAATACGAACCGGTTGCCAAGCGTCCAAATTTTGATCACTTGACCATGGGGGGGGGAACGCTGCAACGGTCGTAAAATGGTTGTAAGTCACTTTTTTCAGGGCCACTGTAACTTGGAACGGTCACTAAATGAATTGTTGTAAGTTGAGGCCTGCCTGTAGAAGGAACGCAACTGCTGTAAGTCGGCGGAAGGAGTTACTGGGACACACACACACACCAGTAATGCTCTCAAAACCAAGCTTTTAGTCTTGCGAACCGAGCCCAAAATTTCTGTGGCTGCTAAGTGAGACATTTGTTGAGCAAATTTTGTCCCCTTTTAGGATTTTTCTTGCCAAAGTTGTTATGTTGTTAAAGGAGTAACGTGACTGTTCCCCAAATTTGACTTCCCCGTTGAATTTGCTCGCCACAAGGTCGCAAAAGGGGGAATCGCGTGACCCCACCCAGGGCATCGCGACCGTCATAAATATGAATCGGTTGCCGAGCGTCTGAATTCCGATCGCGTGACCAGGGGGCTGCTGCAACGGCCGTGTGAAAAATGGTCATCAGTCATTTTTTCAGGGCCATTGCAACTTCGAACTGTCACTGTTCGAAGCGCTGTAAATCGAGGACTGCCTGTGCTGAGTGAAAGCACTGTTTTGATGGAGAATGGCTTGCTTTCAACCTGGTTTATTTGGCCATCTAAACCAGTGGTTCTTAACCTTTTTAATGCCGTGACCCCAACCAGTCGTAAGTTGAGGACTACTCAACCGGTCGTAAGTCGAGGACAACTCAACTGGTGCAGCACCATTTGTAGAATGGGACTTTTGGCGGGCTCAGCAGGGCAGAGATAGCCTGGACAATTCCTATTGGCTTTTGAAAGCCAATCGAATTAGACTCTATTCAAGAGAGTCTATTCTATTGGCTTTCAAAAGCCAATAGAATAAAAGGGAGTAGCACAGCTAAGGAAAAGGGGGGAAAAATGGCGGACTGCGTTGTTTGGCGACCCCCGTGAAATGGTCGTTCGACCCCAAATGGGGTCCTGACCCACAGGTTGAGAACCACTGATCTAAACCCTGGCGTCCACAAACAGAATAAAAAAAAATAATCAAAAGAAAACAAACAAACAAAATCCAGCCTTGGAGAATTACTAATAGAATCGGCTCCAGATAAGGCTGGTGCCATCGTGGGGCTGATCACTAGACACGGATATTTAAAAAGCCTGAAATCTATCGGTGGAGTACTTCATCTGCCTTCCTTGTAGAGCAGAGATTCCAGGTGGAACTATTTACCAGCACAGTAAAACATCCCACTGTCTTGTTTTAAAACATGAATTTAATTTCGCACGCCCGTCCCAACGGCTCTCCCTAATAATGTATTGGTTATTTTGACAGCTCTCATTGCTTTGCACATATAGCAGGAAAAGGCGAAGAGTCTGAGTCATAGATCGTGTATATGTATTTATTATTGTCTGTTCCTGGATGAAGAGCACACAATGCTTTTTTTTTTTATGCTTTTTTACACAATAGCCTTTTGCAATTTCTGAGGCTCATTAGGTAATATCTGAAAAATCTGAAGTGTTCTAGAGTTCAACCCCTTCCTTTTTCTTAACTTTTGAAACCACAAAAGGCAATCCTTGTAAAAACGGTGAAATCTATTTAAGCAGTTTTTCCAACTCTATCAGTCTCTGAGATTGAATAGATTAAATTCCTACACTGGAATATGGGCTATCATTATACAATTAATATTAGCAATAATCAGATTTCACAATCACCTTTAAAAGCATCCCTCGATGTCAAAAGCATCCAAAAGTGGAGAACAGATCACCAGTATTAGTAAAAGCATATTACATACAGTTCAGCATTTTTATTAAATTTCTACACAAGAGCAATTTCATACAACATGCAAACTATGAGGTTTAGTAGAAGAGCTGTCACAACTAGAACAAACCGTAATAATTAGGTTTCCTTCCACATTTCTTTTCAGTGGAATTTACCATAACAGCCAGCTCCAAGTTAATCTATATTAATCCACAGAATAAAATTCATCAGCATAATGATGGAACTTTGTATCATTTTTGTTTTGGGAAGAAAAATGACTCTAGGAAACATTGCTTTATAAAAAGCAAAGACCTCGCCAGCATGAATAACAACATTTAGAAGTTTTCCCTAGAACAGCTGAGTTTCTTGCATGCAATCAAGGCAGGCCTGGTGGAATTATATGCGGGTTATCTTCCCAATTGCTGTTCAAAAGAAATTTATCACACAAACACCCTCATAGCCCTCCAACACAATCCACAATGCACTGATGACATAAACACAATCCACAATGCACTGATGACGTTAACTAGTTGGGTCATGAAATGTCTGGAAGACAACCACCAAGCTCAGAGAGCACCAAGGACCCCCACACACTCCAACACTCCCACCACACATATCAATGGCAGCATACTGATCGTGATAAACACTCTTGCCATTTCTCAAAAGCCAAAGCACAAAAGATTCCAGCTCAAAAGACACACATACACACACACACACACACACACACATACATATGGAGGGAGAACGAGAGGGAAAAACAGACGCACGCCACACCCAAACACATCCTGTGCAAATATATGTGTGTGGGTGTGCATAGATTATGTATATGTGTCTGTGTTTATAAACTGGGAGTCCTCTGATGATAAACAAACGCACAAGACGTAAATAAGTAGCCAATTCAGTAGGAAGCGCTTTGGTAAGTTTGAAAGGATATACAGAATAACCAAAAGACACAACGCCTTCCTTGTTTCTTCCCAGTAACAACAGGCAAGGGGGGGGGGGATTTGCTGGCCAAGCTTCCCCTCTTTGTCACTAACCATAAATATAAAACAGCCTTGGAGTCAAACTCCAATCGGGATGAATGTATGGAAAGTTTGCGCCTACGCTCAATACATAAAATGGAAATATCTATTCCTTGGGCGGGGAGCATGGAAAGGTGGGGGAGGGAGAGCATCTGTGCTCCCTTTTCCTCCTGATCATGGCCAGGGCTGGGCGTTCCTTGGATGGGGGACCACCAGGAGATCCCAAGGCTGGCAGAGGAGTTGGGGCATTTCTTTTCCCCCGCCCCAACGTCCCAACCCATCTGCCAGCCTTGGGATCTCCTGGTGGTCCCCCATCTAAGGAACGCCCAGCCCTGGCCGGGGTGAGGATCTCTGCTCCCTTTTCCTCCTGATCACAGCCAGGGCTGGGCGTTCCTTGGATGGGGGACCACCAGGAGATCCCAAGGCTGTCAGAGGAGTTGGGGCAAGTCCCAACCCATCTGCCAGCCTTGGGATCTCCTGGTGGTCCCCCATCTAAGGAACGCCCAGCCCTGGGCGGGGTGAGGATCAATCAGGGCTCACCCCCCACAAAGCGGCGCCCCGATTCTGGCTGGAGCAAAGGGGGGGGGGCAGAAGGGATGTCGGGGCCCTTCGTGGCCCCCCAAGGGGAGGGGCCAAAATAGACCCCTCCCCCTTATTGGCCTTCGCTGATTTTTCGATCCTCGTGACCCTCCTCCGCCTCCCCCTCCCCAGCCTGGCTGAAGAGCCCCGCCCACTCGCCGGGCTCCTCCCCTCCCCCGCCACCGGCCCCGCCCCCTCCGGCGCCCCTCATCGACGGGGCTCCGATCCGGCTCACCCTCATCCAGATCGGCCGGGCTGCCGCCACCACCGCCGCCGCCGCCGCCTCCCCTCTCGCCCGCCGCGGGAGGAGCAGCAGCGCCGCCGCCACTGACAGGCCTCTGTCAGGAGGCCGCCCCAGCGCCCCGCTCCCAACCCCAGTCACGTGACCGGGCCCGGCCGGAAGCGGTGCGTGCCCCTTCCGGCGCCGGGCGGGAGGGCAGCAGGGGCGGCCCGCGGGCACTTCCGGCCCGGCCGCCCCGCCTCTTCCTTAGCAACCCGCGTCGGCTCCGCCCCTTCCCTTCCCCTTTTTTTCTTCCCGCCGACTTGGGCCGGAGAGGCGGCGCCGGAAGTGGGAGAGAGCTACTTCCGGTGGCGGCGAGCCGGTCGCTCGGCCAGGCGTCCCCGCTCGGGCCTCCCTTTCTCCTGCCCCCCCCCGGGCGGACCCCCCGACAAGCGGCGCCGGGGGGAGGCGGAGAGGAGGTGAGCCCAGCCCGGCAGGAGGCGCCCTCCCTCCCTCCCCCGTCCGCGCGGAGCTCCCGCCTCTTCCCTGAGTGCCGGTGGAACTCGCGGCCACTGGAGCCCGGCCCAGCGCGGAATCTCCCAGGTGTGCAGCTGCGCTTTCCTTCAACTCTATCCTGGGGAGAGGGCGGCGGGTGTGCGGAGGGGAAGGAGGCACGTCAGTGCTGGAGGTTTCCCCGGCGAGATTGGGGTTAGGGGGTGCAGGGAAGACGGGGGAGCCCCAATCCTGCTAAAGCATGCGATCCCAGCAGGGAAAGATTGGCAGGGAGTGCTCGGGGTGAGGCCGGGGTGACTTGGGGAATGGCTCCTTCGGATGCTGGGCATCCTTTAGGCGTGTACTGATGATGTACTCTAGTTGGGTCATGAAACGTCTGCAAGAAAGCAGCCAAGCTCAGAGAGCACCAAGGACTTCCTCCTCGTCCTCCCTTCTAGCACTGAGGGCATTCCCTAGTTGGGTCATGAAATGTCTGCAAGAGAGTTACAGAATAACCTCACAGTTGTTCTGCCCCCCCCCCTTCCTCCTCCTCTCCATAAAGCCCACTCCCTCTGCACTGATGATGTTACCTAGCTGGGTCACGAAACATCTGCAAGAAAACCACCAGAGAGCACGGAGGACAACGTAGTCTTCCTCCTCCTCCTCTTTGCAAAGCCCACCCCCTCCTAGCACTGATGATGTTATAGAGTTTGGGTCATGAAACATCTGCAAGAAAGCCACCAAGCTCAGAGAGCACTGAGGACTCCACAGTCCTCCTCCTTCTCTTCCTCCTCCTCCTCCTCCTCCCTTCTAGCACTGATGATGTTACCTAGTTAGGTAACGAAATGTCTGCAAGAAAACAACCAAGCTCAGAGAGCAGGAAGGACCCCACAATCCTCCTTCTCTTCCTCCTCCCCATCCTCCTCTCTCTAAAGCACTTCTAGCACTGATGATGTTACCCAGCTGGGTAATGAAAGGTTGCAAAACAAAATCACCGAGCTCTGAGAGCAACGAGGACCGTCCCCCCCGCTCCCTTGAGCCCTGAGTTACAAATACTCTTCTTCTCTTCATACCCTTTTAGGCTTGTCAACATGACCAAGAGAACGGAAAGCCTCCATTTCCAGTTTGACAACTACGGGGATTCGATGCTGCAGAAGATGAACGAGCTGAGGAAGGAGAACAAATTCTGCGACGTCACCGTCTGTATCGACGACCTGCAGGTCCACGGCCACAAGATCGTCTTCGCCGCCGGCTCGCCCTTCTTGAGAGACCAGTTCCTGCTGAACGACTCCAGGGAGGTCAAGATCTCCATCCTGCAGAGCTCGGAGGTCGGGCGGCAGCTGCTCCTCTCCTGCTACAGCGGCGTGCTGGAGTTTCCCGAGATGGAGCTGGTGAACTACTTAACGGCTGCCAGCTTCCTTCAGATGAGCCACATCGTGGAGCGCTGCACGGAGGCGCTCTGGAAGTTCATCAGGCCCAAACAGAAGCTGGAGAGCAAAGTGGAAAGCCCAGCCAGGGCCAACTCTTCCCAGCCGAAGGAGACTGTGGGAGCCAGTGGGGAGGGGGGGGAGGAGGAGGAGGAAGAGGAGGAGGAAGAAGACAACGACGACGAGGAGGAAGAAGACTCCTTGCCTGATTCGCCTTGCCTCCAGCCCTCGGAGGACAGCATGGACAATAGCGACATCCAGATCGTGAAAGTGGAGTCTATCGGGGAGGTGGGGAGCAAAAAGGACCCCGGTCAGTTTATTTCCTCCGAACAGCAACAGCAAAGCTCCCTTCCTTCCTCGGAGCCCCAGCATTCTCTGATCAACTCCACCGTGGAGACTCGCGTCGGCGACCTGGAGCAAAGCCAGCTCCACAACTACGCCCTCTCCTACTCGCCGGCCGACAACCTCATCGTGGCTTCCAAGGAGCTCTTTGGGCCCAGCAACCGGGCAGTGGACAAGGGCCTGCAGTGGCATCACCAGTGCCCCAAGTGCACCCGGGTCTTCCGGCACCTGGAGAACTACGCCAATCACCTGAAGATGCACAAGCTCTTCATGTGCCTCCTGTGCGGAAAGACCTTCACCCAGAAGGGCAACCTCCACCGGCACATGCGGGTCCATGCGGGGATCAAGCCCTTCCAGTGCAAGATCTGCGGGAAGACCTTTTCCCAGAAGTGTTCGCTGCAGGACCACCTCAACTTGCACAGCGGGGACAAGCCCCACAAATGCAATTACTGCGACATGGTCTTCGCCCACAAGCCGGTCCTGAGGAAGCACCTCAAGCAACTTCACGGCAAGAACAGCTTCGACAACGCGAACGAGAGGAGCGCTCAGGACTCCGTCATGGACTACGACGCCTTCGGCTGCAGCTCCGGGGCCGACTCCAAGGGCTGCCCCACGAACGAAGCCAGCCAGGTGCTGGATGCGGGGAAGCTGGCCCAGGCCGTGCTCAGTTTACGGAGCGAAAGTGCCTGTGCGAACTAAGGGGTTGCCCCCAGCCTCTCTTGGCGAGCGAGAAGACCCAAACGGCTGTGGTGGGAGCTGGCCTAGGCCTCAAACCCCGGAAGGGCTCCGCTTTTTTGAGCTCGGGGGGGCCGAGCCTAACCTCGTAGCAGGCCTTCGCCTCTTTAGTTCAGTGGTTCTCAATCTTTTTAATGCCGCGACCCCCAACCGGTCGTAAGTCGAGGACTACTCAACTGGTGCAGCACCCTTTGCAGAATGGGACTTTTGGTGGGCTCAGCAGGGCAGAGACAGCCTGGACAATTCCTATTGGCTTTGAAAGCCAATAGAATTAGACTCTATTCAAGAGAGTCTATTCTATTGGCTTTCAAAAGCCAATAGAACAAAAGGGAGGAGCACAGCTAAGGAAAAGGGGGAAAAAATGGCGGACTGCATTGTTTGGCGACCCCCGTGAAATGGTCGTTCGACCCCAAATGGGGTCCCGACCCACAGGTTGAGAACCACTGCTTTAGTTAGAAGGATTGGGTGTGTCTGAGTGACTTTTGTCTCTTTTACCAATGTGACTGTTACAAGAGCTGGCACGGGGAAAAAACCCCGGGGTGGTGAGTTCTGCCGAAGGAGAAGCCACTGGACCATGAGCCAGCCAAAGGCACGAAAACAGGAACAGCTACGCCCCGTGGTGGCAGAGTTTTTAAGCTAAAAGACAGGACTGTATTCTTAGAAAAAGAAAAAACACTGGATAATTATAAAGTCTTTTTAATTGGGCGGCCTCTGGGCGGCCTTCTTTTGTATTCTTTATTAAAACCATCAGGGTACTTCCCTTTCGCTCCTCCCACCCTAAGGGGCATCGACTCTGCACAAGGTTGTTTCCTTTCCAATATGATGGGGAAAGAGCAGCAGGAGCAATTGCTCGAGAGCAAAGTTTCCTAAGCTTGGCCGTTTTAAGATGTGTGGACTTCAACTCCCAGAATTCCCCAGCCAGTACAGCTGGCTGGGGAATTCTGGGAGTTGAACACGCATCTTAAAATGGCCACGGTTGAGAAGTTCTGCTTTCGAGTAAGCCGGGGAGAATTGGATCAGCAGACTGGTGGAATGGCCTTTGTGCTGTAGGACAGGGGTCTTCAAACTTGGCCCTTGGATGACTTGTGGACTTCAACTCCCAGAATGCCTCAGCCAGGCACACATGTGCCTGGCTGAGGCATTCTGGGAGTTGGAAGTCCACAAGTCATCCAAGGGCCAAGTTTGAAGAGCCCTGCTGTAGGATGGCCCTCTCCTTTTGTCTCTTTGCTCAGGCGCGTATCCTGTCCTACCCGCCAGGATAGGTTTTCATCACATCCTTTGTAGGAAAACGGTGTGCTTAGGCTAGAATGGTTGAAGTTTGCATGTCTCTCCATCCCCCCCCCCACCCCCCCCTCGCCCATGTGGTTGTTTACCACTCAAATTGGGTTTTCTCTGTTAACGGCTTCCCTTCCAAGGCTGGCAGGGCCTCGGAGCTCAGCTCCCTCCATTTTCTTAGCTATCACCCCTGTGGATCCGTTCCTTCGTTGTCCCTGAAATCCCAAGTCCTATTCCCCCCCCCCCAGATTATATATGGTGCTTAAAATACTGTTGGCACTTGGTTCAGCTGTTAGAAGGAATGCCAAGGATCTGTTCCGAAGGATCTTATTGTGCCCTCGGCACTGGAAGCCTCTGAAAACCAGAGGATCCTCAAGGCAGAGAGAGTAGAGCACAGGATCTGTTCCAAAGGATCTTATCGTGCCCTCAGCACTGGAAGCCTCTGAATGGCAGAGGATCCTCCAGGCAGAGAGAGTAGACTCTTTGTGGCATTATTCCTGGGGAGAAGAATTCCCAAGCAATCCAAAAGCAGTTACTAGTTGAAGGTGGATTATAGTGTATCGTGTGAGCAGTGTTTCGGTTACTCTTAGCCGATATTCTGGCGTAGGAGACCCATTTTTTCTATACGATGTTTTTTTTCCTGGGAAATCCAGGAAGCAGGAAGTCCTAAGTGCCGCCTGCAATATTTACTTCCCCTAAGAAGCAGTTTCCTCTTGAAAAACATGATGGGGGGGTTGTCTGGCCTCTCCCAAAAGACCTCCCCAGCACGCGCGTATTTCAAGGGGAAAACGTCCGCCTTTCTGCCAGCGAGATCTCCAGCCCAGGAGTTGTGTGGATGCAGCTTCCTATCCCATTGTCGTCGTCTTCTTTGCTCATTGTCATCTTCTGTTTTATCCTAGGTCAGAAGTGGGAGAGGAGTAGTAATGGTGTGTAGAAAGGTGAGGTGGGCTCAAATGTTTAAGCGAGCGGGCGGTGGGGATGCTGGCCCCCCTCAACGCTCGATGCCCTCAAGGGAATCTTGTGACTCTAGCAATTGGTAGGTAGAATCACAACCAGCATCCTTGTCCCCTCTGCCCAATGAGGAGAGGGGATTCCCCCCCCCCGCCTCGCCCTCAGCGCCTTGCAAAAGGCTGCCTGTCCTGTGAATGTATTCTCGTGTCCAGAAGACCCCCTTGCCCTCCTGTATGTGTACTGAGTCATTGCGGTGGCTTCGGAATAAAGCAATTACACCACCTTCTGGTGTGTATGTTTTTTTCTCTCTTTTTTTTTCATGACACAGGTGGTCCTCGATTTACGACTGCAATGGAGCCCCCCCCAATTTTGTCGCAAAGCGAGACACTTGTCCAATGAACCTTCCCCCCCCCGTTTGACGACCTTTCTTGCCGCTGTGGTTAAGTGACTCACTGCCGTTGTTAAAGTTAGCACCACGCTTGTTAAGCGGGTCTGGCTTCCCGCTTGGCTTTGCTTGTCGAAAAGGGGGTCACACCACCCCAGGGCGCTGCGGCCGTCAGAAGCACGAGTCGGTTGCCAATGAGTCCAAATTTGGAGCACGCAAGCCTGGGGGTGCTGCGGCAGCGGTCGTTAAATGTGAAAAAAGGTCATAAGTCGCTTTTTTTCAGCGCCGTTGTAACTTTGAACGGTCACTAAACGAATGGTTGTAAATCAAGGACTACCTGTACAGGAAAGCTCCAGGGAAAAGGCCCCATTTCCCCCCCCCCCACACACACACACACACCATCATCAGCCTCCCTAATCTGATGCCAGAAACTAGCAGGGCGAGATTTATTCTACGCCTCCCTGACTGGTTTGCAACCAGATCCTCCAAAAGAACCATCAGTTCGTGGGGAATCGACATGGCTCCTGGGATCACACCAGCCCCACCCACCTTCAGGCAGCAACCTGGAATTAAGGAGAAACTTCCTAACAGTGAAGGCAATTAACCAGTGGAACAGCTTGCCACCAGAAGCTGTGGGTGCTCCAACACTGGAGGTTTTGAAAAAGAGATTGGACAGCCAAGCAAGATTCCTCCAAGGTCCCTTCCAGATTCTATTCTATTCCTTTTATTATTACATTCTCTATTCTATTCTATTTTATTATTACATTCTCTATTTTATTCTTTTATTCTATTAATATTCTATTCTTTTATTATTACATTCTCTATTCTTCTATTCTTTTATTCTATTCTATTATTATTCTATTCTATTATTATTCTATTCTATTTGATTATTCCATTCTCCTATTCTACTCTATTATTATTCTATTCTCCTATTCTGCTGTTCTATTCTTTTATTATGCCATTCTCTATTTTATTCTTTTATTAATATTCTATTCATTTATTATTCCATTCTCTATTCTTTTATTCTTCTATTAATATTCTATTATTTTATTATTCCATTCTCTATTCTTTTATTCTATTCTATTCTTTTGTTATTCTATTCTATTATTATTCTATTCTTTTATTATTCTATTCTATTATTATTCTATTCTATTCTTTTATTATTCCATTCTCTGTTGTATTCGGGGTTGGACTAGATGACCTCCAAGGCCCCTCCCGCCAGCTCTAGTCTGATTCTCTGACTCTTCCCGGCGCGGCAAAAGCAGCAGCTTTACACAGCGGGCGCCTCTCCCTTCCCATTGGCCGGGCTCCGCCCCGCCCCCCGGTGGTGAAGGCGGCCAATCAGGAGCCGGTGCACGTGCTTGCTGGTGTGTTCCTCTTCCGGGTCGCGAGGGGGCGGAAAGAGGAGGAGAAGGAGGAAGCCCGCGGGACTCCCGGAAGTCGATCCCCGCCAGCGAACCGCTCTGTAGCCGCGGCCGGGAACGAGTCTGGCTGGGTCCCTCTCGACGTCGGCAGCCGCCCGGTGAGCGGAGGGGGGAAGCGGGGAGGGCAGGGTGGTCGTCCTCCCCCTTATGGTTGGCTCCGCCCCCTCCAGGGAGGGGGGGGCTCTCCAAACGACCCTGCCCAAGTCAGCTGATAAGGCAGTCTTTCCGAAGCGGGGCCCCTATATAAGAGAGCTGGACTTCAACTCCCAGAATTCCCCAGCCAGCAGAGCTGGCTGAGGAATTCTGGGAGTTGAAGTCCAGCCCTCTTATATAGGGGCCCCGCTTCAGAAAGATTAGTATATAAATATTAGTATATGTTAGTATAATATTCAGAAATATTAGCAACCCGCTTTTTTTTTCTTCTCTTCCCAGAGAAAAGTAGCCCTTCAGGGCAAGGGGCGGCATAGTTTGCCTTGAGGCCCCAATTTGCTCAGTTCCGGGGTGGGGGGCGGGTTTCCGTTATTAAACGCCTTGCAAACCCACCTCGCTATAAAAGGATCCAAAGTGAAGCAGGGTTGTGGGGGGGGGGACCTTGGAGGTCTTCTAGTCCAACCCCCTGCACAAGCAGGAGACCCTATAACATGTCAGACAAATGGCTGTCTGCTCTCTGCTTGAAAAACTCCAATGAGGAGGGAGGGAGGGAGGAAGGAAGGATAACACAGCTGGAAGGGACCTTGGAGGTCATCTAGTCCAACCCCCTGCTCAGGTAGGAAACCCTATAAGATTTCAGACAAATGGCTGGTCTGTGCTTGAAAAACTCCAATGAGGGAGGGAGGAAGTAAGGAAGGAAGGAAGGAAGGAAAACACTGCTGGAAGGGACCTTAGAGGTCATCTAGTCCAACCCCCTGCTCAGGTAGGAAACCCTATAAGATTTCAGACAAATGGCTGGTCTGTGCTTGAAAAACTCCAATGAGGGAGGGAGGGAGGGAGGAAGGAAGGAAGGAAGGAAAACACTGCTGGAAGGGACCTTAGAAGTCATCTAGTCCAACCCCCTGCTCAGGTAGGAAACCCTATAAGATTTCAGACAAATGGCTGGTCTGTGCTTGAAAAACTCAATGAGGGAGGGAGGAAGGAAGGAAGGAAGGAAGGAAGGAAAACACTGCTGGAAGGGACCTTAGAGGTCATCTAGTCCAACCCCCTGCAAAAGCAGGAGACCTTATACCATTTCAGACAAATGGTTGACCAATATCTTCTTCAAAGCCTCCAGTCTCTCAGTCTTATGTGAGGATCAGGCAGGGTGCTGCAAAGTGGTCACTATAAAGTCCCCCCCCCCCAGTCAGTGGGGCTATATATGGTTCATCGCACCGTCAGTCCGATCTTGAGACTGGATTTGGAGGGATTTTAACCCACCGAGTCCTTCCTGAGGACCTGGGATAGACAAATGTTTGTTACTGTTCTTATTATCCAAAGTATTCTTGGTGTTTATTAAATTGTTTTCATATAATACATCTTGGGGGGGGGGGGGCTCAATGAACAAACTGGAAGTTCATGAAGGTAGATGAGCCAAAGAGTTTGGGAAGTCCTGGTATAAAGCTATAATCTCAGGGGACGGAGCTGCAGGGATGAATGCATTGGGGTGGTTTTTTTTTCTTTTCTTTTTTCTGTTCATCCCTATTCTGGAGGGGCACTAAGAAGAGGTTGGTTTTCACAGGCTCTGTAGAGCAGAGGCCCCCAACCTTTTGGGCACCAGGGACCTGTTCCATGGAGAAAGGTTTTTCACAGAACGGAGAGTGTGTGGTTTTGTGTGCCGCCTGCATCCCCCGGATGGGGCTTTGCTTGTTTGTGCGGACCGGTTGCTGGCATGCCACAGACCGGGGGTTGGGGACCCCTGCTATAGACAGTACAAAGCTGCTTCCAGAACAACACAAGCATCTTCCACCAAGGGCCCTCTTGTGCAATGGCTTGTGTCGGAGTGTTGAACTTCCCTTTCATTCCATTTCCCCCCCCCTTCCCCCAGCAGGATTGCCACGATGGCTGCCGATTCGGACGTGCTCCATTTCCAGTTTGAGCAGCAAGGCGACGCCGTGCTGCAGAAGATGAACCTGCTGAGGCAGCAGAACCTCTTCTGCGACGTGTCCATCTACATCAACGACACGGAGTTCCACGGGCACAAAGTGATCTTCGCGGCCTGCTCCACCTTCATGCGGGACCAGTTCCTGCTCACGCAGTCCCAGCACGTTCGGATCACGATCTTGCAGAGCGCTGAAGTAGGCCGGAAGCTGCTGCTCTCGTGCTACACGGGAGCGCTGGAAGTGAAGAAGAAGGAGCTTTTGAAATACCTCACGGCGGCCAGTTACCTGCAGATGGTGCATATCGTGGAAAAGTGCACCGAGGCCCTTTCCAGATATCTGGAAATCGACGCTTCTGTAGAAGGCAACGGCCGGTGTGCTGACAAATGCCACTCTTCGGACATGGAGCTGGGCAGCAAAGACAGCTGCCCATATAGAGACTGTGAAATCATCGAGATTTCTGCAGACAGCCCGGTGAGCGTAGACGATCCCATAAAACAGGAGAAAGGGGACATTCAGCCGGTGTCCCTGCAGGATTTAATGTCGGACAGGAAGGAGGTCAAAAGCCCTGAGATCTCCACCGTGGAGATTGGCTACAAGGATGACGAAATCTGCATCTTCCAGATGGATTCCATTAACGTCCCCAGTGTGGACGATGCGCAGTTTCCCCAGCCTTGCACCTCTTCCAAAACCAACCTGTATTTCCCCGAAACTCAGCACTCCTTGATCAACTCCACCGTGGAGAGCAGGATGAGCGAAGTAGCTCAGCTCCAGAACTTTGGCAGCGAGAACCCAGAAGGAGCTGCGCACACAGGAGGTGACTTCCCAAACTCCGAGGGCGTCGGCTACTCGTGGCGGCATCAGTGTCCCAAGTGCCCCAGAGGCTTCCTCCACCTGGAAAACTACCTCCGCCACTTAAAGATGCACAAGCTTTTCTTGTGCTTGCAGTGTGGGAAGACATTTACTCAGAAGAAGAACCTCAATCGGCATATCCGCGGCCACATGGGCATCCGCCCGTTCCAGTGCATGGTGTGTCTGAAGACGTTCACCGCCAAGAGCACCCTCCAGGACCACCTCAACATCCACAGTGGGGACCGGCCGTATAAGTGTCACTGTTGTGACATGGATTTCAAGCACAAGTCCGCCCTCAAAAAACACCTGACGTCCGTGCACGGAAGGGCCGGCGGAGTGGACAAATCTGGCTTTGACGCCATCACGGAAGTTAGAATAGACTACGACTAGATGTCGTTTGGGAAGGGGATTTTTTTTTTAAAAAAGGCCTGATTGGTTGCAGAACACCAAGACCCACCCCACTTTCTCCACTCATAGTCTCCAGCCCTGCATGTAAATATACCCCCCTATTTATCGATGTTCCCGCAGGCTTTTGAATAACTGCCCTTCTTCCCATGATATTAAGCAAGAAATACTGAACAAAAGGTGGTGCTTAATTGTTGTTATTTACGTATTTATATGTTCTGTAACGTAAAAGAATCTTTGGAGCCTTTATTTTTGCACCACACCCAGAATTTTTTTAACGTAAAGCTGTTGTTTACGTCTCGGTTTTGGGGGGGCTTTAATCAGAGTGTCTGTTTTTTTGGGTGAAAACGTGCAACTTTGCCTTGTTCACCATGAACTGCACAGTGGCCAGGAATTCACATAAGAGCCCAGTGTATAATCAAGGCAGCGTCTTTATTTTATTTTTTTCTCCTTTAACAAAGACTGGACTCGTTATAAAAACACCATTGTTGGAGTCACCTTGTTTGGCAAGCCACAAAAGAATCAAATGTAAATTCCATTTTCACTTCAGTCTGAAGTTAAGTCTTATTGCTAGTGGTCACTGCAGGTTACAAGGTACTATATTTTTCTTATTTCTGGAAGCGTTAAGAAACATACAATCAACTTTCATCCAGGCAATTCTGTGTTTTGGAGCAGTATAAATGTATACATTTTTGTGATAATGCAAATAAGCTATATATCTCCTGGGATGAATGGATCAACTGCAGTTACAAGGGTGCTTAATTTTCAAGGGAAAAAAACCCTGAACTATAAAATGCAGATATTAATTGTGAGGGTGGGGACATTAATTGCATGATTTTCCTGAGATGCCAGTGGCAATTGCATAAATGATCAAAGAACTCAGTTGTGTTGGGGTGCTGACATTTTGAGAAGGCTGTTTATAACGTTTTTGTAAATGTGGCCTGCTTTTTGGTGTGCTAATAAGCTTTTGTGTAACAGGAGATCCTTCCTGTTTGATTGATACGCTCCAAATTTTGCAAAAGACTTTCTCTGACTCCAGGTGTTCGTAAGCGAATTGTGTCTGTAACACGCATGGAGCTGTCCAGTTTTGAGAAAAAGCATTCACTGGCCAAACAGCCCCAATTATGAGGTTGACACCTGTGATAGTCTTGTTTGTGGCTGCTTTGTGTGGGCGTGCATGCCCAATTTGCCATTTGATTTGTAATGGGAATAAAGATTGCTTCTGGCTGACCGGACCGCACTTTAAATGTACACTAATCAGCATACATTAAAACGAAAATTGCGTTGCATTCAGCTCTCCAAAAAATCCCATGATGCATATCCCCACATGCACACACATATATGACACAGAGAAACATCACAGTCTTGTTCGAATATACATATGCTGGCGGGGAAAAAAAAATACTGCGAATTTACCAAACGGGTGGCACAGGGAACAAAGCTGTTAACAGAATCTGGTAGTCCTGTTATAAATACTTTGAAACCTCCTCCCAGAGGGGAGCAACAGAAACAGACCGTGAAATGGAGGGGGAGGCCTCTAACAATGCTCCGAGCTCTAAGCACATGTAAGTGCTTATAAGCAGCGTCCTGAATAACGGGAAGTGAGCTTCCTATAATCTCCACTGTCCTCACCACTCTCTGCATGGACCTTCTGTCTGAGGCTCCGCTAGCACCAAACCAGACAGTGACACAGTTTGTTAAGACACTCTCAATGGGGCCTGTGCAAAAAGTGGCCAGAACAGGAGGAGAAAGATGTGCTCTCCTCATTTGACTGTAATTTTGAAACAAGGTTATGAAGAGATTACCTGGAGGTCCCCGAACCACTTAAAGCTGACTGTTCAGCAGGTCAGCGGTTCAAATCTCACCGGCTCAAGGTTGACTCAGCCTTCCATCCTTCCGGGGTAGGTAAAATGAGGACCCAGATTGTTGGGGGCAATGTAAATATATATATATACATTGCTTACTGGTGTACACCGCTTAGAGAGTGCTCGCACTTAAAGCGGTATATAAGTCTCATAAATAAATAAATAAATAAATAAATAAAGCTTTCCCGCTGACCTTACAAAGCAGCTCCTCAATCTTGTGTTTTGGGGGGGGGGGGCACCTGTGAGAGCAAAAGTCAAGATGGATGAAATAAGCAGGCATACTTTTTTTAACTGCTGTACAAAATCACCAGCTATCCCAGGGTAGGCAACCTTGGCTCTTTTATGACTCCTGGACTTCAACTCCCAGAATTCCTGAGCCAGCATGGAGTCATAAAAGAGCCAAGGTTGCCTACCCCTGATCTAAACTCATCAAATCATGATCTAAATCAGGGGTGGGGAAACGTGGCCCTTTCATGACTCGTGGACTTCAGCTCCCAGAATTCCTGAGCCAGCGTGGCTCAGCATGGCAACCTCTCCCTTTCCCCTCAGCATGGCTGGCTCAGGAATTCTGGGAGTTGAAGTCCACCAGTCATAAAAGAGCCAAGGTTGCCTCCCCCTGGCCTAGGCCGCTTTATGAGTCGTGGACTTCAACTCCCAGAATTCCTGAGCCAGCCTGGCTCAGCTTGGAAACCTCTCCCTTTCCCCTCAGCATGGCTGGCTCGGGAATTCTGGGAGTTGCAGTCCACGAGTCATAAAAGAGCCAAGGGCTAGCCAAAAGGTTTCTGTGGACAAGAACAGAACAAGAGTCCCATGTTTGTCATTGAAGATCCTGCCTTAAAATGAGGAGGGAGTCCTCGATTTACGACAGATCGTTTAGTGACCGAAGTTACAACGGCACTGGGAGAAAGTGACACACGACCTTGTTTCACTCTTGCAACCGTTGCAGCATTTCCAGGGTCACGCGATCAAGATTCAGACGCTTGGCCATTGGTTCATATTTACGACGGTCGCAGTGACCTCGGATCTCGTGATCCCTTTTTGTGACCTGACAAAGTCCATGGAGCCGGATTCGCTTAACGACCGCGATGCTGACTTAACAGGTGCCGCGATTCGCTTAACAACCGAGGCAAGGAAGGTCCTAAAACGGCGTCTCCACAAGTGTCTCGCTTAGCAACAGAAATGTTGGGCTCCACTGTCATAAAGCGAGGACTGCCTGCATTATTACACTACCCTTAAAAACGTTCCCCAAAAAAAATAACCTGACGGTTTGAAATACCGACACTCCAATCTCCAATCGCCGGCTTCAAGACGACACGCGTCCCCCCGTTTACCAATTCCCACGTCTTCGCCTTCCCTCGCCTTTCTGTATTCTTTCAGGCCGGGCTGGGAAGCCCCGCCTCCGCCGTTCCCGATGGGCGGTGGCTATGCAAAATATGAGCCACGCCCTCTTCCAGGCCGGGGCGGGGCGGAGCGAAGAAGGCGGCTATGCAAATCCGAGCCACGCCCTCTTCCAGGCCGGGGCGGGGAGGAGCGAAGAAGGCGGCTATGCAAATCTGAGCCACGCCCTCTTCCAGGCCGGAGCGGGGCGGGGCGGAGCGAAGAAGGCGGCTATGCAAATCCGAGCCACGCCCTCTCCCAGGCCAGAGCGGGGCGGGGAGGAGCGAAGATGGCGGCTATGCAACTCCGAGCCACGCCCACTTCCAGGCCAGGAATGAGGCGGGGCGGGGAGGGAGGAGCGAAAGCGCGCGCGCGGGGCGAGCGGGACGCTCTAGCGCGCCTCGCTTTTCGGCGGGCGAGTCTCGCGAGAGGGGGCGCGGCTTGGGTGGGCGGGCCTCCCGGCTGTCACCGCGATGAGGAGGCGACGCCGCCGCCGCCGCCGCCGGGCCGCTCCGCGGTGCGCCCCTCGGGGGGTGTGAGGAGAGGCCGGGCCCTCCCGCAAGTAAGGGGGGCGGCGGGGAGGGAGGGGCCTGACGCCTGCGCGGAGGGGAGAGGGGGGGCGCCAGCTGCGGGGGCGCCCCGAAGGAGACCCCTCCCCCACCCCCGAGGGAGGGGCGGCATGGGGAGCCCCCTTTCAGGGAGGGGAGGGGGCCCCCAGAGGGGACAGCATGGGCCCTGGGCGTGGGGGGGGATGTGCGCAGCCGCAGCAGGGCGCGGAGGGGTCACTCGTCTTGGGACCCCCGCACGACCACCCGGGAAAGGGTTGCGTGATTTTGGGGTGGGGGGAGCCTTTTATCTGCACCCTCCCCTCCCCCCCGCTGGCTCCTGGAAGGGGTGGGGGGGCGTGGTGAGGGGGGGGGGCAAAAAGGCAGCCTGGCTGGCCTCCCTGGCCCAAAGTTGGGTGTGAATGGAGAGACTAGAATAGAGCTGGAAGGGGTCTTGGAGGTCTTCTAGTCCACCCCCCCTGCTCAGGCAGGAGAACCACCTGTACCGTTTCAGGTGGTACCACTGTCTGGTGCCTTACGGGAGGCAGGCCACGCGGTCTTGGCTTGCAAGCAGGTGGGGGGGTTGGGGAAAGGGGGTGCAAGCAGTCTTGGTTTGCAAGCAGCCCTGGAGGTTGGGGGGAAAAGGGGGTGCATGCAATATTGCCCTCCCCCCCCACACACACTTGGCAGGACGTGTTTTTCTTTTTTTGCCATAGGTGCTCCTGCAGGAAATAACATTGCAAAGATGGTAGTTTTCTAACCATCTCTTTTTCTGCTGCTGCTTCGTCAGTTCTCATCCCGTTTCTGCTTATTTTTCAGAACTGGGGCATGGGGGTGGTGAGAGAGACAGAAGCATGAGGACTAGTTTCCCCCCCCCCCATGGTTAAAATGCAGGCAGCAGGTTTTATGGTGGAGCAAAAGAGGTTTCTTGGGGCTCTAGCAATGCTCTGGGGGGACTCTGGGTCAAGGACAGGCACCATTAACCCTCCTAAGCAGAGAATTGCAACAGGTTTGTGTTGCTTTTGAAAAGAAAGTTCCACTTATGCTTAATACTGCCCCAATATAGCCTGGAAGAGGTCACTAACTGCAGCGTGCAGACAAAAGTGTATCTCCAGGCCACCTAACCATAAATTTGTCACGTGTTTTGTTCTGCTTACGTGATGTTTCCTAAACCATGCATTTTCCCATTAGGAATGGTGACCTGTTAAGACTAGCTGTGGTTAATTGAGCAAACCACAACTGAAAGAATCCATTACACAACCTGTGACTCTAGCCAGTGATTAAAATATCCGGCAGGCACAGAACTATATGGAATTATTTTTTAATGTTAAGATTGGTGTTCTTGTGCGGACTTCGCTTGTATCTCTTTTTTAATGGCTTAAATGTTCCTTAAAGTTCATTTAAGTTGAAACATTATGAATTCTGTATTGTTGCGGGCACTTATTATTTGCTTGAGATGGTGAAACTCTGATGCTGGGCATGGCTAATTGTAGTGGATATCTCTGGCCGAGCAGATACCCCGGTACGAACTCCCTGCAGCAGCTCTTAGCAAGAGCTGCCAGAAAATCAATCTTCTGATGTGAAGCAGTATTTCCTTTGATGCCAGATGCTGGAGATGGCTTTATAATGCTTCCTATAAAATCATATGCATATAAATGGGATTGATCAGAGTTACCGAAATAGAAGATGTAAACAATGGGCAAAGTGTTCCAATACCTCAGGGGCTGCCAGAAAAAAGAGGCAGTCAAGCTATTCTCCAAAGCACCAGAATTCAGGACAAGAAGGAACGGGTGGAAACTAATCAAGGAGAGAAGCAACCTAGGAGAAACTTCCTGACAGTGAGAACAATTAACCAGTGGAACAACCTGCCTCCAGAAGCGGTGAATGCTCCAACACTGGAAGTTTTTAAGAAGAGACTGGACAGCCATTTGTCCGAAATGGTATAGGGTTTCCTGCCTAAGCAAGGATTGGACTAGATGACCTCCAAGGTCTCTTCCAACATTATTATTATTATTATTATTATTATTATTATTATTATTATTATTATTATGGATCATCGCACAGTCAGCCAGATGTTCAGACTGCAGGTGCTTGTCTGCAACATAACACCCCGGACTTAACTATTATTGTTGTTGTTGTTGTTGTTGTTATTATTATTATTATTATTATTATTATTATAGATTGGGGAAACCAGTCCAGAATGCAGGCCTAATTGACCCCAAAAGAACCAAGCCTACTTTTTTTTCTCTTCCAGCTCCCGACCCCCTGGACGGTGCCAACATGGAGTGCTAGCAGCGGCTGAGAAGTGGGCGCTGCGTTCCACAATGCCTGTGCAGGCCGCCCAGTGGACGGAGTTCCTGTCCTGTCCCATCTGCTACAATGAGTTTGACGAGAACGTGCACAAGCCCATCAGCCTGGGCTGCTCCCACACCGTCTGCAAGGCCTGCCTGAGTAAGCTGCATCGCAAGGCCTGCCCTTTCGACCAGACCGCCATCCACACCGACATCGACGTGCTTCCCGTCAACTTTGCGCTGCTCCAGTTAGTGGGAGCCCAGGTAAAAGGAGAGGGCGTTCTCCCCGCCCACCCGTCCCGCCGGCAGGTGACCCAGTGCAGAGGCCGAAAAAGTCCGCAGCGGGCAATCGGACGGGGAAGAAAGCTTCATTTGCTTATTTAGATCTTTATTCTGCTTTTAATATTTTGTAAGTAACTCTAGGCGGTGAACACACCTCCTGCCTCCTGTTTTCCCACAATCCCCACCCTATGAAAGAGAGAGACAGGGACTTTCTTGACTAAGGCAGAACTAAAACTCGGCATCTCCTGGTTTCCGGGCCAGCAAATCTGCCCGAATCATGTTGAGAATCCAGATTTAATGGCCTGCTGATTGCACGTTGCATCCAGAGGACAGATGCTCATTAAATATATCTGTAAGGACCCAGCTCAGCTAACCACCCAAGAAAGCAGAACTCTCTTGAAGCAGGCATTGTCTCAAAAGGAACTTTTATTAGGGATCAGTGACAGGAGGGAAGTCAAAGCGAGATCTGGGGGAAAATCCCGCTTAAACGGCATGATTAGACTCGCAGTCTTCCTCCTCCCGCCAAAGTCATAATGTCCATTTGAAATCCAGCCGGACCACAGGTGGCAACGATGTTTGGCACAAGTTGACGGCATATCTCAAGGCCTTCTACTGTTTCACCGTAACAGTCTCCTTGGTAAGGGAGACACATTCTTCTCTCAAGTGGATAGAGGCAGGAGAGGGAAAGTAGAAAACCAGAATGGCAGGCCCCAAACAAGAACACATTATGCAGGGAAAACCATAAAGGTCTGGGGATCTGACAATGTAGGTGGTGCTCAACTTACGACCCCAATTTGAACCCCCAATTTATGTTGACGAGTCAGAAATTTTTTAACTGAGTTTTGCCCCATTTTACGTCTTTTCTCGCCACATTAAGTGAATCACTTATCCGTTATCGGACGTTGGCAATCAGGTTGGCGATCCTGTTTTTATCAACCGCCGCACGAAAAAGTGCTGCTGAGTTTTGTCCAAACCGGTCCCTTAGATTTTGAAGCCACGATGTTCTTCTTCTGCCTGGACCTCATTGGCCTTTGATCTTTCCCTGGAGGATGAAATGGAGCATGCCGTATTGTTCTGGGTGTCGCATCACCTATCCGGAAATATTCTAATTTTCATTTTTTGATTGTTTTGATGATTTCCCTGGGCTTTCCCAGGCGTGGATCACTGCGGTTCTTAAATTAGTAACCCGGCGGTTAAGCTTCTCAAACTTTACTAGTCAGAAGGTCATAAAGGTCAACCCTGCAGCCATCATAAATATGAGTCAGTTGCCAAGCATCCGAATGTAAATCACGTGACCCTGGGGGTGCTGCGACAGTCGCAAGGGTGAAAAACGGTCATAAATCCCTTTTTTCAATGCCATTGTAACTTCAAATGGTCGCTAAATGAACGGTTGTAAGTCGAGGGCTACCTGTAATCTGATTTAGTAATGGGACATCCTGGTTGTGATTCCTCGCCAGCCAGTGGACCCGGCAGCTGAGTCTGGGGAATCAGAGGAAGAGGAAGAGGAGGGTGGGCCTGGAGATCCATCAGAGTAAGACTCTGAGGAGCTCCAAGACTTACAGTCTGACGAGGAGCCTGGCCCCTCCACTGGCGCTCAGGCTGAGACACAGCTGGGCTGCGAGGCTGAGTCAAACTGTGAGGACTCACAGCTGGAAGACATAGATGCTTGCAAGCATCGACAGGCAACGAGAGTTGGACAGAGGAAGGCAATGGGGCGGCTCCAAGGGCAAAGGAGAAGGCATTAGGAAGCCACGCCTTGGGCTGCACAATAAAAGGGAAGGTGTGGGAGGTGCTGGTTGCTGAAGAAATCAAGTTTCATCGAATTGTGTGTTGTTTGCCTGGATGTTTTTGCAGGTCTGCAAATAATAATAAAAGGGGTTTGTTTTTCTTACGGTTCCAGCCTACTTGTTGGAAGAGGGGTTTCTCCTTGTGAGGACTCCCGTAGGCTGGGACAGAAACGATCCTTTCCCAAATCACAGTTTCCCCTCCTGCCCCCTTTTTAAAGGAAGGTCTGCTCATAAGTGCTTCTCTCCGGGACCCTTCTAGGTGCCTGAACGCCAGGCTGTCAAGCTAAGCAACCTGGGAGAAAACCAACACTACGAACTGGCAAAGAAATGTGTGGAAGACCTCGCCCTTTATTTGAAGCCCCTGAGCGGAAGTAAGGGTAAGTCCCTGCGCCAGGTGATCGCGCCTCCTTCCGGGCCAGAGCGATGTCTCCTGTCCAGCCGATGCTTGAATCGGGACTTGAACGTACGAGCCACCTGGTCATAAAAGTCCCTGTGTATTTTGAGGACAGTTTCTGAAGGAGAAACACAGGAATCCTCGTCCCTCACACTGATACTATAAGATACTATAACAGTGATGGCGAACCTTTTAGAGACCGAGTGCCCAAACTTCAACCCAAAACCCACTGATGTATTGCCGGGCGGGCGTGGCCGCCAGGTGGGTGTGGCCCGCCAGGTGGGCATGGCTACAGTGGTCATGGCAGATGGGTGGGCGTGGCCAGGGTGGGCATGGCCAGCTCGATGATGTTCCTGGGGAGGGACGCCTGTACGGGCCGGGCAGGGTTGGGGGAGATCCAGGGGTCTCTGGCAGGTGGGGCGGTGGGCAGGAGGCTGGTTCTGCAGGGTGAGGCGAGGCATGGCAGGGGTGCCATGTCGCAGGGCAAGGGGAGGCAGGGGCCGGGGCAGCTGCTGCCTGACACTATCGGCCCCCGCACATAGAGACCAGCAAGCGCATAGGTGCTGGGATGCATCCTGACATGCTGCCCCCCTAAAAGAAGTGAAGGTCCACCTGGAGAAGAGAAAAGCAAAGAAGGGATAAGAAATAGTTAAGTGCTCATTTAGGTTTATTGGGGTAGCGGCCATGAAAGTGTTTAATTAGCCCCGGGGGCTTTAACATAATTCTTTTGCACCCACTCAAGTTGAATCCCAGGGAGGTTTTTCCATATTACTAGGTATTGCGTGACTCCCCGGTGTGGGCGTGAGTCTAGGTCCGATGTCTTTCCTCCCGAAATGCTGTCACTGCTGAAATACAGATAACGTAAAATTTTCTGTTGATCTCCAAAGGTGTGGCTAGCTTAAATCAAAGCACGCTGAGCCGGCCGATGCAACGGAAGCTGGTGACCCTGGTGAACTGCCAGCTGGTGGAAGAAGAAGGCCGCATCAGGGCGATGCGGGCAGCTCGCTCCCTCGGGGAGAGGACCGTCACCGAGCTGATCTTGCAACACCAGAACCCTCAGCAGCTCTCGGCCAATCTCTGGGCTGCTGTCCGGGCCAGGGGGTGCCAGTTCCTCGGGCCGGGTGAGTAGTGGGTGGAGGAGGAGAAGGAGGAGGAGGAGAAGGAGCATAGCCCTCTTCGCCATTATTCAGCTTTAAAATGAAGACAACTTTTCCCAGTGTAATAGCTGTGAGAAAAGAGGTTTGGGGGTGAGGGGTATTCTGAAGTCCTCCTGGCAAGGAAGAGAAATGAGGTCACCCCCGTTTCATCAGGTTCAGCTTTTCCCACTTTGGGTCTCCCAGCTATGCAGGAGGAAGCCTTGAAACTGGTCCTGCTGGCCTTGGAAGACGGCTCGGCCCTGTCCCGCAAAGTCCTGGTGCTGTTTGTGGTCCAGCGCCTGGAGCCCAGGTTCCCTCAGGCATCGAAAACCAGCATCGGCCACGTGGTGCAGCTGCTCTACCGGGCGTCCTGCTTCAAGGTGTGACATTTGGGTACCGGTAAGGTCCCGCCGCAGCTAATATTCCCAGGAAAGCAGAAACTCTTGAAACTGGCATTGTTTCGAAAGGAATCTTTATTGAGAGTTCGTGAAAGTAGACAGGCAAGGCAAGATCTGAACCTTTCCTGTGCAAAACGTTAACATTAAACCCCTCTCTTCAAAACCCCTCCCAAGAGCCCAACTGCCCAGTCCAATCCACAGGTTGATACGGGAACTGGAAGGTGAAAGTGGTAAAGCGCCGTTCCCAGGCATCGCATCCTCTTCTCAGCGGAGCAGAGATAAGGCAGATGGCGCCAGGCACATTCCTCCCCCCCCCTTTCACAGCCCAAAGAGATACATCAAAGGGTAGCAGAACAAAGCAAAAAGGAACACGAATTCCCTCCCAATAAAATGGCAGCATTCCAATAGTGATCTGAGGGGCCTGACACTACCTGATTTATGAGGGCAATTTGGAAATAAACAACCGTTTGGTTATCAATGACAGACCCTCGGAGATATAGAAGTTGTACTATACACATTAGAAAACTATAAAGTGGCGTGACTTTTCAACCTAATCGCCTGTAAGGACCCACCTCACTTTGCATCTTAAGAAGACAGAACTCTTGGAATATTTCTTCCAACAGGGCATCTTTATTAAGAGAAAATGGTTGCAGGCGTTCTAGACAGGACCTGGAGCCCAAGCCCTACGGTTCAAGGTTTTAAGGGGTCCCCAGCAGCTCCACCCCACCTCACCATTCTTCCAGCGACAATCCCAGGCATTACATTTCCACCCCCTTTTTCCTCCTGGCCGGCGGAAGGGACACTTCAGAGGGGAGTAGATGAAAGCTGATGGGCCCCATTGTTATGATTAGTCCTTTTTGATTCAGTCCCTTTGAAGTTGTAAGGAAGGGAGGGCCATAAAACCCCTTTGCTCACCCCCCCCTTCCCCTTCGTCGTATGACAGAATCCAGAGAGGGCAGAAATGGGGTTTTCCATAGTCGATAACTAGAGATGAAATATAATTGGATTCTGACATCGCCATTCAAATTGAGGCACTTGTCTTAACGTCTTTACAAGTGTCATGGTTCCGAAAGAAGAATCTCTTCAAAGAACTTTGAGGCATTGTTTGACCTTAAAGAATCTTTAATTTGCAACATAGCTTCGGCGTGTACATAGAAAAAGCCAAAATCTGAATTCTCCTCCCCCAAACACACAGGATCAAAGCATAACTCACTCCTTCATTTAACAGTCATTAATCACATTCTCCAATTAGTCTGAAGTGCGAACTTTCCCTCTTGTTATCTCTTATTACAACTAACCTTGAAGAAAACTCTACTGAGATATTGTTATGGCTAACTAGTCCCCAAGCACGTTCTTCCCCCTCCCCTCCAGCATCATCTAATTTTAACTCTAAAAGTAATACACAGGTTAAATAGGAAATGTCTGCATCTTCATATATTGTCAAGCAAGAACATCTGATGTTAGCAGCATTGACAACAAGGTTTGAAATGCCTTAGTCGTTGTTGCTCAGTGCCAAATCTGGGCTATGGGAGGGGGGTTTGATCAAAACCATCCCAACGGAACTGCTTCAGAAGTTCAAAATGATTTAATGAGATGACTTTTACAAATGCAACGGAAACAAGCTGATTAAAAAAACGCATTATGTGTTGATGTTATTAGATGCGTAAATACTAAAAAACATGTTTACATTCAACTTGGCATGTGCTGAAAATATTAAGAATTACATTTGTGTAATGTAGACACAAGGAGAATATTACAGGAAGAAGACAGGATCCAGGAATATGTTACCGACGTATTGTTTAATTGTAGAAATTAATTATCGGTTGTTTTAAATGTATGAACCCAGACAACACACTGCTCACGAAGCACTGAAGATTGTTATTGTAAAAAATTAATAAAATATATTTTTTTAAAAAAAAGTTCTTGGGTGCATCTAGCGGTGTGTGGGCAAGCGTTGTCATGAACCAACACCACACCGGAAGTCAGCAGGCCCTGACGCGTGTTATGGATGGCTCGTTTTAGTTTTCACAATAGACTTCTGAATTGATGGTTGGACCACACTCCATGAGCTTCACCAGCAGTCCTTCTTTGGCATCTTCACATTTGGCGGGATTTCCTATGGCACTCCTTCTGGTGTGGTGTTGGTTCATGATAATGCTCGCCCGAACACTACTAGACGCACCCAAGAACTTTTGAAGTAGTTCCGTTGGGATGTTTTTGATTTATACTGGCAGCACTGTAAGGAACCACTTCAATCCACATCTCAAGAAAGCAGAATTCTTGGAAACGGTCTCTTCCAACAGGAACTTTTATTAAGAGAAATTGATAGCAGGCATGATAGACAAGATCTGAGGGATTCCCTCACAAATCGATGTTTTAAAGTGTCCCTAAGCAACCCCCCCACCCCGCAGTTCTTCCGGGCGATTCAGACCGGCAGTTTTCTAGCTGTTAAATCCAGGAAAGATAACATCAATCCAGCTCCATTGTGCACGATCATTCAACAGCTCCTCACACCTTATTTTGCTGACAAAGAAATAAACCAGAGTCCGGAGGACTGCATTTTTTCACACACACACCCTTTTCCTAGCTGACCGGTAAGGAGGAAAAGTTCAGAGGGGCATAGGATGAAAGGCAAATGATTACATTGTGATGGTTAGCAGACCCGAAGGTGAATAAACAAAAGGTTACTTTGTAGTGAATAGAGGAAGTGAAAGTAATAAAACCCCGCATGCATACCCCCTCCCCCTTGGGACTATGGCAGGATCCAGGGAAAGGTAAGAATTGGTTTTAGATCAGAGGAGATAGATAGAAAGGAAATATAACTGGATTCTGACACGCACAGAGTGACTCCAGGCATCTTAGAAACGGTAGCTTGAGTTGGTTGTGTTTCTTGGCGCAGGTCACCAAGCGGGACGAGGACTCTTCCCTGATGCAGCTGAAGGAGGAGTTCCGCAGCTACGAGGCCTTGCGGAGGGAGCACGACGCTCAGATCGTCCACATCGCCCTGGAAGCCGGTCTCCGGATCTCTCCCGAGCAGTGGTCCTCCCTCCTGTACGGGGACCTGGCCCACAAATCCCACATGCAGTCCATCATCGACAAGGTCAGCTCCAAAGAAGCTTGCTTTGCACCCCAGCAAATTGAGCTTCGGGGCATCCAGTGATGAAGCTGCATAGGGCAGATTCTGAGCTGGGAGCTGCAGCTCCTGAACGCTGATCTTCCATTTATGCTGTCTGAGGATGCGGCTCTTTTTGAAAACAAAAACAAAAAACGCGGTTTTCCTCTGCCCTCCGCGTCGCATTTCCTTCCGAGAAACAAAACCTAATGTCCAGAAACCTGAATGGGAATGTAGCTGCTTTTTCTTCCTATCACACAAGGGCCAAGCGCGGCGCCCAGAAAATATTTTTATTTGCCCCCCACCACTCCAAAATTTGTAGGTTAAGCCCCGACGTTGGTGCCATTTTACGAAATAAAGTTCCTTCTTTCCAAATACCGGGAACCCCACTCCAAAAATTCTGGCCTTGCCTTGCTGTATGATTTTGCACTACCGTTGCACCCACCTCAGGGGCAAACTTTTGAAAATGTTAAATCCGACCTACAGATGCAAAGCGTGTGTGTTTCCTTTCACCTAGCTCCAGTCTCCGGAATCCTTTGCCAAAAGCGTGCAGGAATTAACCATTGTTCTGCAGCGAACGGGGGACCCCGCCAACCTGAATCGGCTTCGTCTCCATTTGGAATTCTTGGCGAACATAGATCCTAACCCAGGTATGTCTGCGGAGAGAAGGCGGAGCCCCCAAACACCTCCCCTGTTCCGTCTCCTTCCTTTCCTCCCCCCCCTAAAAGAAACATGGTTTGATCCTTTTCACACTATGCTTTTTCCAGTCTTTGGTGGCTGCCAAAGATGACGGAAATGATCTTAAGAGGTGAAATTATGGCAACCGGACCAAAGTTTATTAAAACGGAGACGTTTTGTTACTCACCCAAGTAGCTTCTTCAATCAAAATGAAAATTTTGAGTAGGCAAAGAGTGTCATGGTTCCGACAGATGAAACTCTTCAAAGAACGTCGAGGCATTGTTTACCTTAAAGTATCTTTATTGGAATAGCATAGCTTCGGCACTAGCATAGTCAAAGCCGAAATCTGAATTCCCCTCCCCTGAACACATAGTATCAAAGCACAATACCTTCCTCTAATTTACAGTCACAAATCACATTCTCCAATTAGCTTGAAATGCAGGCTTTCCCTCCAGTTCTTCAGCCCGCCATTTCTTATCATCTCTTATTTCAAAAAACCTTGGTTCTCACCCTAGTTACAATATGTCTAACTAAACTCCCATGCACATTCCTCCTCCCCCCCTACACAGTATCATTTAATTCTAACTCTAATTCTAGGAGTAAAACATGAGAAGGAAAATGGCTGCTTCTCCACATGTTGTCAAAGCACGAACATCTGATGTTAACAGGGTTGACACAGTATTTTAATTGCTCCGTTTCCGCCCTCTTCCAGATGCGGCGTCTCCAACTTGGGAGCAGCTGGAAAATGCCCTGGTGGCCGTTAAGACAGTTGTCCATGGCCTTGTTGACTTCATCCAGAACTACAGTAGGAAAGGCCCTGAAATTCCACAGGTCGGTGGTCCAGATTTGATTTGTTGTAACGTAGCACTTCGATCCTCACACAGACCTATAAAACAGCAAGTAAGACTAGATAGTCTCTCACACACACATGCAAAATTAAAATCACAGAGGACTTTCTCTGATTTGATGTTTTTTTAATGCTTGGTTGAACTTTCATCTTTGGTTAGTTGACAGTTTGTGGGTGCTGAAATCTATCACATCAGCTTGGATTGAAATAAGCCTGGATTTTCCTCCTTGGCTTGATGCTTTTAAGTCATTTTTTTTCCTAACCTAGAGGTCATCTCCCAGAATTCTCTGCAATGGCCACCGTGGATAGGGAATTCTGGGAGTTGACATTTACACACAGCTGGAGTCTGGAGAAGCCTGCTTTAAGCTCTCTAAAGCAGTGGTTCTCAACCTTTTTAATGCCACGACCCCCAACCGGTCGTAAGTTGAGGACTACTCAACCGGTTGTAAGTCGAGGACTACTCAACTGGTGCAGCACCGTTTGCAGAATGGGGCTTTTGGTGGGCTCAGCAGGGCAGAGACAGCCTGGACAATTCCTATTGGCTTTTGAAAGCCAATAGAATTAGACTCTATTCAAGAGAGTCTATTCTATTGGCTTTCAAAAGCCAATAGAATAAAAGGGAGTAGCACAGCTAAGGAAAAGGGGAAAAAAATGGCGGACTGCGTTGTTTGGCGACCCCCGTGAAATGGTCGTTCGACAGGTTGAGAACCACTGCTCTAAAGCCACTGGCTGCTTGTTCCTTGAGTGTGTGTTTCTCTTTGTTCGGTTTAGTGGCTGAACAGCTCCAAATGACTCTGGGCCATTTACATATTAGAAGTTGTGAACAATAAAAAGCAAAGAGAAAGATTATGAAGTTGTGAACAATAAAAAGCAAAGAGAAAGATTATGGAGTTGGGAACAATAAAAAGCAAAGGGAAAGATTATGAAGTTGGGAACAATAAAAAGCAAAGGGAAAGATTATGAAGTTGTGAACAATAAAAAGCAAAGAGAAAGATTAAGAAGTTGCTGAAAGAAATCACAGGGCCCTTACAATATAGGCCCGTTTCCCATGTTGCTCCAGAAATAGAGTAGCGCAACTGTTGTTCAGGCCAACAGTCCCCCGTGTTGGCATGCTGCATGGTTCCCCTTCAACAGAGATAGCCGGGCACAAGAAGTTGGTAGCGCCCACTCACTTCTCTCTATCTTCTCTTGAAAGCCTCAGCCAAATAGCAAGTACAAAACCAGCCTGTGCCGTGACCTTAGACAACAGGGCGGGTGTCCGCGCGGGACCAACTGCACCTTTGCCCACTCGCAGGAGGAGCTCGAGAAGTAAGTCTTGTGGGGGGGGACACACAAGTTCTGCCTGGGGCCTAAGGTTAGTGTGGCAGCCTTGATCCAGGGCTCTGCCATCTGCACAAATGCACACCCAATTCAGCAACCGGGTTCCAAAACAACAACAACAACAATAATAAAGTTGGAAGGGACCTTAGAGGTCATCTAGTCCAATCCCCTGCTCAGGCAGGGAAGCCCTATACCATTTCGGACAAATGGCTGTCCAGTCTCTTCTTAAAGACTTCCAGCATGGCTCAGATGGAAGCCTCTCCCTTTCCCCTCAGCATGGCTGGCTCAGGAATTCTGGGAGTTGAAGTCCACGAGTCATAAAAGAGCCAAGGTTGCCTACCGCTGGTATAGGATCTCCTAAAATCATATCATAGGGGTCCAGATATAGTCAAATCTGAAAAATCTGATGACAGCTGCACGTTTGGGGAGATTAAAGTGTCCCTGGGCTGTTCAGGTCACCTGGGGGGGGGGACTTTCTGGTTTTTGAAGGTAGGAAGTATCGCTCATCCGATTCAACCTTCAGAAATTCTGTTGCTGACAGATTTGCCCATCTCAGGGCAAAGACTTTAAGACTTGTGGACTTCAACTCCCAGGATTCCCGGCTGAGGAATTGTGGGAGTTGAAGTCCAGAAAAAGCTGCCGAGTTTGGAGATCCCTAATGTGGCTTAAGGGGCAATCTTACATCTGGATTCTTGGCTCTATCTGAAGGCAGCTTTTATTGGAGGGGCGGGGTATTCAACTCAGCTCTGCTCTCCTTTCTGGGCCCTGCAGGTATCGGCTGAGAAACAAGAAAATCGGTGCCACGGTGAGACCCTTCCTGCTGCTTGGGAAAGCCAGCATCCCAAGCGCCGTTCCCATCATCGGAAACGCAGACCCGGCGGGAAAGGCGGCGTCCAGCACCAACGGGAGTCCCAGCCCGGAGAGCGGTGCCCCCCAGCTGATCCCCCGTTGTACCAACACCCCTTTGTTACGGACTCTGGAGCACGTGAAGAAAGGGGGGAAGGCCGTGGCAAACGGCCAGAACCCCACTTTGTCTCCCACCGAGCCTCTGCCCGAACAGTACGTTCTGGGGCTAGAATTGGAGCCTCCCCCCCCCCAGGAACAGGGAAGGCCGCCTCCTTCTCTGGGTTGGCCCCTTCTGGATCAGTTCATCCTGTCCCTTTTTAATGCACTTGGCGGCAGCCCTAATTCAACCTTTTCTGATTCTTGCAGCAAAACCGGATCCCCTCCGAAAACGCCTGTGAACCAGACCGCAGCTACCTCAGCAGGCCCCGTCCCTCCTCCTCCCCCTCCTCTTCCTCCCTCTCCAGCCCTTGCAGGCAGCGAGATAAGCCCCCTCGCCCCCAAACCCAGCCCTTTTGCCACCCGCCTGCCCATCTACCCGGCTCACTCAGAGACCCTGCCCTATTTCCAGGATCCTCGGGCTCATCTCTCCTATGAAGCTCCGCCTTATCCGCAAACAGGTGAGGGTCCAGCTCAAGAAGGTTGTGTAAAACGGGTTCCCAACCTTCACGAGCTGTTGGAAGGGAGCGGGGCCGTGGGAGTGGCAGGCACACGCGTGCATGCACAGCTCTGTTTGTGTGAGTGGCGTGTGCGTGCACCCTCCATATGTATGAATGGAGCTTCATGCTTGCCCATTTCTCCTGTGGCCCGGTAGTGGGCTGTGGTCCCGAGGGTTGGGGACCCCTGGTTTAAAAGCCCAGAGTGGGCCAAGAGCAGTGTTTCCCAAGCTTAACCCTTTTAAAAAGCATGGGCTTCAATTCCCGGCCAGCATTTGCAGCGAGCCAAGAAATAAACGTACAGGCGGTCCTCGACTTCCAACAGTTCATTTAGCGACTGTTAAAATTGCAACGGCACTGAAAAAAGTGACTTGTGGCCATTTTTCCCCACTTAACAACTGTTGTGGCTTCACGTGAACAATATTGGGCCGCTTGGTAACTGACTCATATTTAGGACGGTCGCAGTGTCCCAAGGGGTCACGTGATCCCCCTTTTGTGACTTTCTGATGAGCCAAGTCATTGCGGAACGCAGATTCACTTCACGACTGGGTTACCAACCTCAACACTCCAGCGATTCGCTTAACTGTTGCAAGAAAGGCTGTAAAATGGGGCAAAATTCACTGAACAATGATCTGACTTAGTAATGGAAATTTTGGGCTCCCTTGTGCTTGTAAGTCTGATCCTGGCTGGTTGTCAAGGTACTGATTGAAAAGCTAACCAGCTGATGTAATGTAAGATTTAATGATGGGAATGACTCAGCAGGTTCTTTGTCTCTTGAAGAGCCAGCAGGGTCTGTGTCTCTTTAAGAGCTTCATATAAAGGCTCCGCAGATGTGTGCGCTCTCTTTTTGTTTCCTTGCTGTAACTGCTGTGTGTTGGATACTGCTGCATTACCACGTGCATGTATATTATTCCGAGTGTACGATATTTTAGATAGATTTTCTACCCAGTGGGGTCTGCCTGGCGTCCCTGGTCCTGATTTTGAGAGGTGTTCTCGCTGGGGTGTTTCAAACTTTTTTCCTTCTGCATGTAATAATAATAATAAAGTTGGAAGGGACCTTGGAGGTCATCTAGTCCAACCCCCTGATCAGGCAGGAAACCCTATACCATTTCAGACAAATGGCAGTCCAGTCTCTTCTTAAAAACTTCCAGTGTTGGAGCATTCACCGCTTCTGGAGGCAGGTGGTTCCACTGGTTAATTGTTCTGTCAGGAAGTTTCTCCTTAGTTCCAGGTTGCTTCTCTCCTGGATGAGTTTCCATCCATTGCTTCTTGTCCTGCCTTCAGGCGCTTTGGAGAATAGCTTGACTCCCTCTTCTTTGGGGCAGCCCCTGAGAAATTGGAAGACTGCTATCATGTCCCCCCTCGTCCTTCTCTTCGTTAAACTAGACATACCCAATTCCAGCAGCCATTCCTTATATGCTTTAGCCTCCAGTCCCCTGTGTAAGTGCGAGAAGGCAGAGTTCAACTATGCTTTTCCTTCTGTAGGATATTATCCAGGCCCTGCGGCGGTCCCTACAGGGGTGCCCCCCTGCCTCCCTCGCTTTGTGAGATCCAGCAGCATCTCCGAATCCTCTCTCCCGCCGGCCTCTCTACAGTACAATGAACCTTACGGCACGTTTCCTTCTCGGGACAGACTTACCGCCGCTTACCAACAGGCACAACCGCAGCCCTACGGGCCGGTGCCACCGGTTCCTTCCGGGATGTACGCCCCGGTTTATGACAGCCGGCGTATTTGGCGACCACCGATGTACCAGAGGGACGATATCATCCGGAGCAACTCCTTACCTCCCATGGAAGTCACCCACCCCTCCGTCTATCACAATTTGGTGCGGGAAAGATATGGCTCTTTGGACAGCTACTGTTCGGTGCCCTGCCAGGTGCCAGTGGAGCAGAGGACTGTGCCTTGGGCAAGGGTAGGTGCTCCAGAATTTAGCCAGGGAGACTGTCTTGATTGGTGAAAGAATCCCTCTTCCCTGCTTTTCCGAGAGATTCTGAGTTTTGCTCTGCTGTCCGTTTTCTTTCCTTAAATCAGAGGTCTCCAAACTGGGCCACACAAGTAGGTAATAACGCGACTTTCGATTTCTGAGGGCTTAGAGCAGGGGGGTCTCCAGCCTTGGCAACTGGTGGACCAACTCTCAGAATTCCTTAGCCAGCCTCATGCTGCCTGAGGCATTCTGGGAGCTGAAGTCCACAAGTCTTCAAATTGCCAAGCTTAAGAGCAGGGGTCTTACAACTTGGCCCTTTTTGGACTTGTGGACTTCAGCTCCCAGAATTCTTCAGCCAGCATGCCAGGCTCAGGAATTCTGGGAGTTGGAATCCACAAGTCGTAAAGTTGCCCACTTTGCAGATCCCTGCCTTAGATGACAGCGCTGATGCTAATGTCATGGTTCTGAATAGGTGAGACCAACTAAAGCAGAACTTTTAGGCTTGAGTTTTTCCTCTAGGACAAGGGTAGGCAACCTTGGCTCTTTTAAGACTCATGGACTTCAACGCCCAGAATTCCTGAGCCAGCCATGCTGAGGGGAAAGGGAGAGGTTTCCAAGCTGAGCCGTGCTGGCTCAGGAATTCTGGGCGTTGAAGTCCACAAGTCATAAAGCGGCCTAGGCCTAGGCCAGAGATAGGAAACCTTGGCTCTTTTTTGACTGGTGGACTCCAACTTTTCCAAGCTGAGCCGTGCTGGCTCAGGAATTCTGGGAATTGAAGTCCACGAGTCATGAGGGGGCCAAAGTTTCCCCCATGCTGGCTCAGGAATTCTGGGAGTTGAAGTGCACGGGTCATGAAGGGGCCAAGGTTGCCTATCCCTGCTCTAGGAACATGTTTATTAGTTATAAAGTATTGGCACGGACAGTCAAAAGTGAAACTGAAACTAAAGTTTTCTCAGAAAGTTAAATTTCCCAGCCTATTACTATGGCACGCAATCAATTATGTTTCCCAATAGATTAGCTTGGCGGGCTTTGTGACAGAAAGCTCAGCCTCCCAGTTTAATAAACAGAACTGACCTTGGTTCCCACGGAACAGAGAATCGTTTAAGCTAGCAGAAAAATTACACACACACACACACACACACCCTGCCATTCTGGTGGCAGCAGAAACCAAGCCAAATGGCTTCAATTCAGGCAGAGTTGACAGCTAGTCTTCCTATTGTCCTTTCTGAGAAGGGATGGTAGGTTTTTGCTGTTGACTTACGTGTACGAGTAGTAAATCACGCCACGGGTGGCCCCATGAACTGGGCTGAGGGAAGCTCAAATAATCAGGGTTTGGAAGAGTTTTGCTTTGTTCTCTTTTTTTTTTCTGGTCACCTGGTTCCTTTGGCTCAAGCGTTATCCCTGCTTTTGTCCTCCTGCTTGGAGTTGGGTGGATGTTTTGGCTCCCAGCCGAGCGGTCCTTGTTTAACGACCTTAGAATTCCCACTGCCAAGTGAAGGCGTCCCCAGGCGAAACGTCACGATGCCTGCACTGCTCAGCGACACCAGTTCCGGTCACCCTGGTTGCCGTCATTAGACAAGGACCGTTCCAAGAATACGGGAACGCTTGAGTCGTTGGGTACGAGATGGGCGGTAAATAGATTTCCTAAATCGATCAGTAAGCTCAGTGCCCACTCGTAGCACGTTTGCTGAGTGTCGCTTGGCCTTCATACACGCCCCACTGGATCTTCCTTGTAGGAACCTTGTGGACATCTGAAGCCTGCCTACGAGGACCCTCTCCGAAAGAAACCGGAACAGTGGGCGCCTTGCCACATCCCGAAAGTGCCCCTGGTGACGACGTCCTCTCTCCCTGCAGCTGCACCGTCTCCATCCTCCCCTTCCCCTTTCTTCAGCGTGGACTTCAGTTGTGAAGTAAGGTCCCAGAAGACCCCTCTGGGAGGGAGGGAGGGAGAAGAAGGACCCTTGTGCCTGACCGTTTGCATGTCCTGCTTTCTTCCTTCTTTCCTTCCTTCCTTCCTTCCTTCCTTCTTTTTCTTTCTGTCCTTTCTTTCCCTTCCTTCCTTCCTTCCTTTCTTTCTTTCTTTCTTTCTTTCTTTCTTTCTTTCTTTCTTTCTTTCTCTTCTTCCTTCCTTCTTTCCGTCCTTCCTTCCTTCTCTTTCTGTCCTTCTTTCCCTTCTTTCCTTCCTTTCTTTCTCTTCTTTCTTTCCTTTCTTTCTTTTCTTTCGTTCCTTTCTTTCCGTTTTTCCTTCCTTCCTTCCTCCCCTCCCTCCCTCCTGTCCCTTCCTTCCTTCCTTCCTTCCTTCCTTCCTTCCTTCCTTCCTTTACAAAAGTGCTCTTCCTGTTGACTCTTAACTCTTCTTTGCTGCTTTTTAGACCAGGAATGTGGAGTTTGAGGAGAGGATATTTGCCCTTCCCTTTTTTGCGTCCTGTGAGGAGGCAATATTTAGTCTGGGGAAAGGACCTAAATTCCCTGAATATATTTATTCTTCCCTCCCTCCCCCCCTCCGTTCTTCTCTTCCACCTGATGGTTTCTGTGCTGTGCAATCAGATCGCTTTCTTTTCCTCTTTCACTCTGTCCATCGCTACCCTGTTGCTGACCACCCAGGCTGACCTGGATGGTCTCTGCAAGGTGGTCAGGTGTGTTTTCCCCCCCCCCCACACTCCCCCTCCTGCTTCTTGCAGTTCAGCAAGAACGCCAGCGGCTCGAGCGACCCCAGGTACGAAGACGGCCAGCCGTGCCAGTACTCGCCCTGGTCCTGCAGCACCCTCAGCTCCTGCATCAGCGCGGTGGAGGCCGAGCCGAAGGACGTCCTGGCTAAATCCAGCACGGTCCTCCTAGTAAGGCCGCATCCTGGGGGGGTGTGTGTGTGTCTGTGGAGGTCCTGGGTCAGGCAGGTCATGGATGTTCCTGAAGGTGTTTTTTCAAAAGGCAACTGGACTTGCTTTGTTTTTTTCCTTGAAGATGTTTCACTTCTTATCCAAGATGCTTCCTGTCAGTCTGCTCCCTTAGGGAAGGAAGACCCTTGACTCCACGGGGTTGAAGTGAACGGTTCTTTTACTAAAAGGTGTCTGGCTGCAGTAAAGCTGAATTTCCCACCCTCAAAAGAGGGTCTTTCCTCCCCCCTCCCCCACATCCCAGCCTCTCCCCCCCCCCCACGGCCAGTCCCTCTGCAGCCAATCAAAGTCCGCTTAGGTGTTTTGAGAACGCTGAGATGTTCAGAGTAGCTCACGTGCTTTTTCCAGGGTGCACCGCTTGGATGGATGGCTCAGATCTCCTCTGGTTTTCCTTAAGCTGTCACTTCCCCCTGTCAATGCTGCTAACGTGGGATGTTCTTGCTTTGACAACATATGTAGAACTGTCCGGTATTTTTAGAGTTAACTTAGATCGGAGATGTCAAACACAAGGCCCGGGGACCGAATGCGGCCCGCCAAGTGGTTTCATGTGGCCCGCGAAGCCATCCTGGAAACAGTGAGGGAACGGCCCCCGCTGCCTTGGCCCTGGCCGGGAGCCAATGTACAATTTTGTGGTGGCCATCTATGCTGAAAGGCATTCAGTCTTAGCTCCACAAGGCCGTCCGGAAACAGTGAGGAACTGGCCCCTGCCGTGTCGGCCCCACACCCTGGTGCATGCTGGGGAGGTGTCACCCTTTGTGAGGAATGGAGAAATGCACCATGCCTTGGCACTTGCCCCAGGCCCACCCCCTTCTGCCAGAGACCCTCAGATCTGTCCCACTCCTGCCCAGGCCCCCACAGGCACCCTTGACGCGAACGATGTAGAGCTGGCCATTTGAGAGATTCCTATAGAGCAGACCTGTCAAACACAAGGCCCGGGGGCCGGATGCCGCCCGCGAAGTGGTTTCATGTGGCCCGCGAAGCCATCTGGAAACAGTGAGGGAACGGCCCCCGCTGCCTGGGCCCTGGCCCAGGCCGGCCAGGAGCCAATGTACAATTTTGTGGTGGCCATCTTGGCACTTGCCCCAGTGGACCATGCCTTGGCGCTTGCCCCGGTCCCACCCCCTTCTGCCAGAGACCCTCAGATCTGTCCCACTCCTGCCCAGACCCCCATAGGCCCCCTTGACACGAACGATGTAGGGCTGGCCATGCCCACCCAGTAGGCCACACCCACCCACCCACCCCCCAAGCGCAACCGCAGTGCTGATGCGACTTTCAGTGAAATGGAGTTTGACACCCCTGACTTAGATGATGCTGGGAGGGGAGGAGAAAGAATGTGTGTAGGGAGTAATTGAGATAAGGAATACAGGGGCTACAGAAGGGAAGATCACTGCAAAATAGAGGAGGGGAATAGGCTGGAATGTTATGTGCAGGGGAAGGGAATTCAGATCTTGGCCTCCATCCACGCTGCGCCCACACTTGGTTGCCCGAATAAAGGCTTTTTAGGATAAACAATGCCTGGAAGTTCTTTGAAGTGTTTCATTAGTCTGAACTATGACACACACACACACCCTCCCTGTTTTCCAGCAAAGTAATACAGATTTATTGCCCATTTGTTCTCCCCCTTTGTGGCAGACCTGACACTTCCTCACTTCACCTCTGCAACTGAAGAAGCTTCTTGGAGGAGAAATTGAAACACCTTGGAGGAAAGAACAAAGTCCAGTTGCCTTTTGAAAAAGCTCCTTTGGGATGTCCTGGGGGGGGGGGAACCTCAGATGACTTTTGGGAACCTGGAAGGGTCCTTCGGAGCTGGTGTTTCCATGCCCCTCTCAGCCTCCCTTCCTTTCCCCGCAGGATCTGGACAGCGGAGACCCCAAGAGGCCGGCCCACCTCTTTGAAACCCAGAGGAAGGCGAAGGAGGAGGACCCCATCATCCCTTTCAGCGACGGGCCGATCATTTCCAAGTGGGGCGCCATCTCCAGGTCATCACGGACAGGCTACCACACCACGGACCCTGTCCAGGCGACTGCTTCCCAAGGAAGCACTACCAAGCCCATCAGCATGTCAGGTGCGGGCAGCTCCTTCAAGGGGGGGGGAGGAGGAGGAGGAGGAATAGAAAGAAAAGGAAAGAAGGAGGGATGGAGGAGAAGGAGGAGGAGGAATGGAGAGGGAGGACGGAAGAAGGAAGGATGAAGGAGGAATGGAGAAAAAAGGAAGGAGGAAGAGGAAGGAAGAAGGGATGGAGAAGGAGGAATGGACAAAGGAAGGATGGAGGAGGAGGAATAGAAAAAAAAGGAAGAAGGGATGAAGGAGGAGGAGTGGAGAGGGAGGACAAGAAGGAGGGATGAAGAAGGAATAGAGGAAGGAAGGAGGGATAAAAGGAGGCAGAGGAATGGAGAAAAAAGGAATGGAGAAAGGAAGGAAGAAGGCATGGAGGAAGAGGAGGAGGAATAGGGAAAAAGGGAGGAGGAGGAAGGAAGAAGGGATAGAGGAATGGACGAAGGAAGAAGGAGGGATAGAGAAGGAGGAGGTGGAGAGGGAGGACGGAAGGAGGGATGAAGAAGGGATGGAGAAAGGAAGGAGGGATAAAAGGAGGAGGAATGGAGAAAAAAGGAAGGAGGAGGAAGGAAAAAGGAATGGAGAAAGGAAGGAAGGAGAGATAGAGGAGGAATGGAGGAAAAAGGGAGGAGGAGCAGGAAGGAAGGAAGAAGGGATAGAGAAGGAGGAATGGACAAAGGAAGAAGAAGGGATAGAGAAGGAGGAGTGGAGAGGGAGGACGGAAGAAGGAGGGGTGAAGAAGGGATGGAGAAAGGAAGGAGGGATAAAAAGAGGAGGAATGGAGAAAAAAAGGAAGAAGGAAAAAGGAATGGAGAAAGGAAGAAAGACGGGATGGAGGAGGAGAAGAGGGAGGAATGGAGAAAAGGAAGAAGGATGGATAAAAGAAGGTGGAGGAATGGAGAAAAAAGGAAGGAGGAGGGATGGAGAAAGGGAGAAAGAAGGGAAGGAGGAGAGGGAGGAATGGAGAAAGAGGAAGGAGGGAGGGAGGGAGAGGGAGGAGAAGGAGGCGGGGGAGAGGAGCAGGGCAAGACCCCGCTGAGCTGAGCCCCATCCTTGCCTCTTAAAACAGATTACATCCCCAGCATCAGCTCCGTGGACTTGAGGTGGAGCTGCTACGCGCCCGAGTCCATTTCCTCGGCCCCTTTCCTAGAACGGTGGGCAGAAGCGGCTTCCCCCACAGACCCGGCCAGGGCTGTGCTCCGGTCTCCCCGGCCCCTTCCTCGCCCCTGGGGGGGGGGAGAGCCCGGGAACCCCCAGAACGGCCCCCGCCTTTGCACGACGGCCTCCGGGGTGGCGGGAGCAGAGTTTTATCTCTGCTGCTTCTCCCACACGGGGCCTTTTTTTTTTGGGGGGCAGGCTCAGCCCTGACTTTTCCGTCTCTCTTTCAAGGGACCAGTTCGTGTCTCCCGGAGAACCGGCTCCCCCAAAGCCCTCCAGCACCGGAGATCTCCTGAGCACCGAATTGCAGCAGGTAACAGCTCTCCCAAAGGCTGGATATCTGGAAGGGAGCTATTTCAGCAAGCGGCCTGTGGCTCTTGGGGGGGAGGGGGGGGGAGGAGGAGGAGGAAGGAAGAAGGGATGGGGGAAGGAGGAGGAGGAAGGAAGAAAGGATGGGGGGAAGGAGGAGGAGGAAGGAAGAAGGGATGGAGAAGGAGAAGGAGAAATGGCCAAAGGAAGGAAGGATGGAGGAGGAGGGATAGAAAAAAAGGAAGGAAGAAGGGATGGAGAAGAAGAAATGGACAAAGGAAGGAAGGATGGAGGAGGAGAGATAGAAAAAAAGGAAGGAAGAAGGGATGGAGAAGAAGAAATGGACAAAGGAAGGAAGGATGGAGGAGGAGGGATAGAAAAAAGGAAGGAAGAAGGGATGGAGAAGAAATGGACAAAGGAAGGAAGGATGGAGGAGGAGAGATAGAAAAAAAGGAAGGAAGAAGGGATGGAGAAGAAGAAATGGACAAAGGAAGGAAGGATGGAGGAGGAGAGATAGAAAAAAAGGAAGGAAGAAGGGATGGAGAAGGAGAAATGGCCAAAGGAAGGAAGGATGGAGGAGGAGGGATAGAAAAAAAGGAAGGAAGAAGGGATGGAGAAGGAGAAATGGACAAAGGAAGGAAGGATGGAGGAGGAGGGATAGAAAAAAAGGAAGGAAGAAGGGATGGAGAAGGAGAAATGGCCAAAGGAAGGAAGGATGGAGGAGGAGGGATAGAAAAAAAGGAAGGAAGAAGGGATGGAGAAGGAGAAATGGACAAAGGAAGGAAGGATGGAGGAGGAGGGATAGAAAAAAAGGAAGGAAGAAGGGATGGAGAAGGAGAAATGGCCAAAGGAAGGAAGGATGGAGGAGGAGGGATAGAAAAAAAGGAAGGAAGAAGGGATGGAGAAGGAGAAATGGCCAAAGGAAGGAAGGATGGAGGAGGAGGGATAGAAAAAAAGGAAGGAAGAAGGGATGGAGAAGAAGAAATGGACAAAGGAAGGAAGGATGGAGGAGGAGGGATAGAAAAAAAGGAAGGAAGAAGGGATGAAGGAGGAGGAGTGGAGAGGGAGGACGGAAGAAGGAGGGATGAAGAAGGAATGGAGAAGGAAGGAGGGATAAAGAGGAGGAACGGAGAAAAAAGGGAGGAGGAGGAAGGAAGAAGGAAAAAAAGCGGAATGGAGAAAGGAAGAAGGGATGGAGGAGAAGGAGGAGAGGGTGGAATGGAGAAAGGAAAGAAGGATGGATAAAAGAAGGAGGAGTAATGGGGGGGGGAGGAAGAGTGCAGCCATCTCCCCTGACCGTTTGGGGACCCTGCTCTGCTTTCCCACCAGGCCAAGAGTAACTCGGTGCTGCTCCAGAGAGAGGCCAACGCCCTGGCCACGCAGCAGAAGTGGGACGCCCTGAGCGAAGGCAGCGCCCTCACCTTGAAGCTCTTGAGCAAGGAAACGGAGCTGAGGAACGGCCAGGTAAGCAGGCTCTTCTTCTCTCCCCCCCCCCCATGTCCGCTGCACGAAGATCAAGGAGAGGTTCAACCTAGAAATAAGGAGTGATTTTCCGACAGTGAGAACCATCAACCGATGGAACTGGAGTTGCCTTCAGACGTTGTGGGAGCTTCATCACTGGAGGCGTCCAAGGAGAGACTGGACCGCCATCTGTCAGAAATGGTGGAGGGTCTCCTTGCTTTGAGGGGGGTTGGACTAGATGACCTACAAGGTCCCTTCCAACTTTGTTATTCTATTCTGTTCTATTTCTTTTCTGTTCTATTCTATTCCTCTTCTAATTCCTATTCTAATTCCTATTCTATTCTATTCTAATTCCTATTCTAATTCCTATTCTGTTCTAATTCCTACTCTATTCTATTCTAATTCCTATTCTATTCTATTCTATTCTAATTCCTATTCTAATTCCTATTCTAATTCCTACTCTATTCTATTCTAATTCCTATTCTATTCTATTCTATTCTAATTCCTATTCTAATTCCTATTCTATTCTAATTCCTATTCTATTCTATTCTAATTCCTATTCTATTCTATTCTATTCTATTCCTATTCTAATTCCTATTCTAATTCTATTCTATTCTAATTCCTATTCTGTTCTGTTCTCTTCTCTTCTATTCTATTCTATTCTATTCATTCTCTACTCTATTCTATTTCCTATTCTATTCTATTCTATTCTACCCTACCCTATCCTAGGCGTGCTTCTTTCCAACCTCTGTTTTATGTTCCTTTCCTGCTCCTTCCCCCAGGCCGACTCCCCCGAGGACAGCACGGGCACCAAGGCCAACCGAGACATTGAACTGGAACTTTCATCGCTGGACACTGATGAGGCCGAGGGGCCGGTAGAGCAAATGAAAGTACGTTCTTGATTCTACCCACACGTGGGCTATTATTTGTCTCCTCTCCCCAGAACTTCAGAGTGGTACCACTTCTTCCGGTCCAGGTAGCACACTGTGTCAAGGACCACAGTTACGTGCAAGGCTTTGCTCAGATGGAGATGCCCATTGTAACTGTTTATTTATCAAATGTATGTAGCCACTTATCTCACAGGAAGTGACTCTCAGCAGCTTATAAGTGTCAAAGAATAGAAGGGAAGGGAAGGGAAGGGAAGGGAAGGGAATAGAATAGAATAGAATAGAATAGAATAGAATAGAATAGAATAGAATAATAAGAATGGAATAGAATAGAATAGAATAGAATAGAATAGAATAGAATAGAAAATGGAATGGAATAGAATGGAATGGAATAGAATAAGAATGGAATGGAATAGAATAGAAAATGGAATAGATTGGAATGGAATAGAATAGAATAGAAAATGGAATGGAATGGAATAGAATAGAATAGAATAGAATAGAATAGAATAGAATACATAATAGAATACAGAATAGAATACGGAATAGAAAATGGAATGGAATAGAATAGAATAGAATAATAAGAATGGAATAGATAGAATAGAATGGAATGGAATGGAATAGAATAAGAATGGAATAGAATAGAAAATGGAATAGATTGGAATGGAATAGAATAGAATAGAATAGAATAGAATAGAATAGAATAGAATAGAATAGAATAGAATAGAATAGAGGAATGGAATGGAATGGAATAGAATAGAATAGAATATGGAATGAAATATAGAATAGAATAGAATAGAATAGAAAATGGAGAATATAAGAGTAGAGTAGAATATAGAATAGAATAGAATAGAATAGAATAGAATAGAATAGAATAGAATAGAATAGAATAGAATAGAATAGAATAATAGAATAGAAAATGGAGAATATAAGAGTAGAATATAGAATGGAACGGAACGGAATGGAATGGAACAGAGAAGAAAAGACGAGAGAAGAGTTGGAAGGGACCTTGGGGGTCTTCTAGTCCAACCCCCTGCTCAGGCAGGAAGCCCTACATAATAAAGCAACACTATCAAAACCGTCCTGATTAAAAACAATCATCCTACAAACCATTGTCCTTTCCTTTCCTCTTCCAGGAGATGCTGGGCCTGCAGCTCGGCATCAGCGGTCAGAGCGCTAACCTCTTCAACGGGTCAGCTCTGGAGAACGGTCACCTTGCGGAGCAGTCCCAGGTGGACGCCAGGCAGGCGAAGCGGCCTGTCCTGCACGAAGAGCTTGCTCATTTGTGAGTGTGGGGCAGGAACGGAAAAGTCCAGTCTCGCTCCGGACCTCAGGGCAAAGTTCCCCGGCACAGAAGCGTTCATCCACACTCTTCCCACCCGTGGTGCTTGCCTTGCTGTGGCTGTGGAGATTCACAATCACCCAGGTCCCAAAAGTGCTTTTTCACGAGGCAGCTGGAGTTCCTATTTCGTCTTTGAAGACATTTCCCTTCTCATCCAAGAGGCTTCTTCAGCTCTTCCTTGCTGTGGGTGGAGCTTCTCATATCTGATTTTTGCTGCCCTTCTTTCCATCGCTCTCTTGGTGGCTGTAGGCCTCAAACAACGGTGAGAGATCAGCGCTGACCCGTGTCCCATCCCAAAGAACTGGACTTCCTTAGTTCTTTTCCCTTGAAAACATTTCCCTTCTCATCCAAGAAGCTTCTTCAGTTCAGAATGAAGAAGCTTCTTGGATGGGAAGCAAAACGTTTTCCAGAGGGAAAAAAACCGAGAGAGTTTTTTTCACCTTTGGAACAGTCATGACCTGGATGGTTGAGAATCTCCATAGACATTTGACCCGAAGGTATCCGGAGCAGAACATCCAGATTCAGCCACAGTTTGGTTCCATACGGTATTAACCTTGTGAACTCTAAAGCAAGGGTCCCCAACCCCCGGGCCGCACAAACAAGCAAGGCCCCATCCGCGGGATGCAGGCAGCACATAAAACCACACACCCTCCAGTCTGTGGAAAAACCTCACTCCAGGGAACCGGTTCCTGGTGCCCAAAAGGTTGGGGATCTCTGCTCTAAAGCTTCCTCCTTCTGTTATGTATTCAGGATGGTCAGTGGTTAATATTTATATCTTACTTATATGTAAGGGTGTAGGTCTATACATACGTTGTATATAGTATGTTTAAATTTGTGTTATGTATGTGTACACTTTGAGAGCAAGCAAAAATTTCATTTTTAACGTGTGCCATTATGCCCACAGTAAAAAAAATGACAATAAAGGTTATCTATCTATCTATCTATCTATCTATCTATCTATCTATCTATCTATCTATCTATCTATCTAATCTCATATATATCTGTCTATATCTTACCTATCTAATCTATCTAATCTCTCACATATCTATCTAATCTCTCATATATCTATCTTATATATCTGTATCTTATCTGTCTAATCTATTTTATCTATCTATCTAATCTATCTCTATCTTATCTATCTAATCTATTTTACCTATCTCTGTCTAGCTTATCTATCTATCTGTCTTATCTACCTAATCTATCTTATCTAATCTTATATATCTATCTCTATCTTATCTATCTAATCTATCTCTTATCTATCTTATCTAATCTATCTTATATATCTGTCTATCTTATACTGTATATCTATATCTTATCTATCTAATCTCTTATATATCTATATATTTATCTATCTAATCTATCTCTTATCTATCTATATCTTTATCCAATCTATCTCTTATCTATCTAATCTATTTTATCTAATCTATCTTACCTATCTCTGTCTATCTTATCTATCTAATCTATTTATCTTATCTAACTTATCTAATCTCTATCTTATCTATCTAATCTATCTGTCTATCTTATATATCTGTATCTTATCTATCTAATCTATTTTACCTATCTCTATCTTGTCTATCTTATCTATCTATCTATCTATCTATCTATCTATCTATCTATCTATCCATCCATCCATCCATCCATCTATCCATCTATATCTTATATTTTCATACATCTTAATCAGGATCATGGCTGAACATCTAAAAACTCTTCATCTAGTAGTTGTAGAATTCTCATCATCTGCCCACGTCCGCCAGTAGAAGACCTCTCCAAGATAACTTTTCTTTCCTCTTCACAAAGCGCAGGTCAAGAAGCTTCTGTGCCTCCAGCGTGACCAGGTTTTCTTTTGTCTTCCCCACCCACCCACCCATCAGGGAGAAGCAGACGGGGGTCTTGCCAGCGGCGTCCTGTTTCAGCCCACCCACGGAGACGGCAGGCAGCAGGATCTCTCTGCCCCTCATGACGTCCGCCAGCATGGGCAGCCTTCTTCTGAAAACAGCCCATGGCCTCGTGGACGGGCCAAATGACTTTTTAAGGCCGATTGCAAACGGCAAAATGGTGAACACGTGATAGGCACTTGGCTTTCAGGCTTGTGGTCATGCTAAGAAGTGGTTTTGGTTTCTCTCCCTCTCTCTCTCTCTCTCTCTCTCTCTCTCTTATTTTTTTTTTTTTTTGAAAGAAAATCCTACCAGGGTCATTTGTTTCCCGTGGACTTTTTAAATACATCGGACTCTTCTTGTGTCTTAGCTTTCGGGATAAGTGACGGCCCCTTTGCTAGGGATTCAGACGTTCACTTTTCACACCCCAACCGTGTGGGATCTGGATGTGTTTTCCCTTTGAAGGGGCCTTTCGGCGAGGCCGTAGACGCCCCCCTGAGTCATTCCTGTTAACTCTCACCTTTTGTAGGGAAGCATCCAAAACTAAAGCCAGTCATTTCAGTCCAATTCAGTTGTTTGGCTTGTTTCGAGAATTTGCACTTTGTTTCTTCCACGCTGGAGCTTTGCGTGGACAAGCGTGGGCGAGAAAAGAAAGGGCATGAGGATGACCCCCACGCAAGACTCTTTCTTCAGGTCATTTAGCTTGGCAACTCGGTGCCTCTGTACAGAGCAGTGGGTCACCTCTTCCCATCCTATCTCTTTGGCAGCTTGGTCTTCCTGGGCATCCAGTGACTTTTCTGTATACAAATTATCGGCAGCCACGTCCAGCCCAAGTGCCTGGGTTTCCCCACTTAACGTACTTGGTTCTTTCTTGCTTAAAGGGGAAAGCAGAATCGCTGCTTTTTGTTGACAGTACGGGCGTGGTGAAGAGCGCTCAACCCCCCAGCCCCTTGGAAGGCTCCCCCTTTTGGCATTTAAGGCCTCCCCAATTATTCTCTCCAAAATGAGCCACCTAAAACTCGTGTGGGCACCGAAGACTTGACACGGTATTCCCCCACCTCTTTGTCAAAACCACAGAAGATTAGCAGTCCTTTAGATGCTCCCAATGTTGAGTTGGCCTTCGTGTTGCTGAGAATGCCAGTATTTAGATTTGTTAGTGATTTAACTCCGGTGATCATCTTGAACGCTTTATGATGTAGCTTGAGCTGGGCTTGTACAGAACAGGGGGGTGGGGGGGAAGAAGTCCTCTTTAAGATGTGATTTATTTTTATTTATTTTTTGAAGATCTTAGAAGTCTAAAATTGGAACGTTCTCCCCTGTGACCTCTTAGCTGTGCTCTTTTCCCGCTTTAAAATCTACTTCTGCGGAGCAAGGGGACATCATGCTATCAGGCAAGAACATTCTCCCTTATTCGTCCTCCTCTGCAGCTTCTTTTTTTATAATTTTTATAATTTTTACATTTTTCTTTCTTTTTCTGTTTTTGTTTTAAGAAAATGTTTGTTAATTAACTTCTGTGAAGTTGTTTACTCTGGAAATAGTACTGGAATATTTTAGCCAAGCAGCCCTTTCACTATATATATATTGCTATACATATACATATGTATATGTATGTTTTCTGAGGTTTTCGCGGGTGCTTGTATGTAGGTCTTTGGTTATTCGGGTTTTCTCCCGCGTAAAATTGGAAATGTCTTGGCGACGTTTCGACGAAGTCCCATTCGTCATCTTCAGGCTGGTGTTTTCAGCTTCGTGCTTCTAGGAGAAACGATCACACATTGCTCCTAGAAGCACGAAGCCGAAAACACCAGCCTGAAGATGACGAATGGGACTTCGTTGAAACGTCGCAAGACACTTCCAATTTTACCGGGAGAAAACCTGAATAACCAAAGACCTCTATCTATCTATCTGTCTGTCTATCTATCTATCTATCTATCTATCTATCTATCTATAGTACTTGTATAAATATATATATATATATATATATATATATATATATATATATATATATATATATATATATATACACACACACACACACACACACAAGGGTTCATCCTTCTATCAAATGGGTGACAAAAGAAAACATTTAAAAATGATCGTCTTATTGGCAGAATAAAGCTGGTACTGCGGCACCACAATAGTTTTCACACTCGCAACGTTGTGGCATTTCTCTAAGGGCTGCAGTTCTAACTTGGATCATTGGAAAAAAACGAAATCTCACCTGACCTGCGTGGCGCGTGAAAAAATTATGTTGTACATACGGATTAAAAAAAAAAAATACAAGGACTACTTATTTTGATAATTCCAGCAATGTTGTGACCGTTTTTTTTTAACCTGCTAATTTAATAGTGAGGTGCAAAAGGCTATTTCTGTAGCCGCCAAATTCCTTTCCTTGGATTTTCGTACCCAGTTCCCAAAGTTTTCCTTTCCACCGTGGCTGTTAAAGGGAACTGAAAGTCAAGATTTGTGTTACGTACCTCTTCACTTTACCTGGCGACTGTTAACACCCACTGGCCAAATTCTCAATTTAGCCGAGCAATTCTTGTATATAGGGATTTATTTCCAGAAACTTTTCTTTGCGCTGTTCTGGACTTCGGACTTTAAAAATCTGATAAAGAGATACGTAAAACAATCTCATTCCTATGCGGATGTTTAGTCAATGAGGTCTTCCACGCTTTTGAAGGCAAAAATGGTTTTTCCAAAATGAGAAGGAGCGAAAGAAAAAACTGCATTGCTATTTTCTTATTAAAATAGAAGACGATAGAGGCTGGAGAGATCCTTATCTGAATAGCACCAGTTATCAGGGGTCCAAATGTGCATTATCTGATCAGATTATCTGTATTTTCGCGGTTACGTGTTTTGATTTTCGTGGGTTGCTTTTTAAGGAACTGTCTCTTTCTCAGGATTTGGCTGCTTGCAAACAATTGTTTGCATACTGTTCTTTCTCTGGTGCCATTAAACTCAGAAAGCTCCCATTCAGCTGGGCTTGTATCTGAGCTATCTAAGAGAAGCTTGTTTTATTTTAGTTTGGAGCGAGCGAGCAAGGAACTCACCCGCCTTAGAGCAGCTTGGTTTAAAAAATTAAAGCAATGGAGGGAGAATTGCAGATCACAGAAAATATTAAAATCTGAGCAAGGGGCCTTTTTCCCTCACCGGCTTTTGCAACCCAGCTGTGGCATCTTGCTGTGAATTTATTTTTATTTTTATTTTAAGTTGGGCGCTTTTCGCGACGATTAGAATCTCCAGTTTTTTTCTCTTTTGGGGAGGGAGAGCGGTGGTCCTGAGGCAGCCAGATGAGAAGCAAGGTCTATTTTAAGGCCCTTGAGTTTGCAGGACTAGAGCAGATGAGAAAAGCCAGGAGGATGGCACGCTAAGCTACTTCCTACTCAGAAATGAAGGGGAAAGGCAAGTTCATTGCACAAACATATATATGTGTACTGTAGGAGCAGAAGATAGTTGAAATCAATTTATTTGCCTTCCTTCTGATTCAGCCCTTCTGTTAGCAGAGTTTGAGCATGAATAGAAGAATGGCCACTGTTTGTATTGGCCCAGACTTAAGGGGAGCATCGTTGTTGCAAAAACATTAGAGCAGGGGTCTTCAAACTTGGTCCTTTTATGACTTGTGGACTTCGCGTGCCTGGCTGAGGTCTGGATGCTGAATGCTGAAGTCCACCGGTCATAAAATGCTGAAGTCCACCAGTCTGGATGCTGAAGTCCACCAGTCATAAAAAGGCCAAGTTTGAAGACCCTTGCATTAGAACTTTGAACGGGAAGTTTGGCAAAACCGTGTGTGGTGCTAGTCTTCAGTAGACCCTTATCCACAGGGCATCTCCTGCGCAGGTTTTCCATCAGCAGGGAGTGGTGTAGCTGTGCTTCTTCAACACACCCTGCAACCCGCAGATATGTCATCCTTGCTGAATATGTTATTTTGCCCAGAAAGACAGCTCAGAAGCGTATGGATCCATAAAGAGAGGCAGAACAGCAGCCAGAATAGAGGAATGGAGGATAAGCTTTTTTTTTTTTTTTTTAAACAAATCCACACCAGTTGTTGGGAATGTTGACTTAAATAAATAATCATAGGATTTGTGAAGAACTTAACCCGCAGCGCCGACTCAATGAGAAAAGAAAGATGCTAACCATTTTTTGAGACCTGTTTTTGTTTTTTTGTCGACAGGTATGGTTTTCCAGTATTTATTTTGTTCTTTGCAGAGTTTAAATCTGAATGCACATCTTTGGAAAAAAGTGAACTACGCGCTATCCAGGGGTTAAGTTTGTTTTGAAGCACCTTTAAGAGATAAAGGGCTAGAGCAGGGGTCTTCAAACTTGGCCCTTTAATGACTTGTGGACTTCAGCTCCCAGAATTCCTCACGTGTGCCTGGCTGAGGAATTCTGGGAGCTGAAGTCCACGAGTCACAAAAGGGCCAAGTTTGAAGACCCCTGGAGTAGAGTGATGACTGATTCGCCAACTCTTTCAATCTTCAATTATTTCTTTCACACAAGGAAGGTCCGCGCACCATAGTACGGATTCTTGCCTGCCAGAGGTGTTGGATTGCAAAATCCATCATTCACAGCCAATACATGTCTACTTGCTTTGGTCAGATATGCTGGGGGTTGTATAGACCAGAATATCTTGTTCACCTCCTACAGTAAGGAGATGTCAAAAGGGTACATGACAAAGGAAAGATTTTTCCACACACATTCATGCACCTATGCTGTTGCAAAGCTTTAATGGACTTTTTATGTACTTGACAAAAGTCTGACATTAAAGAGCTCCTGGCTGCATCTGCAAGCGTCAGACACAGGGAAAAAGCTGATTTGCACAGATCTTAGTCCTCCCCTTCATTAATTCTCGGTCAGTTAGTCCAAGGCATAGGAAATGCATGCATTTCTCTTTTTTGGGGGGTGGATAAATCCATTATACTGTAGTTGTGATACAACACGTGTGGTTCTTTTCTTTCTATTGCACACAGCAACTGTACAGCCACTCCAGAGTATTGTAATTTAGCATGCAGTATCTACTCTCCACATTTACACTATATACTGCATATATTCTTTTCCCTGAAAGTTAAAAAGAAAGGGGGGGGGGTAAAGGCTTTGTTTTTCTTCTGTTGATTTAAGATTTTATAAACCTGCTTAATCTGGAAAGTTTGGGAAAAGAGACCTGTTTTTGTCAATTGTACAACCGGTTGTAAAACTCAAGTGTGAATATTCTTACGTCTGTATTAGACATTTTCTTTGCAAATCTATTGTTCGATTAAAATGTAAATGAGATAAAAGATGGTGTACACCCATCATGTATAATAAAGCAGATTCCATCGCTACGATGGATTTAATGCTCATTTTTAATGGTGCATTCTCAGCTTCTATTTAAAAATATAATTTTTAAAGAACAAATCTGTAAAACAAAATGGGGGTGGGGTAATGAATTCTATTCCATTTTGTTCTGTTTTAAATCTCCAAATTGTATTATCGTTATTTTTTTTTCCCTTTTGTGTTAGAGGAATAGGATTTACACCAGGGATGTTTAGACCGTACGGTCTGTATTTTTGGGTGGGAAAGTTGGAAAAAGTGGGAACCGGCTTTGTGATTTAGCCTGAATAGTACATACGTGTGTGTTTGCTGTAGCACTGAAGTAGAGATTGTTAGCTTTAAGGCTGGTCACAGGCTTTAGCTAATTGTGGTTTGTTTGTTTGTTTCTCCAGTGTTTCAAGAGAGACTTAATAGAATCAATTTGCAATACTTGAAATGTATTTGCATGCAGTAAAATAAAAAAAGACGTATCTGCTTAAGCTTGTTTTGTTCTTTTCTTATTGTGTTGGGGCAGGAAAATATGTATTTTTAAATATGGGGCCGGGGAAATGTTAAGCAGATGTGTTTTTACGTGGCCCTCCAGAGGTTTAGGAACATGGGTAAAGGCAGTTAAGTTGCTGACCAGAATTCATAGATGGTTTTGTGTTAATCACTCTCTTGCCCAACAACCTTGTACTAAATATGTGGGATGAATCTAGCCATTGAATTCAACAAACCATTTTTCATTTACAGCTTGCTACAGTTATCAATCCAGATGTTGCCTGATGTGGTGCTTTGCTCTACTGAAAAAAAGGGCAAAAGAAATCGAGAGGAGGGGGGCCTAAACACAAGTAAGAAAATGTATATCAGCCCAATTTTTTTTCTGATTCCCAAAGATCAAGAATCTCAAAGCTCCACATGGGATGGTACGATAAACCTGTGGTGGTTTTGATGGAAGGAACAGTTCAGGAACCAATGGATAGGCAATGTGTATGGTTGCAAAAAATAATAATAAATTGAGTTTGTTGACCTGCTGAGCGGAGAATAAGAGACAATTGGTAGAGTTTGAGTCCAGTATTTTGTAAAATCCCCTTGAATTTTTAAGTTGGTCCCCATTTGTTGCATGCTAGGCAAGAACTGGATCCATTCCATCTTGGCCAACATGTTCTAGCTTGCCACCAATGACAAGGCAGATACGCCCAAAGATCATCTTCCATTCTTGGCACCCCAGCCCCTCCCCCCCCCCGGTGCAACAGCTGGATTCCCAGAGGCCAATTCTGCCTCCCCCCCCAATTCTTATAATCCTCTTGGGATGCTTGAAGGTTGCTTCCCATGCTTCTGATCCCTGGATGACCATCCTCCTCCTCCTCTTAGCAAAAGGAGACTCAACAGCCCTCCAGATGTGGTTGTGCTGCCCCCTCTGGAATGCTTTGCACGCAGCGGGTGCTGCTGGGAGTTGTAGTTTAGCAATACAGGAAAGCTGCACATTGCCAGAGAAGTTGGTTGCTATCTCACAGTTCAGTGGTTCTCAACTTTTTTAATGCCGCGACCCCCCAACCGGTCGTAAGTCGAGGACTACTCAACCGGTCATAAGTCGAGGACTACTCAACTGGTGCAGCACCGTTTGCAGAATAGGACTTTTGGCGGGCTCAGCAGGGCAGAGACAGCCTGGACAATTCCTATTGGCTTTTGAAAGCCAATAGAATTAGACTCTATTCAAGAGAGTCTATTCTATTGGCTTTCAAAAGCCAATAGAATAAAAGGGAGGAGCACAGCTAAGGAAAAGGGGGGAAAAATGGCGGACTGCGTTGTTTGGCGACCCCCGTGAAATGGTCGTTGGACCCCAAATGGGGTCCCGACCCACAGGTTGAGAATCACTGTCACAGTTGCAATATATTTCCGTGGCTTTGGGGCTCAACCTCAATTGTTTTCCCGTGTATAACAACGACCAGGCATGAAATAAAACAATCCAGCTTGGTGCTGGGGAGTTTGTTATTTTTTTTTTTACTCCTCGCAAGCAGGCGGAAGGCTGAACGACTAGGCCTGAATCACCATAGCAACCAGCTATTTATTGATGGATTTCCCCTTTCCCGCCGGCAGGGGGCCGAGCGGTGTTTAACTTGCCTTCCTTCCTCCACCGAGCGACAGGAGCACTTCCGGTTGTCAAGCGACCGTGCGGGGCAAAAGAGTGGAAAGGGGCACGCCAGCCAGCCAAATGGAGGGCTGCTAGTTGTGCAACAGCCGGCCGGAGACTTTCTTCCCCCCCCCCCAATACTCGCATCTCTGAGGAACTAAGAAGAAGCGAAGCGAACGGGGATGTTCACGCGCCTTTCGTCCTTAGGAGCGGCTGCAACGGCGCAGAGTGAAACCCGTGTGCGTGCGAATGGAGCTAGGTACGCTTTGAATGGCAGCGGGGGCAGAAAAGAAGACGGAAGTGTATGGACACAGCACATGGATCAGCCCACGTAAGTGGTTGGTTTTTCTTTTGGGGTGGGGGGGGGAGGAAGAGGGTTGGTCCAAAAGGAACCGGAAGTGGTGCCGCGCCGCGAGCGAGCTCTCTCTCTTCTCTACCTCTATCGCCTGGCCGGCCTCTCCTTTCTTTCTTCCTTCCTTCCTTTCTGCCCCGCCCCTTTTTCCCAGCCTCCTTTGCGCTTCTTCCTTTGAGTCGCTTGGAGGGGGGGGAGAGAGAGCGCGAGAGAAGCCGCCCCTCGGAGGGTGAGGAATTGGGGAGGGGGCTGGAAAAGGGGCCGGCCTGCCCCGCGGGGGGCGGGTGGGGAGGGAGGGCTGGGCGGCCCGAAAGGAAAACGGTGGGTGGGCTGATCCTCAGGGAGGGGGCTGGCAAAAGGGGGGGGGCTATCCTATAGGACTGGGAGGGGGGGCTGGTCTGCCCTGCAGGGAGGGTGTTGGGGGGGAAGGGGCTGGGAAGGGGGGCTGGTCTGCCCTGCAGGGAGGGTGTTGGGGGGGAAAGGGGCTGGGAAGGGGGGGGCTGGTCTGCCCTGCAGGGAGGGTGTTGGGGGGAAGGGGCTGGGAAGGGGGGCTGGTCTGTCCCGCAGGGAGGGTGTTGGGGGAAAAAGGTGACTGGGAGAGGGGCTGGTCTGCCCTGCAGGGAAGGTGTTGGGGGGGAAGGGAGCTGGTCTGCCGTGCAGGGAGGGTGTTGGGGGGGCTGGTCTGCCCTGCAGGGAGGGTGTTGGGGGGGGGAAGGGGCTGGGAAGGGGGCTAGTCTGCCCTGCAGGGAGGGTGTTGGGGGAAAAGGGGGACTGGGAGAGGAGCTGGTCTTCCCCACAGGGAGGGTGTTGGAGGGGAAAGGGGTTGGGAAGGGGGGCTGGTCTGCCCTGCAGGGAGGGTGTTGGGGGAAAAAGGGGGCTGGTCTGCCCTGCAGGGAAGGTGTTGGGGGGGAGGGGGCTGGGGAGGGGGCGTTGGTCTTCCCCACAGGAAGGTGTAGAAAAAGAGGGGGCTTGGGAAGGGGCTGCCCTCTGCAGGGAGGGTATTTGTGGGTTTGGCCTGGAGCTGGGAAAGGAAGGGATGGCCTTCCCTATAGGGAGAGTGTTGGAAAGGAGGGGGCTGGGAAAGAGGCGTGGGAAAAGGGGGTGCTTAACCCATAGGGCTGGAAACAGAAGGCTGGTCTGCCCTAGAGTAAAGGGATGTGAATAGGGCGGGGGGGCTTACTGACCAGTAGGGAGGGGGCTGGGAAAGGGGAGGGGTCTACCCTATAGATTTGGGGAAAGGGGGCTGGTCTGCCCCATAGGGACAGTGTTGAAAAGAAAGGGGCTGGCCTGCCCCACAGGAGGGGGCTAGGAAAGGGGAGGTTGTAAAGGAGGGGCTGGGCAAGGGACTGCCTACCCCACAGAGCTGGGAAGCTGGTCTGCCCTGCAGGGACGGTGCTGGAAAGGGGAGGGCTGGCCTGCAGATGGGAAGGAGGTTAATGCAGATTCAGAAAAGGGACCCATTGGGAAAGCAACCAGTTAACCTTCCCCAAAGGAGAGTGATCAATCCATCCAATTAATCAGACCTGAAAGGGACCTTGGAGGTCTTCTAGTCTAACCCCCTGCTCATCATTTCAGAGATGTGGCTATCCAGTCTTTTCTTTTTTTAAAAAAAAGGAGCTTCAGTTCAGCATCTGGATTTGCCCAGCCTCTTAATCCCAATATCCCGCAGAATTCCTGGGATGGGCTTCAGGCTGCTCCTAAAAGCCCCCTAAACCAGAGTTGAGCCAGACACACACACACACACACACACACACACACACAAAATCCATCAGCCGCACCATAGAAAAGCTTTGCTTCCAGGCCCACAATTTGTGCCCCCAAAGAAATATCTTTTTTTTCCCCCTTTTTTCTTTTAACAACTGAGCTGCCAGATGGCTTTTAAAAATTCCTGCTGGCAAATCCGGAAGCCGCTGAGAGCATAAAGAGAGGATTAAGGATGGGCGCTAATGCCCTTTTGCTGCTGTCGCCTTGATACCCATCTCTATATTTGATCGCTTTTTTTAGGGGGTGGGGGAAGTAAAATAGTGAATCCGTTAAGCCGGAGAGTGTGTGAATCGGGTATTAATCCACTGGCTGGATTGGGGTTGAGGTTGAGAATCCCGCGGCAGAATTAGATATAATTTGGGGTTGTGGGTAGGTAGAATTCTGGCTGGGGGGAAAGGTTTCCGAGCTGTGGGGACTCAGCTGTTCTGCGCTCTGGGGTTGTTTTTCCCCTGTTGTTGACTTATTTTATCTCCCAGTGACGATGCGGCACGGGAGGTTTTTAAGAAGAGACTCCATGGAGAGTCGCTTGTCTGAAATGGTCTAAGGATCTCCTGCTTGAGCAGGGGGCTGGACTAGAAGACCTCCACGGTCCCTCTCAGCTCTAACCGGATTCTGATTCCGGCACCAACGACAGAGGTTTTGTTCCCACACAACGCATCGGCTTCCCTGTGACATTGCCTGTTTCCTTCGCAGCCCCCACGATGACCACCCTGGACGACAAGCTGCTGGGGGAGAAACTCCAGTACTACTACAGCAGCAGCGACGAGGAGGACAGCGAGAAGGACGACAACGAGGAGTCCCCCCCAGGTCACGATGTGGCTATGCCGGAAGAGGTGGCCCTGAGCGCCGATGGCAGCGCCATAAACACAGGTACTTCCTCCCTCCTTTGAGCCCTCCTGTCTGTCTCCATCCAGTTCACGTCTGCAGGAGTCTGTTACAGGTAGTCCTCGACGTACGACGTCATTAGCACATGCCAGTTTCCAAGCTCTGAATTTTGGTCACGTGACCCCTGGGGACTCTGCGACGGTCATTAAGTGTGAAAAGGGGGACAAGTCCGGTTTTTTTCCAGTGCCGTTGTAACTTTCAACGGTCACTAAATGCACTGTTGTAAGTCGAGGATTGCCTGTAAATATTTCAGTCTTTTCGGGGTTTCATTTCGATCCTTGCTAGACGGCCATTTTGTTTTTGTTTGTTTTTTTCTTCTTATGGCCTCTCCGTTTTCCAGCCTTTTCTGTCTCCAGTGTCCCCTCTTAGACCCATTTTTTTTTAAAAAAAAAATATTTTATTAGATTTTCTAAGGGAGGGGAAGGGATAAGATCGGTAAGGGTGTTGGATGGGGTTGGGGAGTGAGGTTGGGATAAGGGTAGGGAAAGATAACAATAGTGGGGTTACCCCCCAACAGTAATTCATCGCTTTAGCAAGCAGACTGCCATCCGGGTCCAAATGTTAAATAACTGTAATTTAAAATAATACCAAAAAGTTAACAATCACAAAAAAATAATCGTAATCGTAAAAAATAAAAGTGAGTCAATAAATATCATTTATCCCACTAGCTAAACAGTTCCAATTTTTTTTTTAAACGGTCACAAAAAGATTTGAACCCACGCACAATTTCCAGTCCTCCGCCCTCCCCTCTTCAAAACCTCACTGTAGTTGCGTGGCACTTTTGATCTTGATGGAGTAAGCCTAAGGAAGAGAAGGACGAGGGGGGACATGATAGCAGTCTTCCATTATCTCAGGGGCTGCCCCAAAGAAGAAGGAGTCAAGCTGTTCTCCAAAGCGCCTGAAGGCAGGACAAGAAGCAACAGATGGAAACTAACCAAGGAGAGAAGCAACCTAGAACTAAGGAGAAACTTCCTGATAGTTAGAACAATTAACCAGTGGAACTACCTGCCTCCAGAAGCGGCGAATGCTCCAACCCTGGAAGTTTTTAAGAAGAGACTGGACAGCCATCTGTCCGAAATGGTGTAGGGTTTCCTGCCTGAGCAGGGGGTTGGACTAGAAGATCTCCAAGGTCCCTTCCAGCTTTTTTATTATTTGCTATTTACTTTTTTCCCCCCTCAGGCCCTAAAGGGGTGATCAATGACTGGAGGAGGTTCAAACAGCTGGAGACGGAGCAGCGGGAGGAACAATGCCGGGAGATGGAGAGACTGATCAAGAAGCTCTCCATGACCTGCCAGTCACACCTGGATGAAGAGAAGGACAAGCAGAAGCAGAAGGAGCTGCAGGAGAAGCTGAACGACAAGGTAGAACTCTCTCCGTTCCCCTCGGACGGATTTCCCAACGTTGGCCGTGTTTCCGCCAGGGGTGGGTGGGTGGGGAATGTATTTATTACAGGTAGACCACAATGGCGCTCCAAATTTCTGTCCTTAAGCGAGACGTTTCTTAAGGGAGTCTTGCTCCATTTTCCAACTTCTCGCACCCCCGTTGGTAAGTGGATCGCTGCGGTTGTTAAATGAACAACACGGTTTGTGAAGTGAATCCGGCCTCTTTCCCCCTTTTGTTGGCTGGTCAGAAGGTCGCAAAAGGGAATCACGTAAGCCGGGGACACTGCGACCGTCATCAATATGAGTCGGTGGCCAAGCCTCTGAATTTTGATCACCAGAGCTATAGTGATAGGAAGGGGGGGGGAATGAAAAACGGTGATAAATCACTTTTTTCAGTGCTGTTGTAACTGTGAACAGTCACTAAATGAACTGTTGTAAGTTGAGGATTGCCTTAGAAATCGTGGGCGCTCCATCCCTGGAGGGTTTTTAAAAAGAGACTGGACAATCACCTGTCTGAGATGGTATATAGGTTCTCCTGCTTGAGCAGGGAGCTGGACTAGAAGATCTCTAAGGTCCCTTCTAGCTCTATTGTATTCTATTCTATTCTATTCTCCATTCCATTCTTTTTCTATTCTGTTTTTTCTGTTTTGTTCTATTCTATATTCTATATTCCATTCCATATTCTATTCTACTCTACTCTAATTCTATTCTATTCTATTCTATTATTATTTCATTCCATATTCTGTTCTATTCTATTCTATTCTACTCTATTCTATATTCCATTCCATTCCATTTTCTGTTCTTTCTGTTCTGTTCTATATTCTACATTCTGTATTCCACATTTTACATTCTGTATTCCACATTCTACATTCTATTCTAGTCTATTCTATTCTATTCCATTCCATTCTATTTTATTCTATTCTGTTCTATTATATTCTATTATTTCATTCCATATTCTATTCTACTCTACTCTACTCTACTCTACTCTACTCTATTCTATTCTATTCTATTCTATTCTATTCTATTATTTCATTCCATATTTATTCTATTCTATTCTAGTCTATTCTATTATTTCATTCCATATTTATTCTATTCTATTCTATTCTATTCTATTCTATTCTACCTGTATTTATTTATTTGTAAACTTTATTAGCCACCCACCTTGTCACCCAGTAACTCTGGGTGGCTTACAATATTAAAATCCCAGTCGACAGCCCACACTTGCCCTCACCTGCATCTCACCCTTTTAATTATGGGTTCAACAATCCAACCGAGCCGACGTATCTCTAAAAACTCTCCATAGGTTTGAAATCCTCCCTTTTTGAGGGTGGCTGAGCTGATTCTCGGCCAGACCGTGATCCAGGGGACACCTGACAAAGGTTGGCTTGGTGAGAATAGAAAAGGGGCGCACTAGGATTCTGTGATGAATTTCACAAAACACCCAGTCTTGGCTTTCAGGAATTGGGGCCAAACTTTCACGGAGGCAACCGAAGGCAAAGAAAGAGATGCAGGAACTTGGATATGTCTAACCTAACAGAGAGAAAAAATAGGGGTGGTACGATAACAGCGCTCCAGTACTTGAGTGGCTGCCCCAGAGAAGAGGAAGAGGTCAAGCTATTCTATGAAGCACCAGAAGGCAGGACAAGAAGCAAAGGATGGAAACTAATCCAGCAGAGAAGCAACCTGGAACTAAGGAGGAGTTTTAGGACAGTGAGAAAAATGAATGAGTGGAAATGCTTCTCTTCCGAAGCGGTGAATGCTCCATCACTGGAAGGTTTTAAGAAGAGACTGGACATTCATTTGTCTGGAAGGATATGGGGTCTCCTGCATGAGCTGGGGATTGAACTAGAAGACCTCCAAAGGTCCCTTCCAGCTCTGTCATTCTGTTCTTCTTTATCAGTGGTTCTCAACCTTTTTTAATGCCGTGACCCCAACCAGTCGTAAGTCGAGGACTACTCAACCGGTCGTAAGTTGAGGACTACTCAACGGGTGCAGCCCCGTTTGCAGACTGGGACTTTTGGCGGGCTCAGCAGGGCAGAGACAGCCTGGACCATTCCTATTGGCTTTTGAAAGCCAATAGAATTAGACTCTATTCAAGAGAGTCTATTCTAATTGGCTTTCAAAGGCCAATAGAATAAAAGGGAGGAGCACAGCTAAGGAAAAGGGGGGGGAAAGTGGCGGACTGCTTTGTTTGGCGACCCCCGTGAAATGGTCGTTCGACCCCAAAGGGGGTCCCGACCCACAGGTGGAGAACCCCTGTTCTGTATGAAAGTATTTCCTGCAGGAGCTCAGGGGCTGGACTAGAAGACCTCCAAGGTCCTTCCAAGTCCGTTATTCGGTTATGCTTCCTGATTCTTTGCAGGGTCCCTTCTCTTGTTAGCCTTCATGCCCCCATCCCCCCCCCAGGCAACAACTGTGCAGGCATCCAGGCACCACGATCTCCCCCCCCCTTCCCTCCTCCCGCCATTAAAAGCTGTGGCCTCTTTCTTCCCCTCCCCCCAGCTGGCGCTGCACCAGGAAGCAGACGACGAGGAGTTCCTGCAGCAATACCGCAAGCAGCGCATGGAGGAAATGCGCCAGCAGCTGCACCCCGGCCAGCAGTTCAAGCAGGTCTTTGAGATCCAGAGCGGGGAGGCCTTCCTAGACACGGTGGACAGAGGCAACAAGAAGACGCTGGTGATGATCCACATCTACGAGGATCACCTCCCCGGGTCCGAAGCCCTGGACGGCTGCATGCTCTGCCTGGCCGCCGAGTACCCCACGGTGAAGTTCTGCCGGGTGCGCAGCTCCCTGATCGGCACCAGCTCCCGCTTCACCGGCAACGCCTTGCCGGCCCTGCTGGTCTACAAGGGCGGGGAGCTGATCGGCAACTTCGTCCGCATCACCGACCAGCTGGGCGAAGACTTCTTCGCCGCGGACTTGGAAGCCTTCCTGCAAGAGTTCAGTCTGCTGCCGGAGAAGGACGTGGTGCTCTACACCTCCATTTGCAGCGCTGCCGCCTGCTACGGCGAAGACAGCGACTTGGAGATAGACTGAGGGACGCCAGAGCGCTGGGGCCCTTGGTCCCCCTCCCTCTGGGGCCCCTGGCTAGTTTGTAATGGGTAGTTGGTCACCTCGGAGCCCCCCCCCCCAAAAAAACCCATCTGGCTGCTTCTTTGGTGGGGGGTCTAGGACAGGGGGAGGCAACCTTGGCTCTTTTATGACTGGTGGACTTCAACTCCCAGAATTCCCGAGCCAGTCACGCTGAGGGGAAAGGGAGAGATTTCCAAGCTGAGCCAGGCTGGCTCAGGAATTCTGGGAGTTGAAGTCCACGAGTCCTAAAAGAGCCAAGGTTCCCCACCCCTGATCTAGATCATGATTTGATGAGTTTAGATCAGGAGTGGGCAACCTTGGCTCTTTTATGACTTGTGGACCAACTCCCACAATTCCTGAGCCAGCCATGCTGAGGGGAAAGGGAGAGGTTTCCAAGCTGAGCCATGGCTGGCTCAGGAATTCTGGGAGTTGAAGTCCACGCGTCATAAAAGAGCCAAGGTTGCCCACCCCTGGTCTAGGACAATTTGCCGTGGCCAAAACTCACCACGGACAACTCGCTGAAGATGAAGCGGGAGGAAACGTGAATGGCCAAAGTTCAAATCATTTTTATTGATTTCAAATAATGAAATAGACGGGTTAAATTGTCCTACGATGGGTTGTCCCGCAGCGAGTTCGCCGTGGCGAGTGGTCCCATGCCCCTTTTTGGTGGCGCCTCTGAAGCCTGCCCTGCACCTGGGCCCTGCGTAGTTTCAGAAATAGGTCTTCTGTTTTTTTTTAGTCCCATCACTGTCACCACCCAAAGCCTTGGCCTGTGGGCCGTGGGTCAGCCCCAGAGCTTTCCTTGCAGAGGGGGGGGGGCATCTCATCTTTTGCTTGACTTGACAGTGATGGACAGGACGTGGAGGTCTCTGGAATTGCTTTGGGTGGTGGCCGCTCCCAGCCTGGTTACCTTTTCCGTCCCACGAAGAGGTTTTTTTTTTTGGAACTGTCGGTCTTCACCTCTCCGAATATGGCTGTCCTGGGGAGGGGTCTCACCCTCTCCTTCCCCCCCCCCCCTCCCCTCATGTGCAGATTGACTGTTGACGCTTTCTTCACGCCTTGCAAGAACTTAAAACGTTTTCTTCATGCAATAAAAGATTAAAACCCGAACCTTTCTAACGGCGTAGTCGCTTGACCAAATCGAAGTGGGAAAAGGCCATCCTGGGCAAGGTGTGTGTTTGGGAGGGGGGGGGTCATCAAAGCTTTGAGGCAATGAAGAAAAGAGGGGAAGAAGTGCCCCACCCCAAAAAAAGTTTTTCCTCTTGCGTCAGTCGAGAGGCAGATGTGAAGCCGGAGGGCGCTCAAGGTGACTCAAGACTACATTCCTGGCACGTTTTAGAAGGATGTTTGGATGTTGCTACTAGTTTATCTTTGGCTTATCATAACAGGAAAAGTCTCTTGGGCACCAAATGCCCCAGGTGTAAGCCTGTTCAGTGGGGAGGTGGAGGGTGGGGTGATTGATATATCCGGTAGGGCAGAGATTGGCATAAGTCAACCCAGATAGACTTTGTCTAGCTAAATAACAGAGTTGGAAGGGACCTTGGAGGTCATCTAGTCCAACCCCCTGCTCAGGCAGGAGACCCTAGACCAGGGGTAGACAACCTTGGCTCTTTCATGACTTGTGGACTTCCAGAATTCCTGAGCCAGCATGGCTCAACTAGGAAACCTCCCTTTCCCCTCAGCGTGGCTGGCTCAGGAATTCTGGGAGTTGAAGTCCACGAGTCATAAAAGAGTCAAGGTTGCCTAGCCCTGATCTAAACTCATCAAATCATGATCTAGATCAGGGGTCAACTCCCAGAATTCCTGAGCCAGCCTGGCTCAGCTTGGAAACCTCTTCCTTTCCCCTCAGCATGGCTGGCTCAGGAATTCTGGGAGTTGAAGTCCACAAGTTATAAAAGAGCCAAGGTTGCCTACCCCTGTCCTAAGTCCTCCTGTTCTAAGCGGTGAGCCTCCTAGACCAGGGGTGGGCAGCCTTGGCTTTTTTATGACGCGTGGATTTCAACTCCCAGAATTCCTGAGCCAGCCTGGCTCAACTTGGAAACCTCTCCCTTTCCCCTCAGCATGGTTGGCTCAGGAATTCTGGGAGTTGAAGTCCACCAGTCATAAAAGAGCCAAGGCTGCCTACCCCTGCCTTATACCACTTCAGACAAGTGGCTATGGAGAGTCTTAATCATCCCGGTCAAAGTTTCAAAGCTGTTTTTTCAGGACTTCCTTGTGTTTTCTTTGAAAACCTTTCGCTTCTCCTCCCAGAAGCTTCAGCTCTGACTGGTGGGGAATGGAAGGATTTATACTCCTTGCAGACCGCTGGTCATTTGCCTTTTTTTTAGACTAGAGGAGCCGTTTCCGAGCAATTCAAGAGCCGAATTTTAGTTATTTTGCTGAAAGGCCCGTTTTCCCGACAACTCTGCGTGTTTATCGATGATTTATTGCCTCTACAATGCCAGGAAGGAGAGGCTCTTCTTTGCAAGAATCCATCTGCCTGGCGCTTCCTCTGGGTCAGGCAAGGAGGCCGCGTCCTTAACCGTGGATGGGCGCTCTGCAGATGCATGGGTGACTCAGGCAGTAAACGTTTGTTTACATGCACTAGTCATTCAGACAGTAAACATTTGCTTATGTCATTCCTCCTCTCCAAATGAACTCTGGCAGCTGCTGAGACAAACCCCTGGAGCCCCAGGGCCTGCCTGGGTTGCAGCAGCCGTCCCCAGCTGTGCCCTCCGGATGGATTATGCTCCCTCCTCCCCAGCCAGTGTGCGCAGAGTGGGGATGATGGGAGCGGAAAGGTAGCATCCCGGAGGGGGTGGCAGGTGCCACACCTGCGCCCGGTGAGAAGGTGTTGACCATAGAATTCTTCAGCCAGCATGAGGGAACTATGGCCCCTTCATGACTTGTGGACTTCAACTCCCAGAATTCCTGAGTCAGCATGGGGGAACTATGGCCCCTTCATGACTTGTGGACTTCAACTCCCAGAATTCCTCAGCCAGCATGGGGGAACTATGGCCCCTTCATGATTGTGGACTTCAACTCCCAGAATTCCTGAGCCAGCATGAGGGAAACTTTGGCCCCTTCATGACTTGCAGACTTCAACTCCCAGAATTCCTCAGCCAGCATGGGGGAACTATGGCCCCTTCATGACTTGTGGACTTCAACTCCCAGAATTCCTGAGCCAGCATGGGGGAACTATGGCCCTTTCATGATTGTGGACTTCAACTCCCAGAATTCCTGAGCCAGCATGGGGGAAACTTTGGCCCCTTCATGACTTGTGGACTTCAACTCCCAGAATTCCTGAGCCAGCATGAGGGAAACTTTGGCCCCTTCATGACTTGTGGACTTCAACTCCCAGAATTCCTGAGCCAGCATGGGGGAACTATGGCCCCTTCATGATTGTGGACTTCAACTCCCAGAATTCCTGAGCCAGCATGAGGGAAACTTTGGCCCCTTCATGACTTGCAGACTTCAACTCCCAGAATTCCTCAGCCAGCATGGGGGAACTATGGCCCCTTCATGACTTGTGGACTTCAACTCCCAGAATTCCTGAGCCAGCATGGGGGAACTATGGCCCCTTCATGATTGTGGACTTCAACTCCCAGAATTCCTGAGCCGGCATGAGGGAAACTTTGGCCCCTTCATGACTTGCAGACTTCAACTCCCAGAATTCCTCAGCCAGCATGGGGGAACTATGGCCCCCTCATGACTGGTGGACTTCAACTCCCAGAATTCTTCTGCCAGCATGGGGGAACTATGGCCCCTTCATGATTTGTGGACTTCGGGATATTTGTAGGACTAAATCGGGTCTCCAAAGATGTGTCTGTGTGGTTTTTGACTGATGTCAAAATCTGCACCGGACAGTTGTCTAGTTTTTGACCTTCTCCTGAGATGGTGGTGTCGGTGGGGCTTGACTTCCTGTTGGCATTGGAATAGATCTTAGGGGCTCTCCTGGACCCCAGACTCCATTCCAGTGTCTTCCCCAACTGGTGCCCCTAAGCAGAACCCTTCCACCCCTTACTTCGTCCCTTTGCCATTGGAGAAGCTCCATCTCTCGTCTGTGGTCAGCCTGTTTTGCTGTAGATTTTTTTTTTCTTTTGTTTTTTTTAATCCAGAGATAAAGGCACACAGCTGCATAAATAAATTTGAAAGCAGAGATGGAGGCGGTCGCTAAACTCTCACCTAGAGCAGGTTTGGTCCTCCCCAGTTCCTTTTGCACAACTTGTTCTACCTCTACCGTCCCGGGAGCAGCTACGAAAGGCAAAGATAAAAGAGGGCAGAGGGGAGGGGAAGGGAAGACCACCAGGTGATCAGCCAGGGATGGATTCCTTCCAGTCAACTGAGCTGGTGCTTTCTCTCCTCTCTGGATAGGATCCTGGAGGCATTTGCAGAATGTGAGGAGTAGGAAGAGACGTTTAGGCGCCCATCTTAGTGTCTGGACAAATGGGCAGGGAGGAAGGGCAAGGGGTGGAGGCTGTGGATAATGGCCGGGGGAGGGTCAGCGGAGGAGGAAAGCTGGCTATAAATCGGCTGAGGAAGATAGCTGGGGGGCGAAGGGGGTGCGACCAATGGTGGGCACCTGAACATCTTAAACCAGTGGTGGCGAACCTATGGCAGGCGTGCCAGAGGCGGCACTCAGAGCCCTCTGTGGGCACACCCGCTGTCGCCCCAGCCACGCCTTCCCCCACGGCCCCCTCCTCACCAGCAGCTCTCCCCAGAGGAGAGTCGCCCCTGGACACAGCCCGCACGGAGCAGCACAACCAAGCACTTGTCAGCAGGGACAAGACGCCACCCTCGCACCCCGTCGTGCGTAGATAATGCTGTGTGGCGCGGGCAGAAGGCATGTCCACAATGCTGCTGGGCTGCCTGGAAGATCTGCTACGGTGGGCTGTGGAGGCGGTAGATGGTCCTGCAGGCGAGTGGGGTGGGGGCGTAGCAGGGGCAGGGTTGGGGGATGGAGCGGGTTTTAGGCACTAGGCCTCTAAAAGGTTCACCACCACTGTCCTAAATCTATGAGGAGAGGTCTGGGTTACAAACTGAGGGAGACAGGCCACAGATCCACATACACATACACACACTCATTCTCCTCCTTGCTCTGCCGTCATGACCTCCTGGTCTCAAAGCCTGGAGGACGTAAGTACAGGTCATCCTCGACTTACGATCAAATTTTTGTGGCTAAGTGAGACATTTGTTCACTGAGTTCCCCCACCCCCCCGTTTTACGACTTTCCTTGCCACGTTTGTTAAGCGAATCGCTGCGGTTGTTTAAATTAGTCGCGCGCTCGTTAAGGGAAGCTGTCTTCCCCCATGGACTTTGCCTCTTGGGAGGTCGCAAAAGGAGACCACGGGATTCCCCCGGGACACTGCGACCGTCCTAAATGTGAACCGGTAGCCAAGCCTCTGAATTTTGATCACGTGATCGTGGGGACGCTGCGAAGGTCGTAGCTGTGAAAAACGGTCCTTAGGTCACTTTTTTTCCTAGTGCCGTTGTGAGTTCGAGCAGGCACTAAATGAACTGTTGTAAGTTGAGGACTACCTGTATAACTCGACCGAAGAAAGCCTGGTTAGAGCTCCGTTGAAGGTCGCTGCTTCTCCTCCGAGCCTTCAGGAGCCTCTCCGTGGTCGGGCGTGTGGAAAGCCACATAGGGACACCGCTTGACGTTCAGGCAGACCAGTTTTTCCAAGCTTGCCGTGTTCACGATTCGGAAGCCAGCGGCACCGCCAAAAGTGCTGGGCTTCCAGTATTCGGGGGAGCAGATGGGGTTCCCCAGGAGCCCCTTCAAGGAGAAGGGAGCCCCCATCTCTATCATGCTCTGTCCAAAGATGCCGTTGGAGTAGGTCTTCTCCACCAACAGGCCGGGAAAGAACTCCAGAGCATCAATGTCTCCATACAGCGCTTCTAGTTTGGCAACCATATTTTCATCATCTGCATCCAGGAGAGAAAAGAGAGAAATCGGGCAATGAGGCACCTCAGCTTGTGAAGGACCTACCAAGATTGTCCACACCTGGACTTGGCTTTCCTGCTGCTCCACCCACTGTGGAAAAGCTATTTTGGAAGAGCTGGAGAAGCTTCTTGAACGAGAAGCGAGACGTCTTCAAAGTAAAAACAGGGAAGGGGCCCGTTGATGTTTTCAATGCTCAACAAATGCTTTAGGATGGAAGGAATCGTTTACATCCACACAACTGTACAAGTCTACTTGGACAAGCCTTCAAAGAACTCTTCCTCTTCTCCTGTCATCCCCACAAATTCATCTTCCTTCCCCTGTCCTGACCACTTTCTAAGAGAGTCGATCGAGAGCATCCTGTCATATGGCATCACTGTCTGGTTTGGAAGCATCGCTGCTTCGGACAGGAAGGCGGTGCAGAGAGTGGTGAGGACAGCAGAAAAGATGATTGGCAGTTCCCTCCCTTCCATCCAGGACATAGCACAGAAGCGTTGCGTGACCAGGGTCTGCAGCATTGTCTGGGATGCTACACATCCTCTCCATGACCAGTTTTCCTTGTTCCCTTCTGGGAGGAGGGGACTCCGTGGTATCCGAAGCAGAACATCCAGATTCAGTCCCAGCTTTGTTCCATACAGTATCAACCTTGTGAACTCTCAAGCTTCCTCCTTCCATTATGTATTCAAGATGGACAGTGATTAATATTTATATATTCCTTATATGTAAGGATGTAGAGCTATAGTCCAGAGGTAGGCAACCTTGGCTCTTTTATGACTCGTGGACTTCAACTCCCAGAATTCCTAATTCTGGGATGATTATATATCAGGTAGGTTAGAGATTGGCATGTCAACCCAGATGGACTTTGTCTAGCTAGATAAAAGAGTTGGAAGGGACCTTGGAGGTCTTCTAGTCCAGCTCCCTGCTCAGACAGGAGACCTTATACCAGCGGTAGGCAACCTTGGCTCTTTTATGACTCGTGGACTTCAACTCCCAGAATTCCTGAGCCAGCATGGCTCAGCATGGAAACCTCTCCCTGTCCCCTCAGCATGGCTGGCTCGGGAATTCTGGGAGTTGAAGTCCACCAGTCATAAAAGAGCCAAGGTTGCCTATCCCTGGCCTAGGCCGCTTTATGACTCGTGGACTTCAACTCCCAGAATTCCTGAGCCAGCACGGCTCAGCTTGGAAACCTCTCCCTTTCCCCTCAGCATGGCTGGCTCAGGAATTCTGGGAGTTGAAGTCCACGAGTCATAAAAGAGCCAAGGTTGCCTACCCCTGGTTTATACATTATGTTGTATATAGTATGTTTTAAATGTGTATGTGTACACTTTGAGAGCAAGCAACTAAATTTCATTTTTAAGGTGTGCCATTGTGCCCACAGGAAAAATGACGATAAAGGCAATCTAATCTAATCTAATCTAATCTAAAACGTTCAGCTTAGCTTTCCAGATAGGGACATGTCCTCATTCTTGTACCTAACACAGCCATGGCAGTTCCTTCAAGAGGTTCATACATGGTGACAGCATCTCAAGAAGTTGACTTAGAGGCTTCTTCTGGGGCTATTACCTGTCAGTTCCCGGAAGGACGTGTACGGCTTCAGATGGAACCTCTTTCGGTATTCATTAAAAGGCTGGAGACGCATCAGCCGCGATTCCTTGATAACTCCAATAGCCACTTTGAGAAGGTGCTTGTTGATATTCGGCTTCCCGCCGATCTGAAAAGGAGAGCCAGAAAAGGTCCTTTGTCAAGATCGCTCAGAATTGGCACGTTAGAAGAAGAAGACGACAGGCTGGATGTAACCCCCCGCTCCGCAAACAGACGCCCTTGGATCTTGCCCCTGACCCACCTGTCCAGCTCGCTGCTTGGAAAAGGCCTCTACCAGGGTCTCTATGCTGTAGTGGGTGAAAAGAGTGCTGTTGAACAGGAACTGGTCGTAACTGTATTCTCTGTCGGGCAGCTGGAAGGAATTGGGCATTAAGGCGTGCCAGTGGTACAGCTGGTTGAACTCCAGAGCGATGCGGTTCTGGTACTGGAACTGGGCTCCAAATAGAAGCTCGGGTGCAAACGTCAGCTTAAAGTGGTAGCCGCTGAGATGCTGGACGTAATCCTCAATGACAATTTTGATCGTCTCACCTGGAAAGAGCAGAGGGAGGGAGGGAGGAGCAGCCTTGTAGCCATGGCCAATTTAGAATTTTAGAATGACAGACTCGGAAGGGACCTCGGAGGTCTTCTAGTCCAGCCCCCTGCTCAGGCAGGAAACCCTATGCCAGGGGTAGGCAACCGTGGCTCTTTTATGACTCGTGGACTTCAACTCCCAGAATTCCTGAGCCACCATGGGGGAACTATGGCCCCTTCATGACTTGAGGACTTCAACTCCCAGAATTCCTGAGCCAGCATGGGGGAACTATGGCCCCCTCATGACTCGTGGACTTCAACTCCCAGAATTCCTGAGCCAGCGTGGCTCAGCTTGGAAACCTCTCCCTTTCTCCTCAGCGTGGGTGGCTCAGGAATTCTGGGAGTTGAAGTCATAAAAGAGCCAAGGTGGCCTACCCCTAGCCTAGGCCTAGGACGCTTTATGACTTGTGGACTTCAACTCTCAGAATTCCTGAGCCAGCGTGGCTCAGCTTGGAAACCTCTCCCTTTCTCCTCAGCGTGGCTGGCTCAGGAATTCTGGGAGTTGAAGTTCACCAGTCATAAAAGAACCGAGGTTGCCTACCCCTGCCCTATGCCATTTCAGACAAATTGGTTGTCCAATCTTTTCTTAAAAATGTCCAGTGTTGGAGCACCCACAACTTCTGGAGGCGGGTTGTTCCACTGGTTAATTGTTCTAACTGTCAGGAACTTTCTCCTTAGTTCTATGTTGCTTCTCTCCTTGATTAGTTTCCATCCGTTGCTTCTTGTCCTGCCTTCAGGTGCTTTGGAGAATAGCTTGACTCCCTCTTCTTTGGGGCAGCCCCTGAGATATAGGAAGATGCTATCATGTCCCCCCTCGTCCTTCTCTTCATTAAACTAGACATACCCAATTCCAGCAACCGTTCTTTATATGTTTTAGCCTCCAGTCCCCTGATCATCTTTGTTGCTCTTCTCTGCACTCTTTCTAGAGTCTCAACATCTTGTTTACATCGTGGTGACCTTACTTTTTTTTAACCTTCTTTTTTTCACCATTGGATTTCATTTTGTTACGATAGTTTTTCAGGTGACAACTCAAGTTGTCCAAATACACACACACACACGCACACTGCAGAAAATGGCAATGGCTGTGAAGGCATCTACAATTCCTTCTGAAATAGCTAAGAGTTGGGACAATAATTAAATAGTAGCTTATTTACGTTGCCTGTTTGGGACTTCCTATGAACCCCAAACTCACAATAGGCAGCTTGGACAACCTGCCCACCTGTCAGAATAAGCCGGGCGGTCTGGAACAGCTGCTCATCGTCCCAGGTAGGGTGTTCTTGCTTCAGCAGGTCACAGACACGATTGTGCTCCCGCAGCCAGAGGGTGGCATACATCAGAAGGCCTGGAAGAAGACCAAAGACCTCTTGGCCTATGGCAAACCTCTGCTCCGGGGGGGTGCCTTGTGGGTAGATCATGTGCACGGCGGCTTCCATCACTGTTGGGGGGTACATTTCTCCCTTCATCACCTGGGGAGAGAAGGACAAAGGATCACACTTAGAAGATGGGGACCACGTTAGCCAAAAAAAGCTAAAACAATCCTTGGTTGTATAAACAGAGGCATGGAATAAAAATCACCTGAAGTATTAATGCCACTTTATAAAGTCTTAGTAAGGCCACACCTGGAATGCAGCACCCAGTTTTGGTCACCACATGACAAAAAAAAAAAGATGTGGAGACTTTGGAAAAAGTCCAAAGAAGAGCAACTAAGATGATTAAAGGCCTGGAGACAAAAACCTATGAAGAACAGTTGCAGAATTTGGGTTTGGCTAGTCTAGAGAAAAAAAGGTCTAGGGGTGACATGATAGCTGGGTTCCAGTATTGGAGGGGCTGCCAAAAAGAAGAGGAGGGGATCAATTTATTCTCCAAAGCTCCAGAGGGCAGGACAAGAAACAACGGATGGGAACTAATCAAGGAGAGAAGCAACCTGGAATTAAGGAGAAACTTCCTGACAGTGAGGACAATTAACCAGTGGAACAGCCTGCCTCCAGAAGTTATGGGTGCTTCATCACTGGAGGTTTTTAAGAAGAGACTGGACATCCACCTGTCTGAAATGGTGTAGGTTCTCCTGCTTGAGTGGGGGGCTGGACCAGATGACCTCCAAGGTCCTTTCCAGATTCTATTCTATTCTAAATTTCCTGACAGTGAGAACAATTAACCAGTGGAACAGCTTGCCTCCAGAAGTTGTGAATGCTCCAAGATTGGAGATTTTTAAGAAAAGTCTGGACAGCCACTTGTCTGAAATAGTATAAAGTTTCCTGCCTAAGCAAGGCGACTAGAAGACCTCCAAGATCCGTCCCAACTATTCTCTTCTCTTCTCTTCTCTATTCCATATTCTCTTCTCTTCTCTTCTCTTCTCTTCTCTTCTCTTCTCTTCTCTTCTCTTCTCTTCTCTTCTCTTCTCTTCTCTTCTCTTCCCTCCCGTCCCATCCCATCCCAAGCATCATAGAAGGACTTCCTAGCTTCCCCAGTTGTTGCCATCGGCTGTTCTGGATAACAGCTCTGACAAGGCTGTTATCAAACAACTGGCATCCCATCAAAGGTAGAGTCAAGGCTTTGGGGTCTGCTGCGCTCTTGCTTGCACAATATCATTTTTGTCTTGTGTTTCATTTGCTACAAAGAAAAATACACCTGGGCGGGCAAAGGAGCCCCCCCTCCCATTGCTAAATTCCCCCCAAAGTAGGGGGTAGGCAGATGCGGGGGAAGGAAGCTGGGAAGTTTTCTCTTCATCTTGGACTCCACCCGCCATCCACCCATTCTCGCTGGGAACGAGCGGCAGAGTGGTCCAGCAAATAGTAACAGTAATAGTAGTAAAGTTGGAAGGGACCTTGGAGGTCATCTAGTCCAACCCCCTGCTCAGGCAGGAAACCCTATACCATTTCGGACAAATGGCTGTCCAGTCTCTTTTTAAAAACTTCCAGTGTTGGAGCATTCACCGCTTATGGAGGCAGGTTGTTCCACTGGTTAATTGTTCTCACTGTCAGGAAATTTCTCCTTAGTTCTAGGTTGCTTCTCTCCTTGATTAGTTTCCACGCGTTGCTTCTTGTCCTGCCTCCAGGTGCTTTGGAACTGTGAAAATTTGGTGATAGGAGATAAGAGGAGATGCTTTCTAGGGTGGGGGTGGGGTGGGGGGTGAAATCCACAGCCAGGCACAAACTCCCCCCCCCCCAGTTAAGAGTTTGCACAGGCTGCCAGAGACTTATTTAACCTTCTCACCTGGTATTTCAGCTTCCCGTCCTTGAACAGGCGCAGGTGATGCTGGCGTTCCAGGTTGTCTCCGTAGATGTGGCCAAGGTCCACCTGCAGGGAAGAGCCGACGTAACTATGGGTGAGTCGTTCCCCTGTCTCCTTTGGGTCTATGCGAGCGTGTGTGTTTGTGTTGTGTGTGTGTGAGAGAGGGGAAGGTGGTTCAGTACAGGTGGTCCTCGACTTACAATAGATCATTTAGCGACCGTTCAAAGTCACAGCGCCACCGGAAAAATGGACTTAGGGACGTTTTCTACAGTTACGGCCTTTGCAGCATCCCCCACAGCCACGGGATCGAAATTCAGATGATCAGGAGGGGGTTCGTGCTTATGACCGTTGCTGTGCCCCAAGGTCATGCAGTTAATCTGGCTGGCCTAGAAGACCTCCAAGGTCCCTTCCAGCTCTGTTCTGTTCTGTTCTGTTCTGTTCTGTTCTGAATAGACTAGACTAGACTAGACTAGACTAGACTAGACTAGACTAGACTAGAATAGAATAGAATAGAATAGAATAGAATAGAATAGAATAATAAAAATGGAATGGAATGGAATAGAATAGAATATAGAATACAGAATACAGAATAGAATATAGAATATAGAATACAGAATAGAATATAGAATGTAGAATAGAATATAGAAGAGAATAGAGTAGAATAGAAAATAGAATAGAATATAGAATAGAATAATAGAATAGAATAGAATAGAATAATAGAATAAAACAGAATAGAATAGAATAGAATAGAATACAGAATAGAATATAGAATATAGAACAGAATAGAAAATAGAATAGAATAGAATATAGAATATAGAATAGAAAATAGAATAGAAAATAGAATAGAATATAGAATAGAATAGAATAGAATAAGAAAGAATAGAATAGTAGAATAGAATATAGAATACAGAATAGAACATAGAATATAGAATACAGAACAGAATATAGAATATAGAATAGAATATAGAATAGAATAGAGTAGAATAGAAAATAGAATAGAATAGAATAATAGAATAGAATAGAATATAGAATACAGAATAGAATATAGAATAGAATATAGAATATAGAATGGAATATAGAATAGAATAGAATAGAATAGAACAGAACAGAGAGCAACAGAGTTGGAAGGGACCTTGGAGGTCATCTAGTCCAACCCCCTGCCCAAGCAGGAGACGCCACACCTTTTCCAACTGAAGGCAGCCCACTCTCTTCTCGAAAGCTTCCAGGAGAGAAACGCTGGGGACCCTTGAATCAATCCCGGGGGCTCCGGCTCTGCCCTCCTCAGGAGCCTCCCCACCAGAGCTAAGACGGGAGGCCTCCAAATTCCGCTTTGGGGCGAAGCCTGGCCCTTCCCCGTCTCAGGATCCGCCCCCCACAGCCTCCCAGCCAGGTTGCCCATCCTAATCTGGGGAGGCGAAGGTTGGGGCCTGCGTCTCTCTCCCCTCACCCCGTGGCCCAGAGCCCGGGTGAATCCCCGGCCCATCTTCCCAAACGTCTTGAAGAACTGGTGGGTGAAGTGCTGGGCAAAGAAGGCGAACATCAGGTTGGTCCTCTGCGGGTCCGGATGGAAAGTCCGGCGCAGGAGAAGTTCTTCGGCCACCAGCTCGGCTCCTGGCAGCTCCAGTGGTCCTGGGAGGCAAAGAAGGAAGCCGTGCCCGGGTCTGGTCTCCTGGGCATGTGCAAGTCTCCTCCTCCTCCTCCTCCATTCCACAAATTCCACTCCCTTCTACACTGGTGATTTTACCTAGTTGGATCATGAAAGATCTCGAAGAAAACAACCATGTTCAGGGAGAGCCAAGTATTCTGCAACCCTCCTCCTCCTCCTTCTTCTCCCTCTCTCTCTTCTTCTCCCCCTCCCCTCCTCCTCCTTATTCTCCTTCTTCTCCCTCCACCTCTCCCTCCTTCTTCTCCCTCCACCTCTCCCTCCTCCTTCTTCCTCTCCCTCATCCTCTTCCTCCTCCTCCTCCTTCTTCTTCTTCTCCCTCCTTTTCCCTCCTCCCCCTCCTCCTCCTTCTTCTCCCTCCTCCTCCTCCTTATCCTCTTCCTTCTTTCCCTCTTCTTCTTCTTCTCTTCCTCCTCCTCCTCCTCCCCTTTCCTTCTTCTTCTTCCTCCACCTGTCCCTCCTCCCACCTCCCCCTCCTCCTTCTTCCTCCTCCTCCCCATCCTCCTCCTTCTACCTCCTTCTTCCTCCTCCTCCTTCTCCCTCCTCCCCCTCCTCCTCCTCCTTCTTCTCCCCCTCCTCCTCCTCCTTATCCCTCCTCCCCCTCCCCCTCCCCCTCCTCCTCCTCCTCCTTCTTCTCCCTCCACCTCTTCCTCCTTCTTCTTCTCCCTCATCCTCTTCCTCCTCCTCCTCCTTCTTCTCTCTCCTCCTCCTCCCCCTCCTCCTTCTCCCTCCTCCCCCTCCTCCTTTTTATTCTCCCTCCTCCTTCTTATCCTCCTCCTTCTTCTCCCTCATCCTTTTCCTCCTTCTTCTTCTCTCTCCTCCTCCTCCCTCCTCCCCCTCCTCCTTTTTCTTCTCCCTCCTCCTCCTTCTTATCCTCCTCCTTCTTCTCCTCCCTCCTCCTCCTCCTCCTGACAAAGCAGAGCCAGGCAGCCGGGAAAGGGGGCTACACCGCGAAGTACCTTTCACTCCCATCGGAGTGGGGCAGTTGGGGGGCACCGGCGGGAGGATGCGGGTGAAGTAGCTGAGGTTGCTGTAGGATTCCCAGTTCAGGTATCCGTAGTTGCCGCTGAAGGTGGGCGGGCTGGGGATCAGGTTGGCCCGGGCTGCAGGGCGAGAGGCAGGAAGATGGAGGAGACTTCAGAGAGCGGGCACCTAGGACTCGCAGGGTAGGGGGTGTCCCGGGACTGGCAGCTGGGCGGGTCTGGGCCTGGTGAGCCTCTCCAATCCAAGAGGGCGGGCAGCCTTTCTGAAGAAGAGGAGCGCCAATCTCTTTGGCCTGCCTGAGCCCTCGCCCGCTCACCCGTCAACACCAGTCGCATCAGAAGACCTTGGAGGAAAGTCCGGTTGACCAGGCTCCACAGCCAGCGGAAGTGGGTCAGCAAGTGATGAACGGAAGACGGGCTCGGCTTCAGGGTGTCGTACAGCCATGTCCAGAACTCCGCTGCGGAGGGGGAGGGGGGCACGGCAAAGAAATTTTTAAAAAGCCAGAGATATTCCCTTAAAACAGTGGTTCTCAACCTGTGGGTCGGGACCCCATTTGGGGTCGAACGACCATTTCACGGGGGTCGCCAAACAACGCAGTCCGCCATTTTTTTCCCCCTTTTCCTTAGCTCTGCTACTCCCTTTTATTCTATTGGCTTTTGAAAGCCAATAGAATAGACTCTCTTGAATAGGAGTCTAATTCTATTGGCTTTCAAAAGCCAATAGGAATTGTCCAGGCTGTCTCTGCCCTGCTGAGCCCGCCAAAAGTCCCATTCTGCAAACGGTGCTGCACCCGTTGAGTAGTCCTCGACTTACGACCGGTTGAGTAGTTCTCGACTTACGACCGGTTGGGGGGGGATCGCGGCATTAAAAAGGTTGAGAACCACTGCCTTAAAAGATGTCCCGTTTGGAGGATTTACCAGGAAGAACCAACGGGAAGCTTCCCTTCTCAGTTCTGGGGAGTGAGGGGAGGGTACGTTGAGGTAGACTGCCTCTGAACACGGAGCCTCTGAGCCTCAGCTTCTCTCTGCGTACACAGACGTCGTCGAAAGCGATACTCACCCGAGCTGCAGTTGGTGCCATAGTATCCCGTCCGGGTACAATCACATTCATAGTCCTCCGTGCCAATCCGGACGCACAAACCACTGTGTTGGCAGGGGAAATAGCAGCAGGGGTCCACTGCAAGGACAGAAAGAGAAGCAAGGAAGGTCAAGAAGCAAAATCACAAAAAATAATAATAAAAATGAGCAGGGCCTGAAACGTGATCACTGACAAATCGAGGAAACCGTCCAGCGTCACTCAAGCAAGAGAAGGGCGGTGTGGAAACTTGATAGATCAATCAGTCAAGACTTCTGTGTGTAAAAGCTCAAATGACTAGCCCTGAGGCTACGGGAAGTCGTTCCGGCTTCTTAATCAATCTGAACGCTGCAAAGTAATAAATTTGCTCTTTGGGGGAGGCTTCGCCCAGGTCTGTTTTCACGTCAGGAAATGTGGTTTGCACTTAATCCTCGACTTACCCTCACAATGGAGCCCAACGTTTCTGTGGTTAAGTGAGACGTGTCATGGTTCCGACAAATGAAACTTCGAGGCATTGTTTACCTTAAAGAATCTTGATTCGAGAAGCATCACTTCGGCACGTACACAAGCCAAGCCAAAATCTGAATTCCCCTCCCCTGAGCACGTAGTATCGAGCACAATTCCCTCCTCGCAAATCACATTCTCCAATTAGTTTGAAATGCAGGCTTTCCCTCCTGTTCTCCAGATCCGCCATTTCTTATCATCTCTTATTTCAAAAAACCTTGGTTCTCACCCGAGTTACAATATTGTTATGTCTAACTAAACTCCCGTGCACATTCCTCCTCCTCCCCCCCCAGTATCATCTATTTCTCTAATTCTAAGAGTAAAATGTAAGAAGGAAAATGGCGGCATCTCCATACGTTGTCAAAGCAAGAACATCCGACGTTAGCAAGGTTGACAAGACATTTGAAAAAAGGGACTTACGACTTTTTTCACAGTTACGACCTTTGCAGCTTCCCCAGGCTCACGCGATCAAAATCCAGACGCTTGGTTTTGCCCCACTTTATGACCTTTCTTAAGTGAATCGCGGCGGTTGTTTAAATTAGCAACGTGGTCATTCGGCGAATCTGACTTCCCCCATTGACTTTGCTCACCGGAAGTTCGCAAAAAGAGGATCGCCTGACCGTGGGACACTGCAACCGTCACAAGTACATGCCAGTTGCCAAGTGTCTGGATTTTGATCACGTGACCTGGGGAGGCTGCAAAGGTCGTAACTGTGAAACAAAGTCGTAAGTCCCTTTTTTCAGTGCTGTTGTCACTTGGAACGGTCACTAAAAGAACTATTGTGAGATGAGGGCTACCTGCATTTGTCACTGGGCTGCATTGAAGTGTGCCCTCACACCGACAACTCGGCAGCAAATTTGACGCAAGGGGTTGTTGACTTGTGAGCCAAAACTTGTAGAAGAGTTTATTTAATGTAGCTACCGTAATAGCCAAGAGGCAAATTAACTTCAGATTGGATCTAAGTCTGTTTGCTTTTTTTTTTTTTTTCTTTCTTTCTTTCTTTCTTTCTTTCTTTCTTTCTTTCTTTCTTTCTTTCTTTCTTTCCTTCCTTCCTTCCTTCCTTCCTTTCTCTTTCTTTCTTTTCTTTCTTTCTTTTTCTTTCTTTCTTTCTTTCTTTCTTTCTTTCTTTCTTTCTTTCTTTCTTTTTAACCGACACGACGTTAACCACACAATGCAATAGTTATAAAGCAACAGGTAAGTTGCTTTAACATGACAGCTTTACTTTTAAAAACTTCGGTCTTGTCGAAGCAGGAAGCCTGCACAGCACCCCTTTGTCGTGATGGGGATTGCATCACTCTGCAGAGTTTTTTTTTTTTTTTTTTTTAGCAGCTGCAAAGCCAGGCCAGATGTCAGCAGTTGAGTCTGCCGTGACTCTTTGTGAATTGTAAAGTGCTAAACAAACTTCCTATCTGCCACCCATCTCAGGGTGGTGCCTGTTTCATGTCTGGAGAAGAAAAAACAGCATCTAGGACTGAGATAAACTTGAAGAACATAGAAAAATAGAGTTGGAAGGAATCGTGGAGGTCTTCTACTCCAACCCCCTGCTCAAGCAGGGGATCCTATACCATTTTAGACAATAATAATAATAATAATAATAATAGTAAAGTTGGAAGGGATCTTGGAGGTCATCTAGTCCAACCCCCTGCTCAGGCAGGGAATCCTATACCATTTCAGACAAGTGGCTGTCCAGTCTCTTCTTAAAAACCTCCAGTGTTGGAGCATCAACAACTTCTGGAGGCAGGTTGTTCCACTGGTTAATTGTTCTAACTGTCAGGAAGTTTCTCCTTAGTTCCAGGTTGCTTCTCCTTGCTTAGTTTCCACCCGTTGCTTCTTGTCCAGCCTTCAGGCGCCTTGGAGAATAGCTTGACACCATCTTCTTTGTGGCAGCCCCTGAGATATTAGAACACAGTCTTTATTTAAAAGTGTCCAGTAATGGAGCATCCACAATGTCTGAAGGCAAAGCTGTTCCACTGGTTAATTGTCTTCACTGTTAGGAAGTTTCTCCTTAATTCCAGGTTGCTTCTCTCTTTGATTAGTTTCCATCGGTTGTTTCTTGTCTTGCCCTCTGGTGTTTTGGAAAATAGGTTGACCCTCCTCTTCTTTGTGGCAGCCCGTCAAATACTGGAATACTGCAATGGTGTCCCCCCTAGTCCTTTTTTTTTCTAGACTATGCATACCCAGTTCCTGCAACTGTTTTAGCCTCCAGCCCCATAAGCATCTTTGTTGCTCTTCTCTGCAGTCTTTCTAGAGTCTCAACATCTTTTTTGCATTGTGGTCACCAGAACTGGATGCTCTTCCAAGTTGCAGTAAGTGGAAAGGGGAATGTGAGGGTTTATCGTGGGTTACAGTCCTGGTGCATGTTTGTGTTCTGGGGCAGAGGTTGGTCCTAAGGACCCAGAGCGGTCAGCCCTGGTGACTCCTGGTCTCAAACAATTGCATTGCCTTCCCTTCGTGTCCGTCTTCAGCAGCCCTTGGGGCAAAGAGTGGTTTTTATAGTCTCTTAAAAGACAGAGCCCTGATAAGACCTCAAGATACGGTCTGAACTAAGCATGGATGGTATCCAGGAAGCTGAGAACGGTCTGGGAAGCCTTTGATTTTTAAGGCTAATTTTGAGAACCCGTTGGAGTCATGAAAGATAAGATTCTGAAGTCCTAGAGGCGGCCTAGGAGAAAAGCCTCATGAGGGCCTTTGAACAGCTGGAAAAGAGGGAGATTTATGGACTCAATTGAACCCGTGCCCTTGCTGAAAGGGAGAGTGGAAGCAAAGGGAATCGGGAGATGACCAAGAAGCAACAAGACACAACCGGACTGGTCCAAATGGTGAAGAACATGCAGCCTCCAGGAAGCGGACGAGTCTTTGAGCCCGACAGTTGTGCAAAATACAGGGACCATTATAGGCGCACAAAGTTTTATTAGGGAAAAACCACCCAGCGGGAAGGGTGGGACAAAAGAAGATGCTGGAACGCAGAGATTTTTTTTTTTCCCATTATTGCTTCCATTTAAAAAAAAACAGAAAACAAAAAGCCCTTAGCAAAATTTGGGCAAGAAACAATCAATTCCGGGAAAATGCAGAATTGCTGCCTCTAGCGGACTCTCTCTGCCTCTTCTGAACCAGCTTCTCAACCAGGATTCAGATCCGGCTAAACTCTCTCAAACTTCAGATTCACACCGTTCAAGTCCAGCTTACAAGCTATGCTGGAGAATTAAAAATTCAGCCAGTGCCAAACCACGTTGGTACCCAACCTCTGCCAGCCGGGTTCACGGTGTTAAAATCCTTCAGCGGTGCCTCTGTCCTTAGATGGTAGCAACGGAGCCGTTGCTTTGCTAAGACAGTTTCCATCCTTTACTTCCGAACCAATTTCCAATATGCTTCAACAATCACAAATGCTAAATTGCAGCGCCAAGTCCCCGGAGGGGTCCAGAAACGGTGAGTGGGTCCGGATAAAATCCACCCCGACTCATAAGACCCCAGTCCTGCACGCAATCATGCCCTGCGCATCTCTGTCACATTCAAGAGTTGCAAAGTGGCAACAACTTTGGGCAAAAGGGGGCAGCCAAGCCCCCGCTCCCCCCCCCATATAGCCAGGTCTGTTTCAAACGGCTGGCTTTCTCGCCCTCTTTCGCCCTACCTGAACTGGACTCTCCTGGGCTGGCGTTCAGACCCACTAGCAACGCCAAGGGCAAGCAGGAGGACCACAAGCCTAGAAACAGAAAAGGAAATAGGTGGGAGTGGGGGGTGGGTGGGAGGAAGGTGTGGATGGGGGGGGGGGAAGGCAGGAACTCGCCTGGGACTTACAGTGCATGGTGCAGCAGAGAAGGAAGGAAGGAGGTAGAGAGGCAGGGAGGGTCGCTCTGCTTCCACCAGGCTGCTGAGCAGCTCCTGGACTTTTTCTCCAAGCAGCTTGGTCTCCACCTTCCTCCAACGCTCCTCCTCCTCCTCCCTTGCCTCTGCCTACTCTGGGCTGTGGGTGCAGGAGCCCAGGGGCATCTTGTGTCAGCGCTGGGCAAAACACCTTTAGCAGAAGCTCCAAAGCTATCCGAGGAAGCTTCTGTTAGGGCGCCCGACTGGCACTCCAGTTGCCCAACCCTTTCTCCCCCAGATACAGGAGATAAGCAGTCACACCGCGTTGTGGTTTTTACTCCGGACTTCAGGAAGCGATGGGGGGCTTTGGGGGACCCCTGTAGTTGTCGCAGGCTTGGGGGTACGTGGCACGCTTCATCCAAAGCTCCGAGCCAGCTTCTCGTAGCTTGCTTCTCCAGGAAAAGTGGTAGAGAATAACCTGCTTCGGAAAGGCTGGGTGTGAACGCCTCAGCTACCCTGGCTTGGATCGGTGGTCGTGAACTGCTCCAATCCTCACCAGCCCGGGAGACCCAGCCATGGTGCCCACATTCTGGGAGAGGAAGCCCCGTTATGCTGGCCAGGAAGGCGGTCTAAATTAAGCGGGGATGGGCTGCCGAGGAGGGCACATTATCAACGCCTCCCTGACGTCCTAGAAAACATTCTTAGCAGCCCCGGCCCAGAACTGACCGATTTTTCTTCGGACAGCCCTTGGTGCCATCCACTCAGCAGCTGTTCTGAACTTTGCGGTGTCTTCTGATGTTCTGGGTTCGTGTGGTTGTGGTGGCTGGGAGGTCTGTTCTCAGCCAGGTTACCTTCGGAGGCATCAGGGTTGCTGTGCGCTGAACACACCCCTGGGAAGACAAAAGCTTTAATTTTGCAAATTCTTCTTTCCATTCCCCCTTGCTGGTCTGAAATATTCGTCTTGCCTAAGGATTTCTCTCTCTCTCTCTCTCTCTCTCTCTCTCTCTCTCTCTTTCTCTCTCTCTCTTTCTTGTGGCATTCTTTCAAACCAGCAGTAAATTTCAAGGAGGAGCAGTAGAAGTGCATTTACCAAAAGAATGAAGCCGCAAGGCTTTTGTGTGTGTGGGTGGGAGGGGAAGATTTCAAAGGCATCTTTGGATAGACTCCAGAATAGCATTCTCCAGCTGGATGGCATCCAGATGGGCTGGGACTACCGTTTCCAGCAGCCCCAGCAGCTGTTAATGCCAGCACATCTGGAAAGCAACCGTTCCAGGAAGTCTGGTCTAGAAACATGGCTTTAAACAAGCTGGATAGAGCGTGAAAGATGGTTTGTTACTCTTAAGCCTTTCTAGGAGTAAAACAGATCGGGGCTGTGGAGTCTGCCACGAAATTTCGGATTTGAAAATCTTTTCTGCAGGTGTCCTAGGATGGTCACCAAGAAGCTGTGGTCTGCAAAAAAAAAAAAAAATCCATCTAGTGCAGGGGTAGGCAACCTTGGCTCTTTTATGACTGGTGGACTTCAACTCCCAGAATTCCTGAGCCAGCCACGCTGGGGGGGGAAAGGGAGAGGTTTCCAAGCTGAGCCACACTGGCTCAGGAATTCTGGGAATTGAAGTCCACAAGTCATGAAGGGGCCATAGTTTCCCTCATGCTGGCTCAGGAATTCTGGGAGTTGAAGTCTTCCCCACCGCTGATCTAGATCATGATTTGATGAGTTTAGATCAAGGGTAGGCAATCTTGGCTCTTTTATGACTTGTGGACCAACTCCCAGAATTCCTGAGCCAGCCATGCTGAGGGGACAGGGAGAGGTTTCCAAGCTGAGCCATGCTGGCTCAGGAATTCTGGGAGTTGAAGTCCACGAGTCATAAAAGAGACAAGGTTGCCTACCCCTGATCTAGTACATCTTCAAATAATCTGATTTCAAATAATCTGATTATTTGCTTCTGCTTGAGCAGGGGGCTGGACTAGAAGACCTCCAAGGTCCCTTCCAGGTCTATTCTGATTCTGACTTGACTCAGCCTCTTTCAAAGAGCTTTTTTTTTTCCCCTGCCAGGTTTTTAAATTTTAAAATATCTTTACAATCTTTTCAAATCAAATTGAGTTTAGCGCTTAGCGTATCGTAGTTCTTTTTTTTTTCTTTTCTTTTTAGTCCAAATCTAATTGTGAACGTTTTCTCTTTCCATGTTTTTCCTACTGCTTATCGTCTCCTGGGAGGTTTTTAGAAAACCCTTGCTTATTTTGGAAAGGGTTAAGCCGCTAACCCTTTATTATTGGACTATTTTATCCTATCCTGCAAGTCTCCTTAAGTATGTTTGTGTATGGGGTGTGTGGGTGTTGGAGTGGGATTTGTATGTTTTGGGACAGTTTGGAGATGTAGATAGGTCTTTTAGGTCAACCTTAAAAGCCAGTATATTGTTACAGGAAGTTTTTTCGGAATAAAGAAATGAAGCGAACACGTCATGTATTTATGAAAGCAGTTAGTGAAAAAGTGGCCCATAGCACAAGATGTTTATCTCTAAGGTGGGGAGCTGTTCTCCAGGAAGTCAGTGTTTAGTTAACTCAACGGAGGGTCATTCTGCTAAAGTATCAGGAATTCAGACTATTTTTTATTGCATTAGGGGCTGTCGTAAAAGCTTACACGTCTTCGTAGCTTTCTTCCTCCCCTCCTCCTCCTCTTTCTCCTTTCCTTTTCCTTCCCTTCTTTCTCTTTCCTTTTTCCATCTCTTTCTCCTTTCCTTTCCTTTTTCCTTCCCTTCTTTCTCTTTTTCCTTCCCTTCTTTCTCTCCTTTTTCCTTCCCTTCTTTCTCCTTTCCTTTTTTCTTCTCTTCTTTCTTTCCTTTCTCCTTTCCTTTTCTTTTTCCTTCCCTTCTTTCTCTTTTCCTTTTTCCTTTTTCCTTTCCTTCCCTTTTTCCTTCCCTTCTTTCTTTTTCCTTCCCTTCTTTCTCCTTTCCTTTTTTCCTTCCCTTCTTTCTTTCCTTTCTCCTTTCCTTTTCTTTTTCCTTCCCTTCTTTCTCTTTTTCCTTCCCTTCTTTCTCTTTCCTTTTTCCTTCTCTTTCTCCTTTCCTTTCCTTTTCCTTCTTTCTCTTTCCTTTTTCCTTCCTTTCTCCTTTCCTTTCCTTTTTCCTTCCCTTCTCTCTCCTTTTTCCTTCCCTTCTTTCTCCTTTCCTTTTTTCCTTTCCTTCTTTCTTTCCTTTTTCCTTCCTTCCTTTCTCCTTTCTTTTTCTTTTTCCTTCCCTTCTTTCTTTCCTTTCCTTTTTCCTTCCCTTCTTTCTCTCCTTTTTCCTTCCCTTCTTTCTCTCCTTTTTCCTTCCCTTCTTTCTCTTTTCCTTTTTTTCCTTCCCTTCTTTCTCCTTTCCTTTCCTTTTTCCTTCTCTTTCTCCTTCCTCAGCTTGGAAACCTCTCCCTTTCCCCTCAGCATGGCTGGCTCAGGAATTCTGGGAGTTGAAGTCCACGAGTCATAAAAGAGCCAAGGTAGCCTACCCTTGCGCTGGTTAATTGTCCCTACTGTTAGGAAGTTTCTCCTTAATTCCTTCTTGCTTCTCTCCTTGGTCAGGTTCCATCCATTGTTTCTCGTCCTTCCCTTCCTCTCTCTTTTCTCCTCTCCTTTCCTTCTTTCCACAGTAGAGAAAAAAATACAAGTGGAACCTAAGCCCAAACTCTCTCAGAACAAAAGAGATAGCTGCAATAACCCTTTGCAGTAAGAACAATATTTCCCTGGGGCTTTTAAATCTCCCTCTTTAGCGATGCACCGCCACGGGGGACAACACAAACAGATTTTGGGTAGGCCTCTACCCTGGGGGGGGGGGGAGCAGAAGAGCCCTGGAAAATGCAGAAATCAGTTGCTGGACTTGCCCTCTGCATACGTGGATGTGAGGCTCTGCCTCCCACCTCTCCTAACAGCCACCATGCTCCAGGGAAGGAAAGATAAACCAGCTCAAAACAGGCCCTGCCGGAATTCTCACCTGGCCTCCCACCCCTTTCCAGGTGAAGGGGGCTCCTGTTGCCCCCGCTAAAAACCTCTAACATTTTGACAGAGGTAAAACAGAGCAATAGAACTGAGCCTCTGTGGAACCAGAGCTGTTCTTTTCGTAACAGCAGGATCTAATCCATCAATCAGAACAGAGTTGGAAGGGACCCTGGAGGTCATCTAGTCTGACCCCCTGCTCAAGCAGGAGATCCTATAGCATTCCAGACAAGTGGCTGTTCAGTCTTTTTTAAACCATACCCAGGAATTGGGTATGTCTCGTTTAATGAAGAAAAGGACGAGGGGGGACATGATAGGGACATTCCAATACCTACAGGGTCTGCCCCAAAGAAGAGGGAGTCAAGCTATTCTCCAAAGCCCCTGAAGGCAGGACAAGAAGCAACGGATGGAAACTCATCAAGGAGAGAAGCAACCTAGAACTAAGGAGAAAATTTCTGACAGTGAGAACAATTCACCAGTGGAACCACCTGCCTCCAGAAGCGGTGAATGCTCCAACACTGGAAGCCATCTGTCCGAAATGGTATAGGGCAGTGGTTCTCAACCTTTTTAATGCCGCGACCCCCAACCAGTTGTAAGTCGAGGACTACTCAACCGGTCGTAAGTCGAGGACTACTCAAGTGGTGCAGCACCGTTTGCAGAATGGGATTTTTGGCGGGCTTAGCAGGGCAGGGACAGCCTGGACAATTCGTATTGGCTTTTGAAAGCCAATAGAATTAGACTCTGTTCAAGAGAGTCTATTCTCTTGGCTTTCAAAAGCCAATAGAATAAAAGGGAGTAGCACAGCTAAGGAAAAGGGGGAAAAAATGACGGACTGCGTTGTTTGGCGACCCCCGTGAAATGGTCGTTCCACCCCAAATGGTTGGGGTGGCCACAGGTTGAGAACCCACAGGTTGAGAACCAATGGTATAGGGTTTCCTACCTGAGCAGGGGGTTGAATTAGATGACCTCCAAGGTCGCTTTCAACTTTATTATTATTTATTCCAGCAAATTCAGGAACTGTGAGCAGATGTGAAACGTAAGCAGGGGGAAAATGTGTGTCTGCAACAGAGGGCCCTTTGAATGGATCTGAACTTTAGGGAATTAATAGAAAGAACTTTGAGAAAATTTAGGCTCTGTCTTCTAAGATGATCTGTTCTTAAAAAAAAAAAAAAAGACTGCAAATTTATCTTTCTAACTCTGCTTGGCTCTTTGAGAAGGAAGATGCCCGGGTAGAATCTCTGCGGCTTCCATCTCACTTTCTGTTTGCAGAAAGATAACGTGCTTCGGATGCGAACAGCTCAGAAGGGGAAATCGTGAGGGTGTGAACTATGCGCCGCAGCCGTGTTCCCAGACGGTTTATCTCTCAGCTGACCCTGCTTTGCATGCTGTCTTGGTTTGCAGTCGTCTTAAAGTATTAAGTAAAGTTAGAGGTCCGGAGTCTCCTCTGAATGTCATTTTCCTTGCATAGTTTGTGTTTGAGGGGTAGACGCAACGGTTCAAGGTTTGAACTACAGTACTAGAAATGCAGAATAGTTATCTATGGACATTCTTTAGTGGTGGGCCCCTCATCTACCGCTGCACGTTGGGGACCCCCTTTTGAGGAAGGCCTGGGTGGAAAGACCCACTGTGCTCAGGGCCTCACCGCAGGGCTGCTGGGAAGCATCTCATGCACAGCTTGCGCTAATCCCAGAGAGCAGAAAGACCCACCTCAGCCTTGCCTGACCAGGAGAAAGGTGCTAAAAAGCTGCTCTTCGTGTCTTCTTTCCATGAAGGATTAGTCGGTGGATAGACCCACCTAACCATCTCGTTGCTTAACGTGGCGTCAGAAAATGAAGGCCCTTCACACAATGCAATCCAAGGGGAGAAGGGAGTGTGGAACAAGAGGGGACTCCCCACAGTTTATTCGCTTCCCCCCTACAACTATGTCTAGTTTAATGAAGAGAAGGACGAGGGGGGACATGATAGCAGGGTTCCAATATCTCAGGGGCTGCCCCAAAGAAGAGGGAGTCAAGCTATTCTCCAAAGCGCCCGAAGGCAGGACAAGAAGCAACGGATGGAAACTCATCAAGGAGAGAAGCAACCTAGAACTAAGGAGAAACTTCCTGACAGTGAGAACAATTAACCAGTGGAACAACCTGCCTCCAGAAGCAGTGAATGCTCCAACCCTGGAAGTTTTTAAGAAGAGACCGGACAGCCATTTGTCTGATAGGGTATAGATTATGATTTGATGAGTTTAGATCAGGGCTAGGCAACCTTGACTCTTTTATGACTTGTGGACTTCAACTCCCAGAATTCCTGAGCCAGCCATGCTGAGGGGAAAGGAAGAGGTTTCCAAGCTGAGCCAGGCTGGCTCAGGAATTCTGGGAGTTGAAGTCATAAAAGAGCCAAGGTTGCCTACCCCTGGTATAGGGTCTCCTGCCTGAGCAGGGGGTTGGACTAGATGACCTCCAAAGTCTGTTCCAACTTTATTATGCCAGATGTTCAGACTGGTTTGGCATTTTGTCTACCTATCGAGTCCTTACCAAGGACCTGGAATAGGCAGATGTGGATGTTTGATGTTATTACAGATATCGTTGCAGGATGGAAGCAGTTCCTATTATCATCATCATCATCATGATCTTGCGGGTCATTTAAAGGTGCTGTTAAAAGCAGAATTTGTGACCCTGAAAATTCCCCACAGACTGTTCAATCAGAAATGGTGGGGACCCTCCCATGTAGCCGAAAGCAGTTACACGCTCATTATCAGAAATTATGATAGAGCTGGAAGGGACCTTGGAGGTCTTCTAGTCTGGCCCCCTGGACAGTCACTTGTCTTACGGTGGAATTGGGAGCAGGGAGCTGGACTAGAAGACCTCTAAGGTCCCATCCAGCTCTATTCTGATTGATTGAAATGCTCCAGTAGTGTCTCCTGTTTGAGCAGAGCATTGGACTAGATAACGTCCAAGGTCCCTTTCCAGCTTCTATTCTGATTCTGAATTCTTTCCTTAAGGGGTTTGCCAGGTCACCCCCCCCCCAATTTGCGTGTCACACAACAAAGACAACAAAACTTGTTTTTAACATTTGCAAATTAGCAGGAGAACCCTGGGAATCGGGTGGCAAGTAAATTTAAAGAACAACTAACGGAATACCCAGAAGGATTACTGTACTCAAGGCACGTTTGAGGCTGGCAATAATCGCGAAACACACACACACACACACACACACACACACCTTTCTTTCCAGCAGGGAGTCTCCAAGGCTCCCTGGGAAGAAGCCAGGCGGCCTGGGGGCGTCTATTTTGGGGGGTGCCGGTGGAAGTGGGGGCATTCCCAAGGGAGACCCAGCTGCAAACCCCGCCCAAGAGGAGAGAAGGAAAGGGGGCCACCCGGAGATGCACGCCCAACTCGGGGCAGACCCGGATCAAGCAGGGCCTCCGTGGGGCGGAAAAAGGAGCCGCTCCGGGGAGAAAAGAGGCAGCAGCGGAGGCGTGAAGGTTTCCCCGGCCGGCAAGGAGAGCCCCCGTCCACCCCCTACCCTCGGGGTGGGAGGAGCCAACGCGGGAGGGGAGGAGCCCAGACTCGTAGGCGGAATGGAAAAGGGCGGCGCAGCAGAATCGAGCAGGGGGCGGGGCCACGCGGCCGGCAAGCCAATGGCATGGCGCAGGAGGCGCCCGTATGCAAATACGAACGGCGTGACGGGGACAGCCCTCAAAGGCCACCTGAGGAGACTTTACGGAGAGGCGGCGCCCGGAGAGGAAGGGGCGGAGCTTCGCCGAAAAGGTGGCGCCCCACTTCCGGAATCAGAGAGCTGACCCGAGGAGAGCGGCGCTTCGGAGGCGGAGAAACCGGATGCAGGTAGAGCGCGGGGGCTGCTGGGAGTCGAGGTGAGGGGGAGGCTGGGGCTGCCTCGGGCCTGCCCGGAAAGTCCCACGGAGAGGCCGAGGCTTCGGCCTTCCTCCCCGGGCGGGCCTGGGACTCCCCTCCGGGGAAGGGACGAAGCCGTGACCCGCCTCTCTTCCCCCCCTTCGCCCCTGCAGGAGGACGGGTGAGCCCGGCGGAGGAAGGAAGGCAGGAAGGAGGCGCCGCCCGAGAGGATAGGAGGCCCCGCGGAGCAGCCCCGGGAGGAGACGGCGGGGAAGGCCCGGCAGGGATGAGCCGAGGGGGACTCCGGGAAAGGAGGCCACCCGGAGGGAGAAGCGGGGAGCAGGAAACGGGCGGAGAAAAAAAATACCAGTGCACAGAATGTGAAAAATCCTTCAGAACGAATGAAAACCTCGAAAACCACCTGAGAATCCACTCGGGAGAGAAACCATTCCTATGCTCGGAGTGTGGGAAGAGCTTCAGTCAGAGGGGAACCCTTTACGCCCATCGGAGGATCCACACGGGAGAAAAACCCTATAAATGCCTGGAATGCGGGAAAACCTTCAGTTTAAGCGGAAACCTTTACGCCCATCAAAGGATCCACACGGGAGAAAAACCCTTTAAATGCCTCGAATGCGGAAAAACCTTCCGGCTGGGTGGAAACCTTTACATACACAAAAGAACCCACACTGGAGAAAAGCCATATAAATGCCTGGAGTGTGGGAAAAGCTTTATTGTGAGTGGGCACCTCCTGCGACACCAAAGCACTCACACAGGTGAAAAGCTGCATAAGTGCCTGGAATGTGAAAAAAACTTTAGCGAGAGGGAAAGCCTTTGCAAACATCAAAGGATCCACTCAAGAGAAAAAATGCATAAATGCCTGGAATGTGGAAAGAGCTTCAGTCAGAGGAGAAGCCTTTATAATCACCAAAGAGTTCACACTAGAGAAAAAGAATACAAATGCCTGGAGTGTGAAAAGAGCTTCCGTCAGAGGAAAAGCCTTTCTAATCACCAAAGAGTTCACACTAGAGAAAAAGAGTATAAATGCCTGGAGTGTGAAAAGAGCTTCAGTCAAAGGGGACACCTTTATAGACATCAGAGGATCCACTCGGGGGAGAGACCATACCAATGTCTGGAGTGTGGGAAGACCTTTACTGAAAATGCACACCTCCGTCAACATCAAAGGATCCACACAGGAGAGAAGCCGTATGAGTGCCTGGATTGCGGAAAGAGATTCCGTCAAAATGGGAGTCTTTATATGCATCAAAGAATTCACACAGGAAACAAACCATATAAATGCTTAGAGTGTGGAAAGAGCTTTATTGATGGTGGACAACTCAGTCAACATCAAAGAATCCATACAGGAGAGAAACCATATCGATGCCTGGGGTGTGGAAAAGCTTTCAGTCGGGTAGAACACCTCAGTCAGCATGAAAGAATTCACACAGGACAGAAACCGTATAAATGCATAAAGTGTGGAAAGAGTTTCAGTCACAAGGCAAGCCTTTACGCACATCAAAGAATCCACTCGGGAGAAAAACCCTTTAAATGCCTAGAGTGTGGGAAATGCTTTACACAGGGTGGACATCTCTGTCAACACCAAAGGATTCACACGGGGGAGAAACCCTATAAGTGCCTGGAGTGTGGAAAGAGCTTCAGTCAGCGGGGAAACCTTTATAGCCATCAAAGAATCCATTCAGGTGGGAAATCCTATAAATGTTTGGCATTAAAAAGAAATTTGCTCAGAGGGGACACCATCAACTTCGAAGAGTTCGCACAAGAGTAAAAAAAAAACCTGTACGTGCCTCAAGTGCAGAAAGAGCTTCAGTGACAACGTAGTGCCTCAGTAAATATTACGGAGCTCACCTGGAGAATAAATTTTTACAGATTTGTACAGATTGAAAAATCCTTCAAAAGAAATGGAAATCTCCCCAAACCATCCAAGCAAAACTATAGAAATGGACAGATAAAAGTAAAGATTTGCCCCATCCAGTTGTTTTGCGATTCTTAAGGGCTGTGCTTATCTGTGTTTTTTCGCCAAGGTAGATAGCGTGATCCAGAGACATTTCTGTCATCATGTGGCCAGCATGACTACATGCTGATGTGCCTGGAACGCTGTTACTCTTCCACCAAAGTGCTACCTGTTTATCGACTTTCATTTGCATGTTTTTAAATGGCTATTTGGGCAGGAGCTGGGGATCATCCCATCACACAACTCTTGTCAACACCAGGGAGATCCAGACAGTTCCTATGTGTATAGAGATTTATCATAAGCTTAAGTTCTCTACAAGAATCTGAACTACTAACTGTCAAGGGAAATTAACAGGAGTTAAGAATAGAAAGGAATTCAGGGTGGGCTGGACTTCGATCTCTTGTGGGCACGAAGAGACTCACGACTGATGAAGCATTTGACCCCTCCCTCGGGCTAAGCCTGGTCATCTCCTACAGCTCTTGAATCTTGAACCTGGGCTGTCAACCTTCCAGCCGACAAGCTCAAAGTCTTTAACCGCCATCGCATCCCCTTATAGAGTGTTACTACAATGCTTCAGTACCCAGCAATGTCAGTGTAGCCCTGGATGTAATGCATGTTTTTTTTTAAAGGCTAAGAAACTCCTCCAATATTTATCACAGATCTAATTACCATCCAATAAAACCCAGATGTGGATACTTATTTTTCATTGCCAACTCAACCTGTGTGCTTCAACTTGAGTGCATAATGTATTATCAGCCCAAGCATTAGGCATCAAGCTATCTGAAACAGGGCCATTTTACTTAGTTCCTTTCTTGCTACAGATTAATGATTGTGCTATTTTGTGTTGCTTCATAGTTGAATTTGAATGACGTTACAAATTATTTTTCTCTGATCGCTCGTTTCTTACAAATTGATCCACGTCTGCGAGGAGTACATATACCTATTAGCACGACTGTATTCAATTATGCATACTTATCCTCACAAATTCGTGGTGCTGTATTTTATATATTACTCAGCAAGCCAGAACAGAATCTGTCTTTTTTTTTTTTTTTAGTAGCTGAGGCTCATGCAAGTTAGATCTCTTGTGGGCGCAAAGGGACTCATGGCTTATGACACATTTGACCTCTCCCACAGGTTCAGCCTGGTCATCCCCTTCAATTCTTGAGTCTTGAATCCGGGCTGTCAGCTCTCCAGCTGACAAGCTCAAAGTCTTTAACCGCTGAGCCATCCCGCTCCATTATAGATAGAGTGTTGCTACAGTGCTTTAATACCCAGCAAAGTCAATGCAACCCTGGGGATGTAATGCACAAAGGTTTTTTTAAAGGCTAAGAAACACCTTGAATATTTACCACACATCTAATTACCATCCAATGAGGTGCTTTTTTTTTTTCAAGAGGCAATTGGACTTCATTGATTTTCTTTCAAGACGTTTCGCTTCTCATCCAAGAAGTTTCTTCAGCTCTGAACAGCCTCCCCTTCACCATCTCCCGCAATTCCCAGCAGCCCCCGTGCTCTACTTGCAGCTGGTTTCTTCGACTGAAGCTCCATGCTCCTTCAGTCAGAGCTGATGAGAAGCAAAACGTCTTCAAAGGAAATCAAAGTCCAATTGCCTCTTGGGAAAAAAAAAAAAGCACCTTAGCGACAACGATGACCTGGACAACTGAGAATCTCCACAGACGTTTACCCTTCGTTGCCATTTCAACCAGTGTGTGTAAATGAGCCGAGGTGGCGCAGCAGTTAGAGTGCAGTACTGCAGGCCACTTTAGCTGACTGTGTTCAGCAGGTCAGCGGTTCAAACCTCACCAGCTCAAGGTTGACTCAGCCTTCCATCCTTCCGGGGTAGGTAAAATGTGGACCCAGATTGTTGGGGGCAATGTAAATATATATATACATTGCTTACTGGTGTACACCGCTTAGAGAGTGCCCCCCGGAGACGATATAATAACGTGTCAATTAGCAAAAGAATAATAAAATGCCTTTGCTGGAGCCAGTTAGTAGCCAGTTCAATGCACCGTGCAAACGGTGGTAAGCCAAAATAGAAATACAGATAGACTTCAACTTACGACACAGCTAAGCCCAACATTTCTGTAGCTAAGCAAGACAGTTGTTAAGTGAGTTTGTCCCCCTTTTACAACCTCTCTTGCCACAGTTGTTAAGTGAATCACTGCAGTTGTTAAGTTAGAAACGTGGCTGTTAAGTGAATCTGACTTCCCCGTCAGAAAAGGGGATTGCGTGACTCCCCCGGTACGCTGCGACCCTCATAAGTCTGAATTTTGATTACGTGACCTTGGGGATGCTGCAACGGTGAAGAGTGTGAAAAACAGTCGTGTCACCTTTTTCAGTGCTGTTGCAACTTTGAACGGTCACTAAATGAATGGTTGTAAGTCAAGGACTACCTGTAGTGTATATTCTACAAAAAAAAAATCTTAAAAAGCCACGTCCAGATAAGATAACCTTTATTGTCATTTTTTACTGTGGGCACAATGGCACGTTAAAAATGAATTTGTTTTCTGCCTCTCAAAAGCGTAACATATGCATCACTCACATATAAGCACGCTATGTACATACATATACTATATACATACACCCTTACAAATACATATAAATATCAATCTTAATATTATTTAGATCTCTTAAGCAAAGTCCCTGAAGGAAAGCTGCAACATTTGATTATATCCCTCACGGATTATTGCAATACCTGTATCGCTTTCTTGATCTACCTCTCCTTGATAGCTTCGCCCAGTTGGCTGGTGGATCCCTTCTCTGTTCAGCGGAGATGATGACCTGCTATGGGTGCTTGCATGAGACTTTGGACTCCGAGCATGGGACGGAGACATCTGTGGATTCCCAAGGGATGTTTTTTGTGGCTGGCCTCTCCTCAGTGCACAGACCTCTGCATGTCACAAGGCAAAAAGCTGCAAGGAAAGACACCCAGGCTTTAGCAGGGCATAACCAATTGAGCAGCTGCTTCACCGTAAAACAAGAGAAGTCAGCAACTTTTAAACCGGCTTCCCTCCAAAATATTAACCTGCCCTGCACTAATTTTTCACAAGAACGGAAATCAATTAGAAGACACCTTCCCCAAGGTAGTCTATTTTACACCTCTATCTTTGCCTACTCACTGCATGCCTCTTTTCTGGAAGCTGTGGTTCCCCTTCAGCGCATAAACACTTTAGCAGATGTTAGCTGCTGCTTTTACAGTTCCAAAGTAGCAGGATCTGCTCAAGAAATCCCTTCAGTGTTTGCCCGATAATTTGCTTCCGTTACCTACCTTGAGGCCACTAATAACAAGCATAGATTGTAAAATGACTCTCTCTGTATCGGCAAAGGGGTAGCTACTTTTTTAAAGGTAAAACCAGAGATCAAACTGTTTCATACTTAGGAAGGAAAAAGAATGACTTGAAAGTAAGATCTGAGGTTATGCTCTGAATGCATATAGCTTTTTCTGCATAATCTATTCTCGTAGATGGATACTAAATGAAAGCAGTGCCCCAAATTTATTTGCACAACAAAATAAAACCATGGGCTGCCTGGCAAGATTGTAACATGGTGGAGAAGATGCAAACAAAAAAAGAGAAAAAAAAGAAAGAGACTTTGAATTTTAGGTGGGAAGGAACTGCAACCAGAAAATTTAATACAGTAAATACAATACAATACAATAAAATAATGGTTCTATGTAGAGCATAGGAGATGCTTTGGACTACAGTTCCCATTAGCCAGCCTTGGGGTGAGGCCTGATGGGGATTGCCTCTCTTGCAACAGACTGGCTAAGGGGAATTGTAGTCCAAAGCATCTGGTTATATGTTGGAAATGCTTTGGACTACAGTTCCCATTAGGCAGTCGGGGGGGGGGGCTGAGGGGATTTCTTCTCTTGCAACACACTGGCAAATGGGAACTGTAGTCCAAAGCTTCTGGTTCTATGCTTTGGACTACAGTTCCCATTAGCCAGCCTTGGGGGGGAGGGCTGATGGGGATTGCCCCCTCTTGCAACAGAGTGGCTAATGGGAACTGTAGTCCAACGCATCTCCAATACTCTACATATAGTCACAATTTTATTACTTTTATTATTTTTTGTATTAAATTTTCAGATTTTTTTTTTAAAAAAACTGGGCCTTTTGCGGGGAGGGGGGCGGCAGCCTCTCAGGCACCAGGGGAGATGCGCCGGTTGCCTCGGATGGGATTTGTAGTTCAAAGGTCCCCCCCCCAACCGGCGGGGCGAAGAGTCCTCCAGATGGGGCGAAGCCTCGAGGAGAAAGCATTACACACACACACACACACACACACACTGACACACAACGTCGCAACCGCCCAATCTCCCCTCACCTGCGCAGCTTCGGCCCACCTGCGCGTTGCTTCCCGCCGTTTCCATGGCAACCGCGGCCGGGCCCGGATTGCGAGGTTGGCGGGGGGGGTGGTGGTTGTAAAACAGCGTCGCGCGCGCTCACTGTGTGCGCGTGCGCGCGAGCGCGAGCCCGCTCCCCTGCCCCGCCCAGCGCCACCCAAGGCCCTCCTGGCGAGTTTCTTCTCGCGCGGCCACCTCGGCCGCGATTGGCTGCTCCGAAACCCCGTCGCTCGGATTGGCTGGGAGGCCTCCCTGCTCTCCGAGAGGCGGGGGCATTTAAAAAGTCGGCGGGCTCCCTCAGGCTGAGCGCAGAAAAGAGAAGCGAGCGCGCGGCGGAGGCTGCAGACGCCGCTACCGCGTCTCTTTCTCCTCAGCAGAGACGATGCTGCGGGGCGCCGGGGGGGCACAAACGTCGCTCTCTCCGGCGCTCCCGCGGCCCAAGTCCTCGAGCTCGAGGCCGGGCAGGGCCTTTTGAGCTTTTGAGGTAATTCTGAGGCTTTTCCACCTTGTAAGATACGGGGGGGGGGGAGCGGGAGTTCTTTAGCTGAGGAATAGCCCGTTCCCGCGGAGGAAGGGGGACGCCTGTGGGAATTTGAACCGCGGCGTGTATGCTTCGGAGTAAAAGGGCCAGCGGGGGCTGAGGGAACATCAACGGTGTGTCATTTAAAAGAACGCCGAGACCCCCGGTCCCTAAAGACGGTCTTTCCCTTTAGGGAATAAACGTCATTCCAGTCCAGGTGAATAAGAATTAAAATGAGTTTTAAGGGTAAAATTGCCTCGAGAGCTGACCTGGCTCTCGGGAGTAAAGCGAATTCTTGGCGTCCGGGGTCATTTCAGCTCGAGCAAAGTTTTGGCGGACCCCGGGGTAATTTCAGCCGTGTCCTTTTAAATTAAGGACCGAACTACCCCAGGTGGATAAGAACTAAAATTCGTTTTCAAGGTAAAATGGACTCGGGGGCTGACCTGGCTCTCGGGAATAAAGCCAATCCTTGGCGTCCGGGGTAATTTCAAAATTAGTTTTAAGGGTAAAATTGCCTCGAGGGCTGACTTTGCTCTCGGGAATAAAGCGAATTCTTGGCGTCCGGGGTCATTTTAGCCAAGACTCAGAGTAAAATTTTGGTGGAACCAGAGGTAATTTCAACCATGTCTCTTTAAAAAGGAGCAAGCAAGAGTTAAAATTAGCTTCAAACTACCAACAGGTGGATAAGAATTAAATTTCGTTCTAAAGGTAAATTTTTGGCGCCTTTTAGCCAAGACTCGGGTTCGCAGAGTAAAATTTTGGCGCGCCTGAGGTAATTTCAGCCACGTCCCATTAAAAAGGAGCAAACTAGCACAGCTGAATAAGAGTTAAAATTAGC